GGATCCACTATATCCTAGGACCTGAAGTGGGAGCCCAACTCAGACACCATCATCAAAGCCTAGCAGAGGATGTACTTCCTGCGTCAGCTCAGGAAGCTCAACCTGCCTAAGGAGCTGCTGATTCAGTTCTACACAGCTATCATCCAGTCTGTCCTCTGCACCTCCATCACTGTCTGGTTTGGATCAGCCACAAAAAAGGACAAGGACAGACTACAACGGACAGTCAGGACTGCAGAAAAAACCATTGGTGCCAAACATAGACTGTATATAAAAACCAGCCAACCTGCCCTCCATTCATGACTTATACATTTCTAGAGTCAGGAAACGGGCAGGAAACATCATTGCAGATCCATCTCACCCCCTACACAAGCTGTTCCAGCTTCTCCCCTCTGGTAGGCACTACAGAGGACTGTACACCAAAGCTAACAGACTCAGGAACAGTTTCTTCCCATAAGCCATCACTCTGAACAGCTGATTTCTGACTCACAGTGACAGGAACAACCCGTGTGCAATAACCCAGTAACTCTGTCTTTAATCAGCCACCTGTTTACTGGTTACCACTTATTATTTAATTAACCTTATCTATTTCAGAACTGTTCATACTGATCATATTGTATATTGTATATACTGTATAGCTAATCCATCGACTTCAAGGACATAACACCTGCACATAATACTTGGATATCTCATCCACCTTTGACATGTACATAATAATAATAACAATAATAATAACGGTAATAATAATTTACTCCTGCATCCTTTGCACTCTGCTCATTGAACTATTGTCACAGTCTGTCTATATTGTTTTTATTTATAGTGTGTATATATGTATTCTCTGTACTGTAGCCTGTGTTTGATGTTATTATTGTATTATTGTCTAAGTAAGCACATTGTGGTCAATGAACAATACATAGTCAAATTCCTCGTATGTGAACACATACCTGGCAAATAAAGCTGATTCTGATTCTGATGTAAGTTCTTTATACACCACTGAAAACATAGTTATGGATCTTACATTGCATTTCTGTCAATAGATGCTCAGAAATATTACGCACTGAACCTTTAAACGTAACCTTTGATAAGGTCAGCCTTTGCGTTTTACTTTCTCAAATACTAGCTACTTTCGGTGTGAATATAATAAAAATATGGTTATTTGAAGTGGAGGAAGGGTCATGCTCCAGGAATGATATTTATAGCTCCAGGGAGGGTCAAGAAAAAAATAATGATAACGGTCGCACTCCGATAAATAACAGTCCCTTATCGAGCATTAAACATATGTAGTAGTTCTGTTTGTTGATGTGTCATGCATGACGTTGAGGAAATGCTTGCACAACAAAATGGTCTAAAGTTTAGACCATTTTGTTGAACATTTACAGCAATGCACTCCATACATATTCACTGTCTTTTGGCTTTTTTCCATTCCTCCATACTTTTTATCATTGAAGTTTAAGTCCAGAGATTTCCTGAACACAGGACGCAGTCTAAAATATTGGAAATCAGTGAAGTTCAAAGTGTTCCCAGAAGGTTCACTTTACTTTGATAACAGTGCAGGCGTGAAAGTGCTGTGGGCTCACATTCAGTGTTATCATATGGCACACCTTTATCCTTGTTTTCATATCTAACCTGCCTCTCCATAACAGGTATCAGATGAGAGGCTCAGTATTTACTGTAGAGATCAGGGGACATATTCACAACTAGGAGTTGGGAGTTGGTCATGGGCAGATTGAAAGAAAATTGGGTTTCTAAGGCAAATGGCTACAGGAAGTGGAGAAAAGATAGATATCGCTCACATCCAGACACACATGGATATCTAGTGTGACACACATAAGTGTGACACACATAGATATCGCTCACATCCAGACACACATGGCTATCTAGGCTACTAGCTTGGCAGTATGATTTTTTTCAGCTGTATCAAGTTACCCCCTTACCCCACTTGCACCAGTGTGAAGGATCTCATTCCATGCATACCCTCCCAGCAGCAGACTTTCTTTGTGTGCTAAGACTCTTTCACACTGCTAGGTTTATTGAGAAACCGGCTGGGTTGGCAGCCCCTCAGCTTCCATGAGTCAAGCGGGGTGAGTTCGCAATGACCTGCTGATGAGGTGATGGTAAAATTTGACTTGTCCCTGATGAGGAATTTGGTCATTTTACATAGACTGGTCTAGACATAGCAGGCTAGCAATGTAGTTTATCTTGACAGCACCACTAGAGGAAAGGCCATGGTTGTCATTAAAAGGTTTTATCCCCCTGAAAGAATATCCTCACCAAATGTATGTCATTGTGACTTTCTTGGGGTCATAGAATAATATACAGAATAATTTGTATTCATGCTCTGGGGACAAGCTTGCCAAAATTCATGGACATCATGGGCAGGGGTGAAGATAACTGGCTCTAAACCAAGACCCCACAAACATTTTTAAGTAGAATAGATTTATTTCAAACAGAATAATAACAAGACTAATACTCTTCTCAAAGCATGCTCAAAATGACAGTGCTAACATTCTGATGTTTAGCAGTTGCAAGGGGTTAAAGGAGATCTCGCAAGATTAAAACGTGACGAGATTTCGCTTACGGTTAAAAGTTGTTTTGAGACTTATTAAATTGTCATTTTCCAAACGCTCTCACATTCCATACCTCAGTTTTCTCACACAGTGAAAAACAAGTATTACTGATAATTTGACTCACAGAGTGAATCATCTCCGCCTGTGATAGTAATCAAGTGAACCTGCTTTCACTGAGTGAATCAAAATAGTTGTGACTAGTGGTAACTTATTGGTATAGTTGCATTTTAAATATCTAAAAACTGAAGTGCAGCCTTGCTCTATTTGGAAGTGTGAGCTGCACTTTGGGGGTGCTGAAATAAATGTGGTTTCGGTTTCCAAACAGTCTGAAGGGGATCCTACCAGTGGAGCAATAATGTAATGAACAGTAGAGAATAGGGCAGTTCAAAACCCTGTTTTGCAGGTATAATGTTTAACATGTAGCATGTTAACATTTGGGAATTATCAGTAAACAGACAAGTCCTGAGGTATTCAGTCATAAACCAAAGTATTGGACAAACTGGAATTTGACACCATTGTGGTGTTGGGTGAAAAAATACAAGATCAACAAAGTCATTAGCATTCATCCTCTGGGCACATGGATATCCGTACTAAATTTCATGACAACCCATCCAATAGTTGGAGACATAGATAGAGACATTTTGCTGCAAGTCAAAAATGTCATCCTCAAGGTGATGCTAAAGGGAAAAGTCAGAATCTGTAGAATTCATCTGTACAAAATGTCACCCCATTCAATAGCTGTTGAGATATTTCAGTCTGGACCAAAGTGGTGACCCAACAGACAGTTGTTGCTATCCAAAGAGCAACGCTGTTAGCATGGCTAAAAACGCAACATAATACTCGCAGGATGCAAATGAATAAGAGACACAGATCTTTGGATAATTACCTTAAATATCTTTTAATTAATGTAATCTCTTTTTCTGACTTTACAGTAATCAAAAAGCTGTCCTTTGATTATGTTACAAACCAGGGATCTGCCACCGCAAGTAGTTGGTGGCCACTGGGAGTTATGGTCACTGTAAAGCTGAATCACCCTTAAAATGACTTTGATGGGTTCAGTAGGAGCAGGACTGGACTACAGTTCAGCTGGTAGAGCTTTGTTAGGTGTTTGTACTACTGAGGCAAACCCATTTAGAGTATGCAAAGCTTGTGCACCACGACTGGAGGATTTTTTTCACTAGCGTCGTGCTGTGCCCACAGTGCTATTCACATCTATGTATTTGTCTATCTCAACATCAAAGCATTAGCAGTGTGTGTATTTGTGTATTCACCTGCTACATGTGTTTTCAAATAGGGAGTGGTGTAAGAGTAGCGGTGGTAAGTACTGAGATAAGAGGGCTTCGCTGTTCCTGTTTTTCGCGCGGTATCTCATGTAGCATGCTGAGACGGTTACCATATTGATTGTTCGAAGCATGAAAGGACAACATATAAAGACCATGCTCTCCCTTCCTTGATCTAAGGTGACAGCTTTATTGTCCTTGGCTACTCAGCTAAACTTTAGTCTCTGAGCAGTTAGAAGGGACCCCAAAGGAGGAGGGGCATGCAGTCTCCTGAAATAATGGGACTCATGGTTCAATGGTGGCTTATTTCATACTGAAGTATTGCTTTTTAACTTTTTACACAAATCTGACACAATTAGGCCAAAGTGAGATTTCCTCTGTGTGCGTTGTCAAAAGAAATACTAATCCTCTTGTCGCCTTCCTTCATCTTTCACTCCCTGTGTTGTACAATTCCTCAAAAGTTTCCCGTAGTGGATCAGGTTGTCCAGAGGCAGTGACGTCGGCTGGGACATTTTTCTAGCAAACAGTGTAATGAAACAGCATAGCACAGGTTTGTGTTTGCGCTGCACTTCCATGGCCTCATAAGGCTCAGTCCTGAGGAATGTGGCTCAGATCATTAAGGTCGCAGCCCTGTGCAACCAGTGAGCATCCAGCTCTCTGCATCACATGATATGTCAGCGGCTCTCCCCAAGTGCCCCGTTGTCATTGGTAACCGCTGACAATGAAACTGTGGACGGGTCTCCCCTAATACCATTCATGTGTTTGCCACCAATGCTCTTGTCTGACGCTTAGACGGCAGCCCCCCCCCCCCCCCCCCCCGATCCCCCGAGGATGTTTTTGTTCTTTGGGTTGTTTTTACTATGCACAGATTATGGAAACTCCAAATTCAAAACATGAGTTTGCTATTGTAAAACCATTTGCAGCAAATGTATCTTCAGTTGAAAGCCATGTCAGAAAAAAAAATTTCTGCTTACAATAAAATCACACATCAAGCAGAAGTCTTCCCAGTAGTGTTTTTTTTATTTAAATATATTATATGTGTAGTCATAGTTTATGCATTCGTTTGAAACAGGGCATTGGCTTTTCACAACCATATTTATGTCTGAAAGAATAACATTTAGATTTAAACTGAGATATGTCCTTTATGTCTCAACAGGAGATTGTCTTGGTGGAGGGCAGCCGTGTGTTTGAATCATGGAAAACCCCTCCCCCTCCTGTCTACATGGAGTTTTTCTTCTTCAATGTAACCAATGTGAACGATTTCTTGAAAGGGGCCAAGCCAGAGGTCAAGCAGGTTGGACCCTACACTTACAGGTAAGATGCAAGAGCACATCAATGTACAAAGAAGTGCACAGGCTGCCACAAGGAAAGTCGCACACGTGTCTCACATGAAACTTCAAAATCTGACATGTTGTCAAATATTTGGTGGCCCAAAGGTTAGAGAAGCGAGCTTGTGACCGGTTCAATCCTTGGACCAGCCGGATAAAATCTGGGTGGGGAAAGTAAACCAAGCAGTCCTTGCCCTCCCTCATTTACCACCACTGAGGCGCCCTTGAGCAAGGCCCATAATCCCAACAGCTCCAGTGGAGTTGCTTAGTGGCCAGCAGATCAGGCTGTGGTTGTGGTTGTGCTGGGCACCTTACAGGTGTGAATGTGATCAGGGTCTTCCTGCAAAAGAGAGGCTTCCTCTCAGTGAAGCTCCCTTGGATAAATAAATGTTAAAAACAACAACCTGAAGTTGAATGTGTAGGAGGTGATCTTTGCTTGCAGACTCATTTGAATGCATTTCATACTTATTTACTCTATGTTGACTGTAAACACATAGATCAATAAAAAGGCCTGGATGGACACATCCTTAAAAACATTCAATGAAAATGGTTCATCAAATATGTGTTCTAACACAGCGCCTTCCTACTTTAGAGCCCAAGTTTCAAGTGTGAAACAGAGACAACGTGTATAAAATCTAACTATCTATAAACAGCAGCAGCACAGTCTGGTTTACTTGAAGATATTTTGACCCTTGAGGGACAAAATGTCTTCATTGTATCTTCAACCAAGCCCAGTTGCCCTTGATTTTAAACTTCCTTGGATATTTTACAGACTGTGTAGCTGTTGTTTAGAATTATTGCGTTTATTAGTTTACCCATCTCCCGAGCGTCAATGATAGCGGGGAGGTAAGGTGCCTAAACAGAGCCCAAAGGATACTAAAGGACAGTACCCACCCAGCCACAGCCTGTTCACCCTGCTGCCTTCTGGAAAGAGATATAGAAGTTTCTGCTGCCGCACCACCAGACTGCAGAGCAGCTTTTCCCCCCAAGCTATCAGACTCTTAAACTCTAATTCATCCTCAGCACTGCTCCAGTGATGATAGTTTATTTCTGTTTACCATTTTTCATAATTGATTCTTTATTAATGTATATTGTCTGCTATGTAGTCGAAGGGAGTTACAAAACTCAATTTCATTCTATAACTTGTTATATTGTGACAATAAACCTACCTACCTAATGGCTTTGTGGGTTCATGTACTGTATTTCCCCTTGTCTCCAAGGGAGTAGAGAACTGTTTTAAAAAATAGCCCCGTCAGATTTTCTTTACTAGGCTTCTTTTTGCAATTCTGTTGAAATGTGCCACTATTTGCTCAGCACTTATGTAAACTGAAAAGGGGACATTTTCTCCTGCTTGTCTGCACTTCTTCTGTTGTAGTCTATTCAGTCACTCTTACTCTAACCATAAAAAATGCCAGATGGGTTAATTTTATTAGCTGAAAGACCACACTAAAGATCAGAAGGTAATATGTAAAGAATGTTGTTTTTATGTCCTTCCAGCTTGACAAGAAACTGTGTAGATCAGTCATTTGGAATAGCTTCTAATGCACCCACTGAAACCCTTATATAAATATCAAGGTTCACTGCCACAGTGTAAGTCAAGATAATCAACTGTTTGGTTACCTAATCACAAACGAATGAATGATCTGTTGAAAGGAAGGAGTTGTGTGATGAAATTAATTGTATTAACCTAAATTTATGTGCAGTGCTTTCAAGTTTGCTCTGTGATGTTAATTTGTAGTTTTACTGAAAAATAAAAGATAATATTATGTTTAATTTTGTTTGCCCAGGGAGTACAGGTATAAGGACAATGTGAGCATGTTGGAAAATAACGAGACGGTGTCCGCATACAACACCAAAAGCTTTGTGTTCTTGAGAGAGAAGTCTGTGGGTGACCCAGCTGTGGATAACATCACCACCGTCAATATCCCTGCTTGGGTGAGTCATGAACTTAAGGTCTTAGACATGTAGAGGAAAGTTGAACTCCAAGTGGGGGAAAGTTGAGTGCGTGTCCTGCAACTTCCTTCTCCATTTTGTAAATTGTTTCCTCAATCCCACCTCAATGGCCACCAACACCCTCTACCTCACCCTGCATTCTTTTCCATATCTGCTCCCCTTTGCTCCACTTCTCGTCTCTAGGCTGTAATGACCAAGGTGAAAGGGAGTTTCTTTAGGTCCTCCATGGTGTCCATCTGGATGAACGCTGTTGGGAGTGGTATCTTTACAACTCACACTGTGGATGAATTGCTGTGGGGTTATGAAGATCCTTTGCTGGTCCGCGTCTCTTCCACCAATCCTGAGGTGGAGAAGGTCTTTGGCCTCATGTACAAGGCATGTACAACTCTACATATAATTAAAGCATATGAACCTTAGCTGGATTTTTTCATATCTTATGAAAAGGATCTATTATTTTATAGTTTTTTATTAATTCCTCTGCAAAATCCAGTCACTCTGAAAATTACTACAACTATTGTTTTTCTATGATTAGAATTTGAGTGTTTTTGAAAACATATACATGTTTTAATGACTTAAATGTTTGGATCTATTTAGAAAAATGGAAGTAACAATGGGGAATTTGTCTACCACACTGGGGTGCAGAATTACTTGGATTATGGCCGCGTCAAAACATGGAAAGGCGAAAGGTAACACTGTTGCGTTATCTGTCTTGATCCACTGTAGTGAAACTTCATTGGATAACCTTTGGGTTTAAAACATTTCTCAAATCTACTGCTTTTTGCCAATACTAAGGCGGTAGTGACTGTCTGTCTGTTTTTCTGTTGGTCTGGGCTGTTGCCAAAACTATTGAGCACATGTTAGGACATCCTGATACTTGAAATGCCGTAATAATGGCTTTCATAATTGACTTTCTTATCATATTTTATTCTCTCAGTTGCCCTGCAGTTTGTAGTTACTCTTCTAATGTTATGTTCACACTACGAGTGACAAGCTACAAAATGGCCAAGCATGGCCAGCTACACTGTCGCAGCTCAATCGCTCGTTGACGTTGTTATGTTGTCATGGGCTTGTGTATGTGTGCAAACATGCAATGACAAGTATCAGGCGTCAGTGTGTAGCTTTATGTCAACAGCTTCCAGTGAAAATGACTTGAAGCCTGTTGCTTTGTCACTGGTAATCTGTACACATCACTGCCCTTGGGAAACCACTTTCTTCTGTGACTTTCAGATAAAAACATGTTTGATCATCAAAACATTTCATTGTAATTTACTGTTGTTAAGATGGAGATGATACTATATGAAGATGAAAGATGAAAACTGTATAAACATTTGTTTTTCTCTAAATAAAGTCAAATCTGGAGTAGAGCTGCCATATAAACATGCCTCAGTCCAAAAACCTTTTTGGTCTCTTTGCAGGCAGCAGACATTTCTTAAAAACATTAAATCGGTTTCCAAAACCCTGGATGAACATTATGCTTTCCTTAATTGCATGAATGCCCTCTTGATTCAGTTTTAACAAAGACATGCAATGCTCATGTTGTTTTGCAGCAAGCTGACCTTCTGGTCATCTAACCAAAGCAACAGCATCAATGGATCAGATGGAAGTGCTTTCCATCCTCTGCTGAAAAAGGATGAACGCATTTACATCTTCACGCCAGACCTCTGCAGGTACTGTTCAGTACCACAGTGCCACACTTAATCAGTGCTATTATATTTTTTCACAAAAGCAGAACTCCAAACTAACATTTTTTACTAGGAGCACTGTAGTCCTTAACTGAAAATTTTAGGGGCACAGGCAGAAAATTTAGGGGCGCGCACCTTAAATCGACCTGAAAAGCAATTTTTCACATTTAAACTCAATTACTGATAAATGGTTTGGCATGAAACTACAATATGCTGTTTTATTTTAGTTTTAACTGAATAGTGCTTAATGAATGCACATACTGGAAATGGAGATGCCGTTTCATTTGTGTATCTGTCTTGGCATATTTTATGTTTTAAGTTGCAGTTGTGGTTCATAAAGTGCCAGTTGCCTCAAACTTAGTTTCCCCCATATGTTGTGGACCACATCTAGTGCAGTAGATACAGATCGTGGTGTTGGTATTTTTTCTAAATCTAAGCCATGTAAACTCCCTCAGCCAGGTCCAGACTGTCCCAATTATTTAGGCTGCAAACCACCAGACTGCTCATTTTTTATACTAAAGCTGATGATACACAGAGCAACTTTTAGAGCAATGGTGCTGGGATGGTAATGAGTAAAGATTACCACCGTAATCCCCTTCCCACCCGTCCCGCCCCACCGTTATCCGTTCAAAACATAGTCGGACTTGCCACCAGCAACATTGCCCAACAACATTGCTCAAAAAGTTGTATCATTAGCTTAACCCTATTTGTTGCCGTAACAGGTACCAAACTCTAGGTATAGATTTTGACACTATGGTCATCTTCTAAGAAAATTATCCACATTACAAAATACAAGCATTTGGGACTGACCGGGGGCAGAGCTAGAATGTCAGCACAGTGGGGGCGGAGCTTCATTGTGGGCCCACCTGCTACAAAGACATATTAACCAAGTTTACACGACCCCAGACTCACTCCGAAAGTCCCCAGAGTCTGTCTGCTTCGCTGCTGCTGGAGCAGCTTTTCTACTAAATGTTTGTGCTTACACCAGAAGCGCTGCAGTGCGTCCATAGACTGAGTGCGTCCAGGAAGCGTCCCAGCGTCAAGCAGCACAGCACAGATGAACCGGGCAGGAAGTCAGACACAGAAATGGCAGAGAATTCGATTTTCAAAATAAAATACCCGTTACAGACTTCCGATCATATATCAACAATAAACACAGTTAAATCAGACAAAAAAGAAACATTTTTATTATGTAGCCTACTTAATCATAGTAGTAGCACAAAAAGACAGCACTAATCAACAAATCAACGAAATGTAAACATGTCGGCAAAGTCTGGCAGGTAAAACGCTCTTATTCTGAAATACTCCCTGTGGTAGTTGCTAGATAGACCTATCAAGACGAGAAACGAAAGCGATTCACCGAGAGCTTTGAAGAATGTAGTAGAAGCACAAAAGGACAATTAAAAACAAGTCATTAACGCGGGGCAGGCTACACGGTTCACTGCAGAAATGCCCCTGAGAGGCTGAAGTTGATGCTGTAAATAAACCGCTGCGCACACGCAGCCTATGTCCGTTCCTCAGAATTCCCATGATGCATGAGGGTGAAGGGAGTTTTGTTAAAATCTGCTAATAAGTTTGCCATTTGTTTGAAATACAAATGTTACTTTATGATTTATGTTTATTAAAACGTGTCTTCTTAGAATCTATTGTGTTTGTTGGTAATTGTCGTTCTTGTGGTGGTTTACCATTGAAACCATGAATAAAGGGACTGTTTCATTTGTTTCAACAGCTGCTGAATTCTCCCGGTACAGCGTATTGCCATATACTGTTGTTTATTCATGTCCACTATAATCAGCTGAGCTCAACCTCATAGTCCACTTAGTGGGCCCCCTACCAGTCTGGGCCCTAGGTCGGCCACCCCCATGCACCCACGCTACCTCCGCTTATAGGACTGACCATTAAAGAATCCTATCTGAACACTGAGTTTTCAAGGTATGCTATGGGCGATGGCAATGAGTGCAGCCTACACCAATCATAGCACAAATGTACAAGGCTGGACACAAAAACTATTAGCCTACATTTAAAAAAACAGATAATGACAAATACGCCTATAGAGTTTGCTAAAATTTTCAAATGATTATCTGATTATTCACGCATCAATCATATCATAAGTATCCAAAATGTCACACACACATTCAGTGAACTTGAACATAGGGCTGGGCAATAAAACAATAATGATAGTTATTGCAATATAATTTTCCTCAATAACAAAATCACAAATGGCCAATAAATGTTTGATTCAATTCATTTGAGTCACAAATGAATTAGCACTTAATACTTCTATTGAGATATTTATCTTGTTGAGGAAAAGGTACTGATAAAACATTTTACCTAATTTTACTCATGCATTTGTTATAAAAAGATTTTATCATATATATTTTTTAATTTTCTACCTCAGATTTGTTCAGTGATCCACTGTTTGGCAAGTGGCTGTCATGGCCATAAAGTATTGTTTCAAACCACAAGTAACCATCTGCTTTCTGCAACTTTCACTTAGGAGCAAAAAAATCCTGTGTATTCCTGTGGTGATATAAAGTAACTTATTTTCCAGAATATTAAAGAGATTTTAGGCACAATCTGTGTTTGCTTTACTTGAACCCATAAAGCCCATAAAATAAAGTAATGGATGCTACCCATGCAGGTGTAGGTTGCACATGTGTGAGTAGTTGTAAAATCAACTATCCCATGTGCGACCTGCACAACATTTTTTTTTTTATTTCATGTTGAAATACAAGAAAGGAGCTACTAAAATGGTTGCAAAATGTCACTGGTTGCAGTCTGGAGCACTGAAAATTAGATTTTTTAATTAGTGTTAAAATTTCCTTGTACTAATATTAATCTGTTCAATGGAGGGTAATGTTGGTTGGTCACTCAGTCCACCAAGTTGGTCCAGAAATATAGGATAGCCATGAAATTCGGCACAGATAATTCTGAAAGACTATCAAGACTTTGATGATACCAATGTAACCCATGCTGTGAGCATGTTAGCATGCTAACATTAACATTTAGTAGTGTTTATAGTTGCTCCCAATGGCCACACTGGAAGGCTGAGTGAAAAGCCAACCGCCTTAGAGAGGGGAGACATGATAAGTATTAAATAAGAGGGCATAATAGCGCACAGTCTCTTCTGGCATTCATAGAGTTGAACATGGTTGTTCACATAAAAAGTGAAAAAAGAGAGCTAGGGAGAGAAGTTCAAACCCTGGCTCCTTTCTCACCTCCGCACAGGAGGCCAGTCATGGCGTAAAGTGGGTGTGAAGTGTTGTTGGTTTAAGAAAGTTAAAGAAATGGTCAGACACAGCCCCGAGGTTGGAAAGGTATGGGGGGAGTGGGTTCCCAAAGCTATTTGACCATTGGACAAGCAGTTGTTAAGATGCATGCGGCAAGCTTTAATATAGCCTCACATAGCCTCAAGCATGGCTGTTGACTCTTAGTCTTGTTGTCAGTTAAATATGAAGGCACTATTCATCTGACTCAAGTATAAAGAGTTGTATTATGTGTCATCACAGACAAGTATCTGGCTGCAACAGAGTTTTGCATCTACCCATTTGTCCCACTGTTACCCAGTGTATATGATATTTTGCGTGATGATGATGTGGTTATGAAGCAATGGCTATTTCTGGTGCATGACCTGGCCTGAAAATGTTGGACTCAACTCACCATACAGCAGGACGGAGGCTTTTATATCTGGTATGGAAATGCCTTCACAGGCCTTGGATCCAACAGCACTACAGGTGACTTTTGTTTTCTCAACAAGTCTTTACTGCCTATACTGTGCAGGCTTTTGAAAGACTAACATGCCAGTTTCCAGGAAGCACTTTATCGAACTGCTTCCTCTAAGAGGAATGTTGGTCTCAAGTGTGGTTTGGAGATGGAAGGTGATTGAGTCAGGAAGAAGAGGGAAAACTGGGGGAGAGAGAATAGGGGGGGAAAGGAGAGAAAACCCTTGCTGAGCACAGATTTACAGAAGTGGGAAGTAAAAGTTGTTGAGTTTACAGTTCTTGACTAGCTGGAACAAATAACATTCATTATGAGTTCCATGGAAAATGGGCTGTGTGCATCTGGACAGTTTTTTGTATAATTTTTGGGAAGTCATGTTCATTAATAATGTTTTTTTTTTCTTCAGAATTAGGATATCTTCATTTAAAAGCTTGAAGAATTTTAAAGAGACTTGCCTCTCACACAGTGAGTAATTGATGAATAGTTCCTTGGGATTTCATTTCGCAAATGTTAAGCCTTCGTGCTGGCTTGCTCTGAACTGTGTCCTTGTTCTTGCTGATGATGAGGGCTTCTAATTTAGAAAATAACCTTGACCTAAAAAAAACACAAGCTGCTGCGGACATCTTCCCCTTTTTGTTGTGGGTGGGAATAATCTGTTTGAGTGGAATGGTTGTACCTTTGACTCTGATTGGACCTGTGCCAAAAACCCCTTCTCCTAAATGTTTACACTTTCACCTACTTATTCATCTCTAGTGGCTTACTCATGGTTATCTGCGCTATTGTGATTAAAGGAAAGGATCCCTCCCAGTTTCCTGTATTTTTTTTGCCATAATGTGTTAACCTTTCACACAGACAGCTTATCTTTTTTTTAGCATTAAGCCCCCATAAGAGTAGCTCAACGGCAATTTGTTTTAAAACGTGTTTAGTTAAATTACATCTGGGACTGTTCTGTAGGATAAAAAAGGGCTGGTATTCCCATCTGTGACCTGACGGGGTAGTGACCCTTTGGCCCGTTAACTGACAGCTGAGCGACAAAAACCTTAAGACAGATGTCATTGTTCAAATACCAACTGGCCTTTTCCCATACATTAATCTCTCCTCCAACTATGATTTGAAAGACTTGATTTGATTTAAATATATTCTGTCACAAAGAGCCAACACTTTCCTAAATATTCACATAAAAAATAAAACCAAAACAAAATGTGCCCCTACGCAGGAGCTGGATATGCAAAAACAAAACATTTAAAATGAAATAAAACTAATTCTAAATGGCATGTAACACAAACAAGGTTGTATGAAGTAAACTGAAGCATGACACTGGATAAAACACTTGAAGTTAATATGACTTATTTTCATAGTGGTCCTGGTCTAAAACATTACTACTGTGACTCTGCTACATTATAAACTTGAGTGAAAGTTGGAACATGCAGATTTAATTGTTGTAGATATTACTCATTATAAAAAATTTACATTGTTTACTAAAATACTGTGTACATTGCGCCATCTCTCCTGTTTTCTAATGCCTTTAAATATAATTTAAATACAAAAAGCATCTTGTTCCAGTTATTGACTCCACACATTGAAAGGATTTAGAACCAAAAGAACCATATCTTAGCTTAACTTATGTGAAAGTAATTCACACTGTAACAGACTCTCATGCCCAGCAGCACAAGGCAGAGGCTTTCAGAGTCCTGTGAAGACACACATGAGGCTTTTTACTTGGCTTCGCTCACGAAGGTCAAGGGAAAGGTCTTTACAGTATTGTTGCACAATTGGTGGGCTGCGTAGTGAAGAGCTGCATCCTCCCGGCCAGTTGGCAGACACTGTATAGACTCTTTTGTTCTCACTGAGAATCGTCAGGATTCCCTAAACAGAACAGAACTACATAGAACACGGATGAACTGCTCACAGTAACGTAATTTCTCCTCTCCCGGGACAAAAAGAAGGTCAACACCACATTCTAGCATTATTTCCTCCAGCTTCTGTCTTTAAATTCAAAGGCAACATTTTTCCACACTAAATTATGGACTCAACCCCATAATTTCACTTCTTGTGCCTTTGGTGGTAATTTTATTGATTCATGAGGGAGATAATAAGACAAGAAGAAAAGCTTCATGGCATGCTTGTGAACAGGTGCTTTTATTTATTTATTTTGTGCAGCAAACCGCTTTTGAGAGATTTGTTGACTTAGCTGAGCAGCACTCATGGTTCTAATATTAATGGACGACACATTTGTAGACATATTATTACAGTAAATATATGGAGATTTTTGTGTTTTTATCACTGTACCTCCACCAGAAATTACTGCAATATTCCAATATTCCATTTTTACTCATTATTTATGCATAGTCTAACAGTATGAAATATATTAATAACATCTTTTATCATTAAATTGACTTATACAGCTGGCAGTTTTTAATCCTAATATTCAGGCTGTTAACCATTGTTGAAACAAATACACAGCAATTAAAGCAAGTATAGCAATAAAATGTAATAAAATGAAAATGACACAGTGGAAAACTGAAGAGATGAAGAGAAAGTGAATATAATAAACAAGAAAACGGATTTGATTTTATTATGTCCTCTAATGTTCTTGCTTCACTCTCCAGGTCGATCTACATGGAGTTTGAGAAAGATGTAGAGGTGAAAGGAATCCCAGCCTACCGTTTCACACCACCACGCTCTGTTTTGGCCAGCAAAGAAGAGAACCCGGCCAATGAGGGTTTCTGCGTCAGCCAAGATGAGTGCCTGGGAACTGGTGTTCTTAAAGTCAGTCCCTGTCGGAGAGGTAAATGTCAGCTTGCGCAGCCTATTTTCTCACCCGCTTATTTGCTCTTTCACATGCCTCTCTCCAAATACTCAGTTCTGTGCCCGTCTCGTAGTGTCTACCATGAGTTTAATATTTTTCTCATCATTCTCCTCTCTTGCATTTATTTAATTAGCTGTACCTCCTACACAAAGCCTCTGTGCTTACACTCTGAATAGGGCCTTTCTAGTAAACACATAACTTTTCATTTCAAAGCTGTCTATGTTCTTGTTCTTTCTGCTTTCTACCCAGCCCTATTTTAACTGATAATACACTTCTGTCGGTCGAGTCCTCCCTTTTATTTTTCTTTCTACTGTCACCAGCACTAATACCCCCTAAATGACCCATGTGACAAAGCTCTCCAGCCCTCTCCACACCTCAGCCGCCATTTGACCATGACTGGCCCAGCGCTAAGCCCTGTCACCTGATTCTGGCCTTGAATATGACCAGAAATTACCTTAGTCCCTGTGTTTACTGGCCAAATGTTTTATTTCTTAAAGATTATCATTCCCTGTACAATAACAATACCAGTATTTTACCTTATTTTCCACATTGACTATAAATAACATAATGTGTTTTAATTTTAATGCATTTTTAATAGGTAACTGTTACCTTTTATTCACTTCAGTATAAATATAGAGAGACTTGTAACTTGTTTCATAGAGGTTTTCTTTCCGATTCCAAGCCAGTTTTATTTAAATATAAATCCAATATATCACAAATTGGCCTCATGGAGCTTTACAATCTGTACAGAATATGACATCCATTCTTAGACCCTCAATTTGGAACTGGAAGAAACCCCAGCTACAGCAACAGAGTAAGGGAACCTCTCCCAGGACATACAGACATGCAGTAGATATTGTGTCTTTCTTTTCTTGCGTTAAAGTTTCTGCAGAAAGAAACATGATGTCATTTGCTGTGAAGGACAGCAATTACTGTTTGCATGATGATTTTCATGGCGCACTGAGATGAATGGAAACTAATGGCTACCATATACATAAATGCTAAGCATATCTGATTTGTAGTATATGGGCCAACGTTTTAGGCCATTGCATGCATCACATTTTTTCTTTAGCATAATTGTAGTGTAGCCAGAAACAACCCTTTTTATTTTACTGAGAAGAGGAGGATTTAAAGGACCGTGCAGGTGGTTAAGTTTAGTGTCAGGTGTCGAGGAATGAACACAGTGATTAATGGCTCTTGTAAGTAGACCAATACAAATATGTGTGTGTGTCTGCACTACAGTGACCTTGTGGGATGTCACAGGAACAGCCTCAGGTGACTGTGGGTGTCCATTGCTTTCGTCAAACGTGTGTTGCCAAACACAAGTGCAGGAAAACTGTCACCTCTGCCCCACTTTATCAGCACCTCTAACTGTTCCACCATCTGACTTTGATGTTGCTGCTGAGACACGTGGTTCTTCAACAACACGTCCAGAATGACTTAGTCCAACATTGCATAGGTGGAATCTAACCAAACATTTTTCACTTGACTATAAATTTCCTTATCTTGACCGAGGCCGTTTTGTAAGAACATGATGTATCCTGTTGACAATATGAGGAAGTAACAAGATACAGCCCTTAAGTTGTTTTACAAATGGGGCTGTGGTCCATTTGTGCACCCATTGTTTGTTTTCTGTGGACGATTAACCCTAAGTAAAGTGCTGTGTGTCCTGCGACGGAGATTAGATCATATCTTGAGGAATCTTCCCGAATGTCCCGCTGCATGCTATGTCCTCATTAGATCATACATCAAACAGCAGCAAATGTGACCTTTGATGAAAAGGTTGTTTTCCATGGTGCCTTTGAGTCTGGAATGATGAGAGGTTTTTATGTTGCACCATCTTGGCGTTGTCTCCGTCAGCCTGGGTGTTATTTTGTAACTAAGTAAGTAAGTAAAGTTTATTTGTATAGCACCTTTCACAGATAAAAATCACAAAGTGCTTCACAATAAAATGTAATAAAAGACGAGCACATTATAGAAACGATATATACTTGACGTATAGAAAGGAGAACTTATTTTGTTGACTCATCTATGTACAGCAGAGATAGATATTTTTTTATCTGCTTAATGTTATCACTTCCCTTTTTCCTCCTTTCCTCTCGCACATAGGTGCCCCAGTGGTCGCCTCCTTTCCTCATTTTTACCTGGCAGATTCAAAATATGTGGCTGCAATTGAAGGAATGTCTCCTCACAGAAAGCATCACCAAACTTTCCTAGATCTTAACCCGGTAAGCCACCAGGCCACAGTCTGTCAGCCTCAAATGCAACCCTGCAGTTATAATTAGTAACATTAATGCTGTGACTCTTCGTTGTTGGTCACACTGCACATTACAAGCCACTGTTGAAATACATCGGAGCCAAGCATTTCATTGGAATGTTTTGAGAGGAATGCCATGCTGCAAAGGTGTACTGCTACACCACCTAGTGGCTTATAAGTAGAAGTACAAACGTTTATCACCTACATCGTAGTTATCAACATCCCCATTGTACTCATAAGACAATGGGGATGACAAGAGAGTGTCATATATTTAATTTTGATGTCTGTTCTGGTGATACAATGTCATTAACACTATACTTTATTTTTTGCATGCTGCAGACCACTGGAGTGATTGTGCGTGCAAGCAAGAGAGCACAGATAAATGTCTTGCTCAGCAGAATCTCCGGATTCCCGTGAGTATCTGCATCCAAACACAAGCTAAACACTATTATTCTATACTGCTGATGTATGTGTCTGTACTGTATATGATTGCTTCAACCTCTTTTCACTGTATTCATAACAGTGCCACTAGAGGCCTGAATAACACGATCTTTCCCGTCATGTTCCTCAATGAGGTAAGGAACATGCTGAAACACACACTTGTGGCGTAGTAATTTTATTTTATAAACAAAATCATTGAAGTTTATTTGATGAATATGGAGCAAAAACTTTCCAAAAATGAATATGTAGCAATTCAAAAAGAAACCCATTTGCTTTCATTCTTAGGGTACCAAATTTTAACAGCCTAAATCAGGACTAAACCACCAGAAAGGATTATATACAAGATGCAAAACCAGTCACTAGTAATATACTTCTCCTCTCCATAATGTGTATTTCACATTGTCTTTTAATTTGCAGAGTGTGGTGATTGATGACGCATCTGCAGCAAGAGTACACAAGCTGCTGCTGATTGTCACTGTAGTGTCCAACTTGCCGCTCATTATTGTGGGACTGGGTGCCATTTTGCTCATAGTGCTCATCATCCTTCTGGTCCGGGCCCGCAAACAGAAGGTATAACGTCACGTTTTACCCTGATTGTATCCCAACAGCTGACCATTTGCATGCTTTGTTCCAATAATTAATTCTTGTTAATGTTTGTGTAATTCATTCAGTTGCTTATCCACACACTAATTGCACTGTGCATGTATTTATCACTGTATGTCTCCATGCAGAATGAAGTTAAGCGCATTGTGTTTACCAAGCCTCTCTATGCTGTAAGTCTTTATGGTTATTTTGCTGCTTTGTTTGGTTCTCCATGTTGTCTTTGCTTTATTCTACTTTCTGTCTTACTATATTGTGTACTTATTTTCCATAAGCATCTTTAAACTAATTTTTCACGCCTCCTGAAATAATTTGTGTGCGGTACCGTCAACTTTTTGTTGTTGTTTAACATAATGAAGTAATACCAAAGGTCTATTAAGTTCTGTTAAAATGTTGCTAGTAATGTAAGAAGGCATGTTTTTTGATACTGTTTTAATACTTTTTCTTTAATCCTCAATCTCCCACTACAGGCATCCACTGAAGAGGACACTTCTTACTCTCCAGTCAGTGACAAGGAAAAGGAAGACCCTCAAAATGGAACCTTTATTGGTTTGACAGCGAAGGCAGAAGATTGAGGGAGGGACTGGTTAGAAGGGGGCTTTGTATATCGACAACCGTCAGAATTACAAAAGGCGATTTGGGTTTTCAGGGGAAAAGAAATTATCTTTATAATTAGAAATCTCAGGGGGGAGGGGGGTGGAGAGGTAGAGGAGGGGTTTGTGTCTAGTCTCAAACATGTATGTACATAATTTTAGCCATGGAGAGATACTTAAAGTCCAGGTCTAGCACACTTAATTCTCAGAAAAAAGGTTCTGACTATCATTTGAAAACACTGCATATAAAAGGCAACTTCTTTCTGTTTGCTTGAATCATTTGCTGATGCAAAGTTACTGACCACACGCTGCAGTTGAGATGAGCACACTTTGTAGTGTTCCTAAACAAACACAACACACCCTCTAAACCTCAGGTGTGGAATCAAATAGATTTTGAAGTGGCTTCACCTATTTCTCTGTGACTAGATTAGATTCTTGTCTTCAGATTTTAGTGACTAACTACTATGTTACAGGGCATAGAGGGTAATGTGGGACCAGGGTAATGAAGTCCGCAAACTGTGAGTTACATCACTCTCAGGGGGGCTCTGCTTAGAAACTGTCAAATATTATTAAAGCCAGAAGAAGGAGCAAAATATTCAGCAAGTATTGTCTTTGTGAAGACACTTAAATCCATTCAGTATTACTATGTTCCATTCGCATTTCATCCTAAACTAAATGTTACAAGACAATTTCATGGCTCATTAATATTTTCTATTCATGCAATGTGTTTAGAGGGACATCACCGTACCTATATTTTTGTATATATACAGTGTACGATGTGTTGAACTGCTGACATTCCTCTCAGTGTATGATGGGAATGAATATCAGACAAACCGCTGTATATTTTGGAGACTACTTTTTTGTAAAGTAAGAAGTCCTTCTCATTTTTTGTAAATGTTAATTTAGAAATGTTTGAATTAGGAACATTTTAAGTTAGAGTTTCAGAAATGTCGTATAGTGCCATAATCAGCAGCACTTTTATCAGCCATCTATAGCCCTGAATATGACAGGATTTATGGTTGAAACAATGATTCATACACTACTGAATTTATGTGCTGACAGTATTTTTGCCCTGTATAACTGCTTCTACAATCTCATGTAGACATATCAAAATGTAATTCACCTTACTATCATTTCAAAATGAAATGTGTGTTTTTCATGCTGTTGTTGAAGGACTTATCAGCATTGTTGGTGCTGAAAATTACACCCACCAAACCTTTTTTTTTCTTCAGTGTTTGTGAAATGTTTGTGAAAGATTTTAAGAGAATTCAGTCCAGCCATTTCAACTCAAAACTAATGTGGGTTCAGTATGAAGAAACACTGTAGTTGTGCCTTTAAAAGAATCAGTCATTACTGGCTTTATTTTGTATTTTATAGTTTTCACATATTTTGTGAAAAGGACGCCATGTTGTACCAACAAATCTAATCTCAAGTGTATATTGTTTTCTTCCAAATACCAAACAAAACTGTGGGTGAAACTGTTTTTATAGTTTTTGTACAGCTGGCAGTCAAGCTGTACTCTGCTTGAATCATAGATTGTAGTACAGGGCAACAGCTTTCTCACTCAAGGCGCTTGAAAATATTGAATTCGAGGTGTCATTTAATGTAATATAGAAAATGCTGCAGAATTACTTTATTTGAATAGGGATGTGTCCAGCTTTTATTACTGCTCTTATTTGTAACATTTTAAGCATGAATGAATTACTTCATACCACCTTGTCATTCAATGCATTCTAATAATCAGCAATTAATATATCAGACAGTAGTGGGGAAGCTTAACATGTTTTAGATTAGTTCCTCATTTGATTTTACTATTTTCTTTTGTTTGTTTGACTTTAATTCAATTATGTACAATAAGAAAACTGAATATAGATAGAAAAAAATATGGAGTGCATAATGTAATGTCGTCATAAATTCATGATAGGGTGAATGAATGTCATTTTTATGCACAAACCCCCCACAGTATTACACTATATTGTTGTTGTCCTTAAACAGGATCAATTATTTTGTTACATTAGTAAAAACCAAAACACAGAACGACTTTATACTGGGCTGCTTTGTGCCACAGTTTGATCACAGGTTGTACGGAAATGATTGTTACTGCTATAACCACATATTCTTATTGTCAGCTTGTTTTGAAATGTTGATTGTTAAAACTGTTTTTACTGTGTACACAAAAATAAAAGTATTTCAGTAAATATGTCTTTTCATCATTTAAGCCTTTTTTGTCAGTGTTAGGTTATCATATGTTTAAGTTAGAAATCCATAGTTGCTTGAGAAAAATACTTGTTTGTAGTACTTGAATAAAAGAAAGTTTCTATTTGAAGTAATTTAGCAGTTAAATTTAGATTTCTCAAATTGCACCAGATTACCTGATTGAGCATGGCTGGTTGCAGTGCTGTCATGCACATAGACAAATTAACCTATTTGACTTTCAATTAATTATCTTCCCTATTCCACGAGATGATGTGGGTAAAAATACGGCAACAGTACATCTGAAGCATTTCTTCACAGCAACACGCATGCTGTGATGCCATGGAAGACTACATCTGGATAAATTGGTTGTTCATGTCTGAGAGAAAGAAAGAAAGGAAAATAAGTTTGTAGTCTTGCCATAGGCCTTCATCATTTTTCCACATAAGTCTAAAGTGTTGGGTCTGTGCGGTTAGTTTTTAGGATTAGGTTCTACTATCTTGGTTTTAGAGTAAGGGATAAATCCTGCTTGTATTTGCGAGATGAGTGACATTTATTAAAGGTGGCAGAATGCTTCTATTATGTGTCTCGTGATTCACTGAAAATTCATAAATGAAAGTTGGATTTGCAGGCCTCTATTTTATAAATAATATATATATTATCAATACTATACTGCTCTTTGGCATTAACTCTTAAATGACCCACCGTTGCGGATGCATTAATTGTTTTTCCATGAGACGGCCACAGTCTTTAGAATGATCCTTGCAGAAGTAGCTAGCCATCTCTGATTCAGACGCCAGGTGGCGGTAATGCGCCGTTATGTTGGATACTAACTCGGTAGCCTCAACAAGCAGCAGAGGAAAACCCTCTTTGGGGTAGCAGAATAAAAGATAATAATGGGAGCACTATAGAGGAATTTATGGACAGGTGGAGATTAGTTTGTTTAAATGATGGCAGGCCAACTAGATTTGATATTAGAACAGGAAATGTTTCATATATAGATTTGGCATTAGCGTCCAGTGAACTAGCTAGGGTTGGAGAGTGGGATTCTTTGGACAGATATACAATAGGGAGTGATCATTACCCAATATTATTGAGGTTTGGGAAAACTTTATTGAGTGAAGAACAGGGTAACCAAAACTTATTTAATTATAGTAAGGCAGATTGGGCACTTTTTTCTGAAAAGTGTAACAAAACTATAGAGGAAGTAAATGAGGAAGGGACAATAGAGGAATGGAATAGCAGCTTATGTGAAATAATTATGAAAAGTGCAATTGAATCTATCCCGATAAAGAAGTGTTCTAAAAGGAAAATTAGTGTGCCATGGTGGAACAAGGACTGTGATAAAGCAGTAAGAGACAGGAATTGCGGGTATAGAGCATTGAGGAAACATCCAACAGAAGATAAAGCAGTAGAATATAAAAGACTGCGAGCCAAAGCACGCAGAGTGATTAAGACTGCAAAAAAAGAGTGCTGGAGAAAATACTGTGGAAAACTAGGGGCAGAGACTGCAGTAACAGAAATATGGCGGGCAGTACATCGTATGGCAGGAAGTAATAGGAAAAGGAAAATGCCAGTTTTAGAGGAGGGAGGATTGTTTGCTACAAGTGATTTGGATAAAGCAAAGCTATGTGAAAATAGCTTTAGAGCTGTTCACAGTGGAGCTAACATTGGTGAAGCAGGTATAAGGAAAAGAAATGAGATATTAGAGCAAAATCGATACAAACTTGAGATAAATAATGATAATTCTGATGTGGGTAATTTATTTTTCTCATTAGAAGAATTGCACAGGGCAATTGGAAAAGGAAGGAAAACAGCCCCGGGAAAGGATGGTGTTAGCTATGAGATTGTTAAGAATCTTAGTGACAAAGTTTTGGAGGAAATCTTGGCCTTAATGAATCACATATGGCAAGAGGGAAGTCTACCTAGCACATGGAAGCATGCACTGGTGGTTCCAATATTGAAACCAGGGAAAGACGCTTATAAGGCAGGATCATACAGGCCCATTGCACTGACATCAGTCCTATGTAAAATAATGGAAAGGATGGTTACAGACAGATTGGTTTATAAGTTAGAGAAGAAGGGATGGTTTACATCAGTACAAAGTGGATTCCGTAGAGGGAGAAGTACCATGGATGCCGTTACGTCCCTTGACAGTGATATAAAGAAAGCAATGGTGAATAGAGAAGTATTAATGGCGGTGTTTATTGATATTGAAAAGGCGTATGACATGCTATGGAAGGAGGGGCTTGTCATAAAACTATATGAGGCTGGAGTCAGAGGGAGGATGATTAACTGGATACAAGACTTCTTGAAGGACAGGAGAATTCAAGTTAGGGTTGCAAATGCTTTATCAGCTGGAACAGGTATCGATAACGGAACTCCTCAGGGTAGCGTGATAAGCCCAGTCCTTTTCAATATTATGATAAATGATATATTTGAAGAAATTGGGAATAGTTTTGGAAAATCTCTATTTGCTGATGATGGGGCCATCTGGAAAAGGGGCAGGAATGTCAAACAAATAACTGAGCAAATGCAAGTAGCTCTGAACAAAGTAACTAGTTGGGGTGAAAAGTGGGGGTTGAGGATATCAGTGGAGAAATCAAAGTATATAATATTTGGTAATAAGAAAACTGAATGTGGTGGTTTATTTTTGTATGAACAAGCAATTGAGAGGGTTAAAGAGTTCAAATTTTTGGGTGTGCATTTGGATGAGAAGCTAACATGGAAAAAGCAGATAGATAATGTTGTAAATAAGTGTGAAAAGGTATTAAATGTAATGCGTTCCCTCTCAGGTAGCACATGGGGTGCAGGCAGAGATACTCAACTAATGATCTACAGGGCAATGATAAGATCTAGGTTGGATTATGGATGTGTGTGTTATGGGACAGCCGCTGATACACATTTAAAGAGGCTGGAAGTAATACAAGCTAAGGCACTGAGACTATGTTGCGGGGCCCTCCGTACAACTCCAGTCCCAGCTTTGTTGGTAGAGATGGGGGAAATGCCATTGTCAATTAGACGGGAGAAATTGGCAATGCAGTATATTGTTAAATTATGGGCACATAAAGGAGAACACCCTACAAAAATAGTTCTAAGTAATGCGTGGGAGTGGGGATCAGGGAAAAGGAGGAAGGAATGTTTTATGTTTAACATCAGGAAAAAAATTGAGGAACTGGGACTGAAGGAGGAAGGGATGGCCCCGCAAGTGTACTGGTCAGTTGTACCACCGTGGTTGATGTCCATACCAGAAATAGATCTTAGTATAATGGATAACATCAAACATCATGAAGGCACAGAGTATCCCAATATGGTAAAGCGAAGACTGGAAAATCAGTGGGGAACTTACCTTCAGATATATACAGATGGATCCCAAGATCCACAAACTGGGAAGTCAGGCTTTGCTTTTTATATCCCACAATATGAATATGTAAAGCTTAAACGACTGTCTGAGGGGGTATCGGTGTATACAACAGAACTTCTAGCTATTATATGGGCACTAAAGTGGATAGAGGAAGTGCAACCAAGGAGAGCAGTAATATGCTCAGATTCGGCTTCAGTGTTAAAAACTCTGGGAGGAAGTAATATGGGAGCTCGGCCAGATCTGTTTATGGAGCTGATGGTTCTGTTGTATAAAATCGAAAAGGCTGGAGGGTCAGTGGGATTTCTCTGGGTCCCTGCACATGTTGGGGTAGAAGGGAATGAGGTGGCAGACAAGGTAGCAAAAATGACTCTGAAAAGAGATATTGATTTAGAAGTTTGTATTGGGGTCACCGAATGTAGATCTGTCATTAAGGAAAACACTATAGTAGTATGGCAGAGGCAGTGGGAAAAGGAAACAAAGGGCCGGCATTATTATGCAATACAAAACAAAGTAAAGACAGAGCAGAGTTGCTTGGGTAAATCCAGAAGACAAGCTGTAATTATGACAAGACTAAGGCTGGGACACTGTGGATTTGCATGGGATCTAGCGAAGATAGGCAAACATGAGGATGGGCTCTGTAGAACCTGCAATCAACAACAGACTGTTAATCATGTGTTTATGGAATGTCAACAGTATAAAAGGCAAAGAGAACAACTGTATTCTGAGGTAGCAGGAGATGGACTACAAGCAGTGACATTGAGAGATATTTTGAATCCTCATGAGAACCAATCAAGGATAGTGGAAGCAGTCATGGATTTTATATCTGCAACAGGATTAGCCCTCTGAGAATGAAGGTGCTATAAAGCGATACCGAGACTGAACTGTGGGTGGCAGCAATATGCCGTAAGGCATCTAGTCTGCCGGAAAGCCAGTAGAAGAAGAAGAAGAAGCAGCAGAGGAAGACCTGGTTTTTGATAACAGTCAACATGGCGTTCAGTTTCGGCGGCGCCACGAGTAACCCGGCGGCAAGTAAGAACATTTAAATTTAATTTGGGAGTATTTTAATGAGGCTGAAAATATGCCATTTGTGTATTTTCCAATAAAGGTTTGGTGTGTGTACATTATCAACAATACAAATAAATGGTGAACTGATGCTCACCAATCTTCTGTTACGTTAGCAGCCATGCCGGTGGGATCACCTACCGGTTATCGATAAACTTAGTGAGAAATGCTTCTAGATCTTCGGCTTGTAGGTGGCTGTTTACCCACATATGTTACAAGTTGTTTTAATGTTAAACTTCAGTGAAACAGCGCTGGTTATTATAACGTTGCTCGTGTTCGGCTAACGTTAGCTGTTTATGCTAATGATATCATTAAGTGCGTAACTATGTACCGTTAAGCTAGCTAACGTTAACGCTCCTTGATGTCCAAAATGAGCTTGCAGCTTGTGCAATCCATTGTGGCTGTAACGTTGCTGTCACGACACCCAACACTCATAGCACTCTCTATGTTCTTATGAAGACACGTCCGGGTTTTCATTCGGTTCATTTGGTCCCAAAACTACAGCATCAACAGCATTTGGCTTTGGCACCGCAGCCACCACCACCACCGCCTCATCCGGATTCGGCAGTAAGTCCAGAATGCTGATCCTCACTGAAGAGCTCATGACCCGCAGAAATCACAGCTGCTCGGCTGTGTTGTTGGTCAGAGTTATTGGAGAGATGCACCAGTGTATTTACCTGTTGTTAGCCCCATTTGGGACTGTCTCATCTATTATCTCTCTCATACCTCTCTGTCTCACACACACACAGACGGTGACAAATTAAAGGAGAAACCAAGATGAAATGTGTTAGTATGGCGCTTGCAGTCTATATGGTAAAAGCCTCAAGAACAGCTGCAGTGCTCCTTGATAAGACCATGGAATTGTATTGGAGGCATGAACACAATTCCTGCAAAGACATTCCCTCTTAATAATAGTAATAATAATAATAAAAACTATTATTATTTAATCAGGTCATCTCACTGTGCTCAAGATCTCTTTTGCAAGAGAGACCTATGTGCAGCATATAGACAGAAAGAAAATCAAACATCCACATATAAAAGGACATATAGCCTCAGAGGCAGTCACCAACATCACTAAATTGATTGAAAAGTGAAAGTTTATATTATATAATTTCTTCTTACGGAGATGGTGGTGGAGAGCATTGTCAAACATGGTGGTCCAAAATCTTCCGTATGTGTGAAACTGACTTTAGATCTGGTGACTGCAAAGGCCGTAGTATTTTATTCACATCATTTTCTAACTCCCCAAAACCAGCATTTGATATGTTTCTCCTTTGTAATTCAGGTTTTTCTTTCAATTTGTCCGCTGTCTGTATGTTGTTTGCTTTCTAAGAATCTTTGTAATGTGTCCCCTGTGTTTTTGATTGGGAATGTGTACATCTTCTGTGTAGATTCTGTTGTTTGCCGTTTGTGCTCCACGTAGTGTGAATGAAAAAAGAGAGAAAAGTATCTTTTCTTGTCTGATACCTGAATATATTCTTGGCCGATATTGGTAGTCAAAGTGACTTAGAAAGAAAAGAACAATGAACCATGAATGTTTGTTTGTTGTATCCAGATCAATTTTTGTGCCAGTTTAATTGACTGCCTGTTCTGTGTCTGCTCTTTCCTTGTAGCTCTTACAGCCCCTGGTTTTGGGGCAGCCACCACCACTGCTGCTGCACCAGCCACAGGATTTAGTTTTGGCTCCACCAACACTGGTAAGATACATATGATGTTATATCTGTTATATACAAATGTTGCTTTGTTGTTTTTTAGTCCTGTCTCTGTTAAGATACACTGGACAGACTTGACTGTTTTTACAATTAATGAGCCCACGCTAGGCAAGACGTTTTTGTCATTTAACCCTTTCATGTCATTCTCTCTTTCTCGCTGCCTGCCTTCGCTGGCTGCAGGATTTGGGGGGCTGGGAGCTGGAAACACCACGGCTGGTGGGTTTAGTTTTGGGGGGTTTGGTTTAAATGCCAACCCAGCAGCAGTCAGCTTTAATGTGGGGTGCTTTGGTACAGCAACCACCACTGGCACTGTTTTCAATTTTGGTAATAGCCTGGCTAGCACAGGTAGATGCCCTTTGTGATTGATTAATCAGTACAGTCTGTGTCTGTAAACACACATTTTCATCCATTTTCACATCTATGTTGTGTGCAGTGCTTTTTCTTCTTATGTGTTGCTTTATCTCATAAAATGTCATGCATTGTTATTTCCATTTGCACGAGGAGACAAAATGATGAATTATGCACTCATCTCATTTGATTCCTGTAGAAGGCCAATACATTTTCACCTTCTTTGTAAGACAGAAGAACAATGCTAGATAAAAGGAAATTATAATTCAGTTTTCCTTGTATTCATCTTAAAAGCTCAATAAGGATTATTCTCTTCTACTATATGTAAAATAGTCAGCGATTTCATTATTTGTTCTTTCCTCCATCTATTTTATCTCTCACTTCCTTGTGTCACCTCATTTATCATGATATGCTTCGTTTCTCAGGCACGTTTGGTGGTTTTGGGACGACTACAACATCTGCTGCTGCACCAGGGTCCTCTTTTAGCTTCGCTGCTCCCACCAACACCGCAGGTCAGCAGTATTGCCGCATTCATCCCTAACAACAAGTCTTATTTTTAACATCTTCACTCCACCCCTTTTGTACCACTACAGGGATTGCAGGTCAACAATATAGGCCACACAGAAGTGGTATACATTATCTGAAAGCTGGGAGATGCTCAATTATGTCTCATCAGATGAGATACCATTTGTTATGGTGCTTTCAGACCATAAGTGAAGCGAGCGTTTGAGGCGGTGAGTTTACATATCAATACACATCAGCGCTGTGACCAAGTTAGCATAGCATAGCCCTGATCGATCCAAACTCCATTCAGAAAACAAACATTTTAGAAGTTGTTGTCCTGCTGTCTTGCTGGCAGACCTGACAAAGCATGACTTCATATGTTTAACAAATCTGCATCATGTTGTAGTTATTTCGGCATCAGTTTAATCCGTTTATTGCCATTTAATCACAGCAAAACGTTTACTTTGAGTTCATACAGTTGTAATAATGGCGAGTTGTGTTTATTCACGTTATCGCGTTAAAATCGCCTTCTCGCGTTGTGTATGAACACTTGCAGCGAATGTACTCACGTGAGGAAAGCGTTGCTAGGCGAAAATTCGCGGTTGGTCTGAATGCGGCATTACACAGATTTGTGTAATAGTGCATAATGTAACCATTTTGACTGCTTGAAAATTGATGGTCAAAAATCCCTCCATATACCACATTAAGATACCAAGACCTTGAGGAACACCGTAGAAAAGTTCACGCTGTGATATGCTATCAAAAACTTGACTTGATTTGGAGATTTATGTAAGAATTGCATTTTATGGCGATTGGATAGCAACCACTTCTGTTCTGGAAGATCCTCAGAAGCCCACTTATTGTTAATATACCTAGGAAAGCCATAGGTCTCTAGATTGTGGTTGTAAAGTTTCAAGAAATGGCGACTATAGAGACTAACATCATCACATATAAATACAATTGGTGCTTTCCTGTCATACCCAATTTATGTAATTCCAATCCAGTTTAGGGACCCCAGTATATAGAAATATTCAAATACACCATTTTTAGAATAGGTGAAAATAACTTTATATATATATGTTGCATAGTTTATGTCTGTACAAGGGGAGACTCTTGGGTAACCATAGAACCCAGTTTCATTCAGATATCTTGAGGGGGGAGGTCAAAGGACCCATTTGAAAATGGCTATATCAGTTTTTCCCTCACCAAAATGTTGCCTAAATTTTTCCCTTTCCCAAAAAGTTGGCATGATATGGTTGGGGCCGATGGACCAATCTCCCCTCTAGATTTCAAACTGAGCCCGCTACAGCCTCTGAGTTTTGTTCTGATGGTTGATGTGTTTAAAGTGTAGCTGTACAGTTATTTGTTGCATTAAAAAGTAAATTTTTCAGATGAAAATTAGAAGGAAAAAAACAGCATATAGCTGCTACAAGATGTCTCACTCACTCTACACTGTCATTCCCATCATTCCTGCAGCGATTTCCTCTGCAAAGCTGGCAACATATTTCCCAAACTCTGTAGACTTAACTGGCTTTCAGTAGCATTAATGTAGTTCATATTTTCTCACTGTGTTTGCACATTCTTGTGTTTTAGGAAGCCTGTTTGGTAACACGCAGAACAAAGGGTTTGGGTTCTCCTCTGGGCTTGGCACTGGGACTGCTACTGGAACAGGATTTGGAACTGGATTAGGAACAACTGGCCTGGGTGGGTTTGGAGGTTTTAATATCCAGCCAACTCAGCAGCAGCAAGGTGAGAGCCTGTATTTCCACGTAGCAGTTTGTTTCCATGTGAGTATTAGAACATGATGAATCAAACAAGTCAGCCATTGCAGAACATTAAAGCTGATATTATTTCTTTTTAAATTAGTAAATGGCTAATTTGACCACCTCTGTGTTTTGTTTTTTAAAGCATCATTATAAATCCCACAAATGAACAAATTTATCACGGTTGGAGAAACGTTAATCCACCTGTCCTGGACGAACTGCCAGTTATTTATGTTTAAAATACAACCAGCATACTGAAAACAATGCATTTCACACCATGTTTTTATTTTCCCATTTCAAAATTAAACATGAGTCCAGCAGTATTGTCGTTTTTTGTTTTTGCACTCAAACACAGCCTTCCACAACGCTACCAGCTGTGTTGTACACCTTATGACTGCAGAGGGCGATAACAAGCAGAAGGTTACAGATTTAAGCTTTAATGTCATCATCAATCCAGCATCCACTTGCAGCCAAAGCAGAAATATAAGAAGTTGGAAAAATATTATTAGTTAATTTCCTTGCATTATAAAATAATATCATTTAAATCAGTAGTTTTCCCCCATATGAACATATAATTAAAGATGTTTCCGAAAATTTAAAGAGTATGATAATCTGACCTATCACCTCTCCTTCCTCTTACCAGGAGGCTTGTTTGGTCAGCAGGCCCAGCAACCAGGTCAGGCTCAGCCCACCCAGCTTTACCAGCAGGTCACTGCTCTGTCAGCTCCCACTTTGTTAGGAGATGAGCGGGACTCCATCTTAGCCAAATGGAACCAACTGCAGGCTTACTGGGGCACTGGAAAGGGCTTCTACAGCAACAACCACCCACCTGTTGACTTCACCCAGGAGAACCCATTCTGCAGGTTCAAGGTAAAGGCAGATAGTCCGGTAGAGTGGTAAAGTTTGGTTAACATTAATGGGGATTTTAATATAAAATGGTTCTCTGTATCTTTTTTTTACTAGGCGGTGGGCTATAGCTGCGTCCCAGTGAGTAAGGATGAGGATGGTTTAGTGGTCTTGGTTCTCAACAAAAAGGAAGCTGATGTGCGAGCTCAGCAGCAGCATCTGGTGGAGTCCCTCCACAAGGTCCTGGGAAGCAACCAGACACTCGCTGTCAATGTAGACGGTGTCAAAGCCCTGCCCAGTGACCAGTAAGTTGCTGTAACGTGTCATACAGCACTACTACTACTACTACAACACACATGGTTTCCTAATGTCTTTCAAAAAAGCTTTTCTGTCAGAAATTCTAATAGATAATGCACAAATTGATGGTAAACAAACAGTCTTATTCACCTGTATCTCAGAACAGAGGTGATCATTTACGTGGTGGAGCGTTCTCCTAATGGCACATCCAAGCGGATCCCTGCCACCACACTCTTCGGTTATCTGGAGCAGGCCAACATCAAGATCCAGCTCACGCAGATTGGCGTGGCCATGACAGTCACTCGCACAGAGCTGTCCCCAGCACAACTCAAACAGCTGCTGCAAAATGCACCTGCAGGTAAACGTCTGTGTGCATGTCTGTCACCCTCCCCCTGTATTCAACAAAGCGTTGGTTTGTGATTTAATTGTAAGTGATGATGTTGTTGGTTCTCACTAGGAGTGGACCCCATCATTTGGGAGCAGGCTAAGGTGGACAACCCTGACCCTGAGAAGTAAGTTGGTTAAGAACTTCTGCTCAGGACTTTACATAAAAGGTGGCATATAAATAATGTTAGGAGGGGAAGAACAAGAACAAAGACTGGACAATCCTTGAGATCCTCCAGTCATGATTTTCCCCAACTTTGTAGCATTTCACCTTACTGGGTAACACCAGAAGATGAGCTGTTGTTGATTACCTGTTGTAGCTTCAAGAGAAAAGTTTGCATAAGAGCCAGATTGGGAAATAATAGACTTTCCTTTTAACTTGATTTAAATGTGCCATTTTTTTACCTCTATGGAAGCAGTTTAAAAAACAAAAAGTTTTTCCATATAATGAAACAACAGTACATTTATAGAAGTTAGGATAAGATCCATAAAATTGTTTGTTTTCTTTAAATCACCTCATAAAAGCAGTGTGCACATGCTTGCCCCACATTGTACAAAACAATGGTCCTTAAGCCATATTTCACAACGACTTTTCTCAACTGATTTGGAATTTTCACCGCATGACACTCACACACCAACTAAAGAATAATGCTGGCTCTGATGGTTTCCTGACCAGTTCACATTATGCAATGGCTTTTACTGGATGTTTGTTTACAAAAAGTCAATAAACTACAGCTTTCTGTGGTAACGCATGTTGTCATTAAAGACTTTTGCAATGTTTTCTCTCCAGATTAATCCCAGTGCCCATGGTGGGTTTTAAGGAGCTGCTTCGGAGGCTGCAGATCCAGGAGCAGATGACCAAACAGCACCAGACCAGAGTGGATGTAAGCGAAAACACTATTGTTTGTTATTGCTCGTCTTAGGTCGCTAGATGTTTAAAAAAAATAAAAAAAAAAGACATGGGCACAATGCCTTGGAATTTTGAAGAAGATTTTGTGGTGTCAAGGACAGAGTACACAGATGTCCAATTCCTGCTAGCTACCAACATGTTGTTTACAGCTGAAATTGCTATTAGGAAAACTTGAAATACTTGAAATTTTTTTACATTTGTATAGCTAATAGTAAATTATGTGAAACAATTTTCTTTACACACACACTAACATTACCATAAAATGCAACATTAAACTTGTGTGTAACTGCAGACACTGTACCGTATCTTAGTATGTTAATGAAAAGCAAAATATTTCTACGGGAAGGTAACAGGGCAGAGGTTCTTTTCACCTTGATAGGTCTAAAAGAAACATCATGACATGAAATCAGTGGAGAAATGCTAAACATGTTAACAATATTCCTCCCTCCTGTTTCACTCACTTACACACACATACACCTATATGTACTTTCAGATTATCTCCAATGACATTAGTGAACTGCAGAAGAACCAGGCGACCACAGTGGCCAAGATTGCTCAGTACAAGAGGAAGCTGATGGATCTCTCTCACAGGGTGCTGCAGGTAGCCGTCTTTCTTTTAATAACGTTGTTCTCTGAAAACATGTTGTAGGTATCTAGCTCTCCCTTTTCCAAAAACTGATGTGATGAATAGCATCTATATATTTCAAGGGTTTGAATGAATGCCCTGGCACCGTCTGTGTCTTCCTCCTTCTTTATTGTTTCTGCTCCAGACTGTCTTGCCATATTTATCACTCCTCCTCCTCCTCCTCTGTCCCTTTTCTCCTGCCAGGTCCTGATCAAACAGGAGATTCAGAGAAAAAGTGGTTATGCTATCCAAGTGGATGAAGAGCACCTCAGGGTGCAGCTGGACACCATTCAGTCTGAACTCAATGCCCCCACACAGTTCAAGGTAAGTGTCTAAACTGACGGTGCTCGTTTTTTCATTCACTGAAAATGCTTTTAAGATTTGAAATCAGCATGTTTGAGATTGAATGTTACCAAATTTAAATTTAGTGTTAATTTTTCTGTACGACCAATTGGTAGTTTACTAATAGGTTTTATAGCTGCATAAGTCAAAATGAGACCGTATCTGTTGCGTTTTACAGAAAGCAAATTAACAATGACAAGAACGGGGACTAAAATTACAAAAGTGAAGTGGTTTTGGCTAGACTAGCTTCATTATCATGACTAAATAAGACTATAATGTCAACAATTTTCATCGACTAGAACTATACTAAAATAGCTACTGTTCCTTGACTAAGATAAGACTATAATGCTCAGACTTTTTGTCATCTAAAATCTGATTTAAAAACAGGATGAGGTTGACTAAATATGATAAAAACTAACAAGGACATTTGATTGAGGATTAAGACTAAATTAAATAGCTGACAATGGGACACAGTAATAGAAAGACACCTCCACAGTGCTACTGGGGTTCAGAAACTACATTCAGTGGGATCTGATTGTATTTGTGAATAAACACACGTAATGGATGTTTTACAGTGTTTGTGTTGTCTTTTCTTCCAGGGTCGGTTAAATGAGTTAATGTCCCAAATCCGGATGCAGAATCACTTTGGAGCTGTGAGATCAGAAGAGCGCTACAATGTTGATGCAGACCTTCTCAGAGAAATCAAACAAGTGAGGCAGCGCATTTACACAGTGCATCGTATTTTAACTAACTCAAATTCTAAATAACCCTGTGATTGTAGTGCCAGCCCTCTGAATGCACAGTTGTGATTCTCTAGACCATGACTGCCTTTAAACATATTTTGAAGGTTTTTGGCATTAAACTGAAGCACATCTTCCTTATCTCTCACTTTCAGCACTTGAAACAGCAGCAGGATGGTTTAAGTCATTTGATCAGCGTCATAAAAGATGACTTGGAAGACATCAAACTCATAGAGCATGGGCTGAGTGACAGTGGACACATGAGAGGAGGCCTCCTGAGCTGAGTCTACCGTACCGACACACACATACATAAGCTCCGACTCTTTATATATGTAAGTCCTCTGAAAAGTGGCGTGCCAGTCGTCCAGATTAGTCAACGTACTTTTTGTTATGGCATTGAAATAATGTTGAAGCACTCTTTGGCTTCATAGGCAGGCATCTGAATTTGGAGGCATTACTCCATTTCGGCAGGTTTATCAGGACATTGCCCCACTATCTGTACTGACAAAAACATTGACTGGTTAATCTGTGCTTTCTGGACTGACTTAATGGAAAGACTCAACATCGTCTAATAATAGCTGGATTCCCTTATGTTAAATCAGATTACGGATATGAGACAATGGAAGTGACTGGCATGTAAACAAGTCGCTGGATTGAGTGTGTTGAGGTTGAATGCATTGTAAATACAAATCAATCAATCTGCTTTTTTATGCTGATGTTACAATATTAATAAATTTTCATTTAAATTGAAAACAAGTTCTTCATTACATCCTTTCCTTGCGTACATACTGTAAAGGAAGCCAACTTTTTCAGGGTTTCCTCTGTGTATTTCTGTTTGAATAGTGCCACTTTCTTCCATCTGTATCCTGTTTTTGATTTGAAGAGGTCGTATATAGCTGCATTGTATGGTACTAATATGGGACATCTCACATGTCCTGTGTTTACCTGCACACAATCCCTTTCCAACATCTCATCAAAGTAGGGCTTGAGTTGATAGGATTCATGCCCTGGATTCACTTCCCCACAAGGATGAAAGACTGATTGGCAGTTGAACTGATTAAGCAGCTTTTGGGCAGATTATATCTCCTCGTGCAGTGAAGTCACCAACATCTCGTGGGTCTGAATTACACATTGTTTTTCGGAGCGAAGTAATGTACACCTTCTTCCACCTGTGTAGAAGTAGTGACTGACTACTGGAGTCACTAGTTTTTCAGAACAAGTTGTTACATACACCAAACATTATGCATGGATGACGCAAATACTGAAGGAGACCACAAAAAGAAAAATATCAACTATAATGGATTAATACCTAATTATTAATCCCTCTGTACAGGACAATGTACCAATTTGGCCACAAAGGTTTTTTAATGTAATGAAACAAACATTTTAAAGGCATTCTAGACTGATTCGAGCTCTTGAGAAGCAGAAATCACCGTAATTGATTAAACACTGAAAAGGAGCATCCTACAGAAGTGGTTGCTTTTGCTTATGATACTGCTTTTAATTGATAATTTCTTTCAAACTTCTACATTGTGAGTTTTAGCTTATACAGACTATACAATACGTTCCATCACTAATATTTAGAATAGTGCTTCTTAGGAAGTGCTTTATTCTCATCAATGAAATTCGATCAAGCTCAAACAGTGAATTCAAGACAAACCCTGTGCCCCATATTCGCAAGTTCATTAGGATATCCAGGTCCCCAAGTATGTCTTTACTTAGACTCAATTTGGTACTGACACCAGAGTAACTCAAGAGTTTGTATACCACTCCTCCAGCGATAGCTGTGGCCGGATGCATTCTGTTTTCGGGTTGTCCGTCCCATTCTCATGAATGCAATATCTCAGGAACGCCTTAAGGGAATGTCTTTAAATTTGGCACAAACATCCACTTGACTCAAAAAAGAAGGGACTAGAATTTGGTTGTCAAACACATTTTTGGCCAAAGATCATATCATAGCCTCCACCTCGCACTTTATTGGGAATGCAGCCATTTTGAGAAAGAGAGAGAGAGAGAAGCCCAAATGTCAAATAATTGCTGCAAAATATCTTATCATGCCATGAACTGTGGACAACCAGTGGAAACTTAGACTAATTTTCAAATGATTATTTTGATTGTTTGATATTTTAGTAATTGTTTTTTGATACTGCTTTTTTTAGTCTTTTTTTTTTTTATGAACTAATTAATTAGTTTTTTTGCCTGTTAATATACACACACACACGGTTTTATCTATTCATTTTATTTTAAGTTTTTAATATATTATTATTATATATACACTTTACTGTGTCATTTACTTAGTTTATTGTAATTTTTTATATATTTTTTTAACACACACATTACTGTCATTTACTTAGTTTATTTAAATTTAACACACACACACACGCTTACTGTTTATTTTAATTTAATATTTTCATTTTCTAACATACTAACACACACCTGCATACTATTTTTTTTTTATATTTATTTTTACGGAATTATATATATATTTTTTTTGTATTAATACACACAAACACAACTTTTGCTGTTATATTTCCTTATGTACTTTATACAGTATATAGCTTTGGCAATATTGTTGCTAGACAATCATGCCAATAAAGCTAATTTGAATTAGAGGGAATTTCTTAATATTTAGCAAAAACTGATTTGAATTTGGAGGTTAAAGGTCAACTTCACTGCAACATCAAACTCCTGGAAAACACTATTGGCCATTATTCAACACCATAACTCAGGACAGATTTTTACCAGTTGGTTGGAAACTGAATGGGCAACACTTTTGACTCAAAGGTCATCGTGACCATCGTTTTTTTAGCCATTACTGAAGAATTAATCGGGCAATTCAAGATTTCACAAATGTTGACTGGGACAACACAATGAAAAAAACAATAACTAGCACAGTACAGACTTTACAGACCTGCAGCTCGGAGAGAGAGTTCAAGTCAGGAGAAAACAAAAAGCACCACATTTTGTCGCTCTACTCTATAAGAATACATCTTTACATAGTAATCGTAATCATTGTACGTGTTCGTACATGTGTAACTGTTTAGTCAAGACATCAGACAATCCTTCATTAATCGGTTCAACAGTGTGTATTCACTGGAATCATATAAACTTCCATTTAGCCCAAAAATACACATTTTACTTTTTTATTAGACTTCTTTCACGTATATTATGTGAGTCTGGACAGACATGGAGGTAAACTGCAACTTGACTGGTTGGCAGAAGCATTCAATCTCAGGTTGGTAATTCTAGTTGTCAGTGAAATACACTCTTCACCTTTTAAAAGAGTACGCACGGATTTAGCATTGCAGTCCTTTAACATCTACGGATTCGTGGTAGACAAAAAAGAATTAAAATTGATGCAGTAGAACCAGCGATATTGTCTTTTATTATTCCACTCACTCCACTGTTCAACCTGCTGTCTACATTACCCACAGTGCAATTTGACCACTGACAGCTTGGCCTTAAGAAGAGATGAAAAGCAGGCTACAGAGGTCTGTAAACTCACTTCTTTCTAATGCCACACTTCCAGATTTTCAAACTTTCAAACCAGCACTACCTGAAGTGACATGACTTGAGTCAGTTTATCAGACTTCACGCAGCTCCCTCTGGAGTCACAATTTTCTTTTCACATATACAGTTTTACTCTGTAAGACCTGTAGATAGACTTGTGATCTGGGAAATCTGGGGCATTCCTTTGATTCCTAACTTCATTGGGCCAAGCGTAGTCAACAGAAAAGGCCAAGACGACATCACGTGTTTGATGTTTTATGCATAACTAAACAGGTGATCATTACGTTACACATAAATTCTTAAAATACACCAACTTCTCAAATAAACTTAAATAAAAAAAAGTCAAAAATCTAAGAGGTAGAAAAGATCTAGTTTGCACAGGGGTAAACAATAATGCACAATCAACCGACACAGATCAAATGGATGAGATACTTCTAAGTGAGTTCTTGGTGTTCTCTATGCAGCAGGTACAGCTACAGCTCCTGGCTCAGGCTCATGTTATGTGCAGAGAGGTCCACCAGCCGGAACGCCTCCATGAACTCATTGATGTCGATGCTCCCGTCCTTGTTGAAGTCAATGCTCTGGGCCAGGTCTGCAATGGCCTCGTCACTGATCTCTGTGTTAAGATGGGAGCTCAGGAGTTTCCAGGTCTGACGAAACTCCTCGAAAGAGATCAAACCTAGAAGTAAATACAGAGGAGGAGAATGTATTAAAAGTTGTTGTAAAATTTGTAGCATGCTTTTTGTTCATTGGCTTTCAGCTGAAAGGTCTTTTAATGAAGAATAAGTATGGGGTTTTTCAGACATTTATAGAAGGATCTTAGTAACAGCCAAGTAGAGGTATTATATTCCCACTTATGTTGTAGACATTTGGGAAAAACAAAATTAGAAAACACATATACAGCTTTCACATAAACTAAGTAACAAGACTAAAGCTGATGATACACGGAGCAACTATTACAACAATGGTGCTGGGCAATGTTGCTGTCAATGGTAATGAGTAAAGATTACCACCTTAATCCCCTTTCCCCGCCACCATGATGTTGAGCAGGTATAATGTTTACCATGTTCTTAGTTAAACATATTCATGGCTATCCATCAAGTAGATGTGGAGATATTTCAATGGATATATGAAAACCTTGCCCTGCTGGTGGCGCAATATGAAAGGTTAAGGGGATCACCACAGTCAGTAGGGTTCATCCTCTAGGGACCAGGAATGGCCGTACAAAAATCTCATTGCAACATATGTTATGTTTGTGGAGATATTTCAGTCTGGATCAAAGTGGTTGACCAATCGACCAGCATGGCTGAAAAGGAGAAAGAGTCATGGAGCTAGTGTCTGGGATCCAGGCTAAGCTGCTTGCTGACCTGAGTGATCTGTGTCTATGATTCTGAAGATTGTTTCCAGGTTGGAGTGATTTTTGTACATAGTCTCCAGGATACTGTTATCTGAGATCTGAAATGGATAAACAGACAAATCCATCAGGATTTTGCCACTCTGTGTGTGTCCGACAGAGAAAAAAGGGTGAGAAAGAAAGAAACATACAAACAAAACACACTGACATTAGATGTATGGGGCAGACCTCTAGTTTGGGCTCTGTGATGGAGAGCTCCCTTATCCACTGCTGGTAGTCTACCATGCCATACTGGGTGCTGCTGACCAGCTGAGGACGCAGCACTCTCCAGGGCAGACCAAGATTCAGAACTCTCTCTGTGGCGCTGGCCCAGTGCCTTAGAGAGATCATCCCTGAACCACAAACAGAAATATACAGTGGAGTTATTCCATTCTTGTGTTTGTGAGAGTTATGTCATTGCTGCTCAGTGTGTAGTTTTACCTGTTTTGTTAGCGTCAAACTCCTGGAAGGCACTGATGAGATCTGACTTGTGCACAAACAGTTGTTCCCTCAGAGCTCGTAGAGCTGATCTCTCTGTCCACCCGACACTGACACAGAACAGGGAGAGAAAAAAACATGTTGGAAATAATGTTTTTCATCTTGTTATCTTACATTTTGTGCAGCCTCAAACATGTACCTTTGTCTCAGGGTGAGCTCTCTGCATGTCCTGCTTGCCTGATACTGATTGAAGTGGGGGACCAGATCAGGGCCCATTCGGATGTAGGCTCCTCTGTTGCTGCCTACCTCGTAGTAGTTAGATGCTGAAAATATAGTCAGCACCTGGGTGCGATAGAATACGGTTAGTAAGTTTGCTAAGACTCACTGTATGTGACCCACTGATTGCTAATTGTTCTCAAATTAAATGCCGAAATGAGGATTTCTCACAATGGCTTCTGTTCAGTAATATAGCAAAGTGTGTTCCCCCGCATACATACTAGCCCTTTTTTCCCCAGTCATTTGCCAGATCGTCCAATATCCTGAGCACAGCCTGCACCGTTTTCGCCTGCCTGCCTAGTTTGCCCTTGATGATTGATTCCTCTCTTTTGAAGTCTTCCCAAGTAAAATATAGATTGTTTTCAACTGCTCTGCCTCTGGCTCCTTCTTGTGAGTTCACATCTCCTTTGTAGGATTCACATTCCTACTATCATCACTCGAAAGCAAATTGTAATTGTTTCCATAACCTGTAATTCTACCTTAATCTCTTCCTCATGGGTATCTTTGTGCTGCTCACCCTGCGGTTGTGGCAGAACTCATAGCCTTCCTGTTTGCACTCATGGGAGCGGATGAGGAGTTGGAGGTTGTGTCTTCCCAGCACTTCCTCGGTGACATCTGGCCCCCAGTAGCAGCCTCCGCCTCGCACTTCATTGGGAATGCAGCCATTTTGGGGCATTGGATCACTCCACAACATGTCTACTATCTGGTTGGCCGAAAAATTAAAATAAAATAGAACATCTGCCAAAATGACAACAACCACTGAGATTCAATATCCTTCCTGTCACTTACTTGTTTCCACTCATGCTCATCTGTCTCTGCTGTTTCTCCTGACTCCGGGTCTGAGTCGGAGTCAGACTTTTGCAGTTCCCCATAGGACTGGTCAAACCCAGCCAGTCTGCGCCTCCTTTTCAGCTCCTCCTCCACTGACCAGTTGAGTTGACTGCTCATGGGTACGCTGTGGAGTGAGCGGCGTGGGATGTCATGCCCGTGAGCCGGGGCTGGGCTGTGGTGAGTCAGAGAACACACTCGACGCCGGCTTTCCACCAGTTCTGTGTTCCTGTTGTTCATTGTCGGAGTCTTACTGCCATTGACTGCATGATGGGTCGATTTAGGAGGCCTGAGAGCTGACACGTACTATGCATGTAAAAAATATGCACAGATTTAAACCACTTAATATCATAATATTTCTCAATATGCTATTTATAAGTTAATATACAGCACAATACTACAATATAACCCCCCGCTCGCCCACACAGTGCACAGGCCTACATGATTCGACTATCAGTGACTATAGGCAAGACTTGACAATTCTGATTCGACTGTGTAAATCCTTAGTCAGGGACAGCCCTACTGAATACACAAATTTTATTGATGCCCAAAAGGCCTCGCTTACTTTGTGTCTGTCCACCCTGGCTATCCTGTCAAGGTTTGTCGTGTCAGAGATCCCACCATGCACAATCAGCACCTTGTGATCAATCACTGTGGCCAGAGGCAGCCAGCTGAAAATCTTCTGGAGAAGCTTTAGGATCATCTTGCCATGCATCTGCAGATCAAGGCAAGCTTACAGTGACTTAAATACAGTTATAGGAATTGTTATCATTATTAATTGGAGCTTTTTTTGCCATGCTAGAAGCGGTTGGTTGGTCAGTCCACCACTTTGGTCCAGACAGAAATACCTCAACAACTATTCGATGTCTTGCCAGTACATTTTGAACAGGTATTCATTGTCCCCAGAGGATTAATGCTGCTGACTTTGGTGATGCCCTGACTTTTTCTCTAGCGCCACCATGAGGTTGACATTTGTGAATTTTAAGTGAACTATACCATGAAAATACCAAAACCAACAATGTCTCTGAATACTTTCCGACTTTGCTAGCCTGTCTGTGGCACTCAAGACATAAATCTAAAAAACATGTCACAAAGGTCTAACTTTATTTAAATTCTATGGGTTTCTGTGGATTAATACACATTTGGTAATCTTGTGTGTATGTATGTATGCCAGCAGGACCCTGTCTGTTTCACCATAATGAAGGAACATGTCACCCACTGCAACAGCGTGGCTCATTTATGTGCTTTTATTGGTTTTGGGACAACAATGGAGGGCTGTGGCACAGATGAAAAAGTTGTATCTGGCATTTGCTACACAGACAATGCTTTTTATTAGAATCAGTTTTTTGATGTTTTTTTCTATTTGCTGAAAATACAAAAAAAGACCCACACTCATTTGTCCCAGTTAACCTTTTGAAAGCAGATGGTGCTCTGGGCGATGATAATGATTGAAACATTTTTTTCCCGCCGATGTTGTTGCTCCGAGTCTAAGCGGCGCCATCTTTATTATTGCGCAATACCTGCAAGCTGCCTGCCTGCTGTCGTCTTTTCTGCAGAGGAAACATGCCGCTTGAGAACATACGGTGTTTTTTGCCATTTTGTGGCCGTTCCGGATCGACTGATACCCCCCATCACTGTGGGATGTTCCGTTCTAAATCTACAGGCCTGTAAAGCATGGGAGTGCTTTTGGTGACAGGAATGTTGATGAATACTCCTGTTTTTATCAATATTTCAATGTTTTGTCATTTGGAAATAGGTTGTATGGACTGAAAAAGTGTTTTAAAGATATCTATCAATAAAAGTCAGCATTTTAACAATAAATATTGCCAAAATATGGAAATTCGCCTGGTATATTTGAAAATGTTGTATAACTGTTGTATTTTAGTTTATTTTCATCAGATTTACAGTTACAATTGCATTCTAGGTGTATTAGAAGATATTCAGTTGCATTAAAAGCTAACCCACGATGGTTTTGATGGTTTATTGCATCAAAATATAGCTTTTTTACCAGGCGAGGCTAAAAATTTCAGATTTTTTCTTTATTGCATCTCCATGTAGTCTGTAAAAGTAAAATAAAAATATTAATACACAATGGATTCATATTCCTTAGCTTCTGACTTTTCAAAGGAGGCCAGAATTATGCATCTAGGCCAAGTGGTTGAGGAGTTATTCCTGATTCATTTTGGGTATGTAATTTTAGGAGTTCTTTCTGGAAAAAGGGGTCTGTTTTCATCAAGTTAATTAACATGTACCAGCCCATGCAGGCAGTGAGACTTGTTGTATCAAAGTGCTGCTCGCAGACAAGACAGATTATGATCATCAAAATTAACATTTTTTCACTCCCCGAGGGGTGGCCTTTGTCAGACACATCACGCGAACTGAAAAAGTTACAATCTGAAGGTTATGTTTACACATGCAGGCTTGAATGAGGTGAAAATAGAAGGGCATGTGGTTTGTACTGTACTTTTACTGGTAATACTAGTGGGCTTTTCTTAAGTAACATTTTGAATTCCGAACTTGTAATGTAGTATTTTTTAAAATTGTGGTATTGCTACTTTTTCTTCAGTAAATGATCTGAAAACTTCCACTTCTGCCACTCAGGCTAGGTTTGGCCAAGAGCAATATCATATTGAGGTCAAAGCAAAATACACAAGACTTACCCTGTATTTTCCCAAAACTTCTTTAGTGAAACCATATCTGGAGAAAACAGTTACCAGATTAATATACACATTAGCTGTATGTTGAATATAATCCCTTTAATACTAAGCAAATACGCAGAACAGGCCACTAAAGGGGAGTTTGAGAAGAGGAAAGCAATGTGGAGACTAGCTTACCTCAGGTTAACGATGTGGTCCTCATGGTTCCCTCTGTTCAGATGGACATCATTGGGATAGACCAGCAGGAACCCAAACAGGATGAGCAGAATCTCTAAGGAGTTTTTGCCACGATCCACATAGTCTCCATTGAATACATACGGTTTCTCAGAGGACGGCAAACCATTCTGGACAGGTGAAGTTAAAGGTGTTAATTAAAATAAACGTCCCTGTTCGACTCTATGGTGACTTATGGTGACTTGCATGTTGTGAATACCTTATAGAATATCAACAGCAGATCTTCAAGGTGTCCATGTAAATCTCCTGGGAAGGGATAAATAATGCATTAATACATGTGACAGTGTGAGTGCACGCTGAATGTTTCAAGGGCAGTAAAAAAAAAAAAAATGTGCAAGAAGTTATCAAGAGCAAAAATATGCCTGCTGTTGTGTACCGCATATAGTAATCTCCTTCGTATGGCAGGCGGCGACTTGACTGATATTTGGAAGAATTCTTAAAAGTCTCCAAGTCTCTCCAAGAAGCTGCAGAACATATCGAGCATGTAGCTGCTACTGGGGAAAAAACAAGTATGAATAAAGTGTGTGCTGAAGGGAAAAGGCAGTCATCAGATACCTGTGTATTCTTGTCTGCTTTGAGTGTGCCTTATGTGCCCGTGTACCTACTTGTTTGTGCTTGAAGGCCTCCACCAGCTTCGATACCCCGCAGAAGGTCATGGGGAAGGTCAGATGGGGGCCATTGTAGCTGTCGGGTACCTCAATGCTCTTATAGCAAAAATATCTCTCCCATTCTGTGTCACGGCAGATTTCATTCTTACGAAAGATGTGAGATATTAGGTTTCCTGCATTAGAGGCAGAGGGTGAAAGAAAGAGAGATGGTCCATGTGGTAAGGGAAAGCCACATTACGATTCTCAGCAGAGAGATTAGCTCACCGTCAGTCATCTAATGCAACCCACAAGTCAGGGAATTAAACAGTAGTTGAGAATCAGTCTTACTTTCACTGCTGGCTGGGGTGAAGTGGTCCATCAAGAAACCAAAGAAATTATAGAGCTGCAGGAAGGAAAATGAAAATTTGAAAGTTAATGGTTAATTCGCAAGAGTTAATGAAGACTCTCTACAGCCATGCTCGCAGCTCTGTGATGCTGTGGATTTGCACATCAATGCTTTGAGCATTTGCTCACTCTGACAATGCGAGTGTGTTGGTGTTAAGCAGGTATAATATTTACCTTGTTCATCTTTTTAAAGTATTAGCATGATAACATTTGCTTATTATCACTAAAAAGAAAGTACAGCCAAGGCTGATGGGAATGTCATTAGTTTTGCAGGTATGTGGTCATAAACCGATGATTGATTATTAAAAGTTAAGTGATCACCAGAGTTATTACAATTCATCCTCTGGATACCATGAACGTCTGTATAAAATTTCATGGCATTAATAGTTCAGTAAAACATTTCACTCTGAACCACAAATGTCATCCTTATGGTGGAGCTGGGGGAAAGGAGTCAGGAGATCACCAAAGTCAGCAGGATTCATACTATGGGGACCACAAATATGTGTATTAAAGATTCAATGGCAATACACCCTGTAGTTATAGAGAAATTTCAGTCTGACATTGCCACCCACCATGGTGCTAGCAAGCATGGCTAACTATTTGGGTCACTGTGAAGCGAGCACATTTGAGATCAATTGATGTTCATTCTGTGCAAACATTTGCCCTAAAGTGTTCAAAACTGTGTGACCTCACCTTGATCTGGTCTTGCTCTCCTGCATATTCAATAGACTGGAAGATGTTCCACGTGCACCTGCGTCTCATCTCCAGCCGGGCAACATACTGACGGTACCAGCGCTGGATCAGCAGAGCAGCTCTCATTGCTGATTGAAAAAAAGGCGCTTGTTCATAACTTTGCTGACCTTCCTCTTCCACTGCCAATGCATTCATTCATCATGTCAGATCAGATCTAGACCGAAAGACTTACCAGTGGCAGCTTCACAGTGTGCATAAATATTTAGTGGAGATCGCAAAAGTTATCAAACACTGCCAATTGAGACTTTTTTTTTTGCAGATAGTTTTGTGCAAAGAGGTGATGAAACAAAACACATATTTACCTGGAACTGAGATGCTCACTAAAAATGAAAAATGGTAATGGCACTGACGTTAAATAATTGCAATCAAAAGGAACATGTCTGTGAAAACTTGACTATTCACTAGAATGATTTTGATAAAGGCCACACCTTTGCCACGTTTCTTCAGCTGCTGTTCTGATTTTCCCATGCCACATCCCATGACCTTCTGCTGTTTTCACTGTTAAAGACAAAGATACTTTAATGTGTGAATCTGAGTTACCTGACCTTGTGTTTTGCAACCTGGGAATAATGCAGTAATAGATCTCTATATACAGCATAATTTTTATTATTTTATCATATTAGAAAAATTCTTGATTTAAACATTTTTGGCAACAACAAAATGTACAAGTCTAAATACTTTGGAGACATCTATCTTATTACTTAGCTGTGTTTTTACAAAATTATTATAAAAGTAGAAAGCAAAAGTATGAATAGAATAAGCATTTAATTTAATATCTAAAGGGTCTATTTAAAGTAAATGATAAATAAAAACAAAGCAGCAGATAAGCTGAAAGGAACCTTACCTGGCCACGTTACCTTTCTTTCATTACCTACCCTCACTTCTTCAGCACCTGTAAAGGAACCTCATAATTTCTATCTTCCCAGTAACACTGTTACAATTTAAAAAAATACGAAACGTGCTATCTCTTAGATTTTTCCATTTCCCAGGCACAGCAGCACAGGCCCCAGTGGCTGTAATATTGTAAGTGGATGTCCCCTCTCTGCAGCTACACACTCTCAGCCAACACAAACTGACTACATGCTTGTAGCAGAGCCAAGCGTCTTAGACAGGCCCCATGATCACTTAAACAAAACAAAGCACAAGTGGATTAGGATTAAAACTTACTACGGCTGCCATCTACGCTAAATAAACGGATCAAGGCTCTGATAAAGGGCAGCAACTGTTTTGACAGGCAGTTGTGTTGGCTTCGGCTCAAGACCTGTGTCATCGTTGTGACTCATAAAAACTATTAACGTCAATATTCTCTCTCTTTCCACATTAATAATTAATTGACCTCTGGCTTGTCTGGGTCCGTGTATTCTCAGTAAATATAAACCTATTTCTAAATTGTCCCTGCTATGTTTAGAACTTCATTCTATGTTTAGAACTTCATTCTAAACATAGCAGAGGCTCAGTTTATCTTTAGCTTCATATGCTGATAGTGGTGTCCTATTGTTGTTCTGCTTGACCTTGATACTCGGATTCCACTGATTACGTTTTCAAATGTTATGTTTGACTTTTTGAACAAATCAGAGAAACATCTATGGACTAGGTCTGAACATTGTGTAAAGAAAAATATCGTATTGCCATCATTTTGACTGCTTCTGCTATACGATTAACATTTGTAGTGGGAATGGTAATTTTTACATTTCACTTCCACTAAAAAATAAATATATAAATGTCTGGAGACTATAAATTGTATGCCGGGTCATCTCTGTAACACTACAATGCTTCATTTATATATATATATATATATATATATACCATACCTAACAACCATTAGGTATAAAAACACCAAGAATGCACACAAAGAAAAGGGGTTAAAATGCCTGCCTGCATGTCTATTGGAGTAACAAATGGCCATAGTTGTTATATATATATATACAGCATATATATTATTTTTTCCTGTGGTGTGACATCAATTTATAGAACAACAGCAGTCATTGGACAAAGAAACACTATACAATATAGTGTAATCCAATTTTTTAAAAGTAATCTACAGCTTCAGAACAAATCAGTAAATCTTAATAAATCTTTCTGACAGTTTCAAGAAAAACTATGCATTGTAAGCTTTACTATGTAGTCTTAATTGCAGGCCTGTTGGGTTGTAATACAGTGTTATAGCTGTTGTTCTGTCCATGTGGTAATCATGTTTAAGTCTTGTCATGCAGACAAGCATTTAGAATTTTATCTCTATAGTTACATTTCTCAGAGGTAGATTTCTGATACTGTAGCTTCTCCATCTTGCTACATTAAATGCTGCAGTCATTTTTTATAAATCCATATTAAATTAAACATTGATTAAACCCTGTAGAACTCCCCTTCGTTGAAATACATTTCAGGAATGTCCTCTGTGTTGACTACTTGTTGAACATCTGCACCTTGTATCCTCCGCAGTCCTTCATCTATGTATAAATGCTCTTTGTGATCCCGGCCAGGAGCAGCTGCCGGTGGAGTGACTCCCAGCGGTACGACAACAAGTGGTGGGAGACGTCTGAAACTCAAGGACTCCACTCGTTCATGCATGGTTATAGAGGGTCGAGAGCTGCAGCCAGTTTCCCACAGTGACCTCAGGTGTGTGTGTTGTGTGTGCTTCATGTTTTTATATCCCAGTAGGGACTTTAACCTGAATGCACACTAACCAATGGGGACTCGTGTCACTGTATGGACAACGATTTACGTACCCGCTGGTAGAGACTGCTTTTTGTGGGGTAAGATTACAACACAATTGGGTTAAGGTTATAAGGTTAGGGTAAGGGGTAAGGTTAGACAGGTAGTTGTGATGGTTAAGGTTAGAGTAAGGGGCAAGGAAATCCATTATGTCAATGAGTTGTCCCCACGGGGATAGAGAAACAAATGTGGGTGTGTGTCTGTTTAAAGGAAAAGGCTGACTATATTATATATTTTTGTTAATGTCACCAAACCCCATCAAATTCCAAAACCAACAATTTGTTAATCTGACTCACAATACTTCACCACTTCCTTATCCTGTCTCTATGGCACCCTCTCTGTATATGTGCATATATACACATACAGATATGTTATATTTCCTGTCTGAAGTTAATGTCGCCCTCCCCCTTATTGAGCTTCATTGTGCAGAATTATACATGTAAATGTTTGGGCAAAGTCTATGGTACAGAGGAATAAGAAGATATCTACAGAACAACACACTTATTAGCAGAATAATTTAATTCTTGTTTTTGGTGGTATGGCATTTGTTTATAGTAAGACAAATATAGCACATCACCAGAGTTATCCTTTGCGTCTATTATGTGCATGTTGTAACAATCACCAAAAAGCTGCTGAGTTATGGTTTATCATTTCTGAAATATTTGCTGACCTGAGATTGAGCTCCTCACAGTGTTGTTGAGACCTGTAGAATATATTTCGCAAGATCCTATTACACATTTGTGTTATGATCCCCAGATAGGGTGTTACAAAGGACACAGACTGTTTTAGGGTTACGAATGATTTGAAAGTGATGGATGAAGCAAGAATCTCACCACTGTGAGCTGAGATGGAATATGAGGAATATACGTGCTCTTCTTATGTCAGGCCCTTTTGCGAAGTTAATGTTTTCAAACAGATATACCATACACTGATGAATGAATGCATACACTAAGAAAGGCCATTTTCTGTGGGTCTGCAGCTCAGATGTAAGATCTGAACATGATCATCACTTCAAAACCATCCTGTCATTTTGTATTAGGTGCCAAAGAAAGTATTGCAGGTCCTGTATCAACTTGTACCAAGACGTTCTCTGGCACTGTTGATGAATTAGGGCTTGATATCCACTTCAGCATATAGACCATGTATTTTGAGCTGCACAGGAAAGTTTAGCCGTGTCCCAGTTTAGGTCTCAGTGAGGCCTCAGAGGAGAGGGCACCTGAGGACGTGAACTTAGCATTCCTCTCATGGCTCACACAACTGTCAACGCTGCCAAGTTTACTTGCTCTGGACTTTCAGATATGAACATCTCCTGCGATCTTTGTGTTACATTTCTTCCCTCCGGATCCTGTCCTTGAATGACAACTGCAGGGGAATAATATTGTTATTATGTTTATCAGCGGAGACTTCTGCCTTTAATGTCCGGCCAAAAAATGGGAGTCGTAATAGAAACTGATAACTACCCATATGCAGACATGAATAGGCATTCCCTGTATTCTTCCCATGCTTCTCTGGGTATGTCTTGTCTGGATGTGGGTCAGAGTATTAAAACCCCTTAAAAAGCAGGGCTGTGCAGCCAAATGTTGTGTACCAAAAATATCAGGGTCATTTGGGGGGAAATCTGTATACATGAAGCACAAGACAATATAGTCTTAGGTTTGAATATTTAGCTCAGTGTAAACATCATAAAGCTCCAATGAAGAGCTGGAACAGGCTGATACAGAATATACACTCAGTGTCCACTTTATTAAGTACACCTCTATAGTGTAATGTACAACTGCTCTGCCATAAAGTCTACTTTTGTTATACAAAGTTCAGTTTTTGTTGTTTGTTATAGAGGTGTTAATTGAATTATATGTTGCGTTGTGCTGTGTTGCTAATATTCTGCCCTACCTCACAGTCATATAAGTAAATAGTGAGGAAAAAACATTTGACATCACCTCTCAATATAATGTAGATTAATGATGACCTCAATAATAAACATAATGAAGCAAGACGTTATGGCAGGGCTGTTGTATGGTCTCTTAAGTGTATATGATACTGGTAGGGTGGAAAACATAATTTTAACAAACTTTAAGCTACGTAACAGGCATCAGAATGGATAAAACTGTAGGTTAAAGGTTTAATTCTATAAAAACATTTGGTAAAAAGCTGTTTTAAAAGGATAGTTTGAGATTTTTGAAGTTGGGATGGTACTTGTCCATAGTCCATAGTCCATAGAAGTTCTACAGTTGAGAAAAGAAGCAAGGGCTGTCTGACGGCCACGTAGAGCATCGAAAACATTCCAAATATTGTGTACACTTGAACTGATATAGATTTTTTTTGGTAGGCCTTCTTTTATGTGGCAAAAATAAATTTTGCTGCTGACCCTGTCCACAGCAGTGGGCTACATTGCTTAGCTTCCATGCTGGTACAACTCTCTGGTTCTCCAGACTGTGGATGCGCTTTCCGCCATCTACTGCCGGTAATACACCGACTATGTACAAGTACCTCATTCAGCCCTACTAAAAACCCAGACTATCCCTTTAAAGTTGGCTGGCTGACGGTGGGCTTACAGACCATTACAGGATCTGTTGTTATATGTGCGTCCCAGAGTTACTATTTCACGACTAGTAACTAGTAAGCATGTCGTAATGTGGTATGCCTATATACTATTCTCTCTTTTTTTTCCTCCCTCCCACCTCTAATTCTTGTCTGTTTGTCTTGAGTCTATTAGTCTCCCCTTCTTTCTTCGCCGGGTCGTCCTTCTTGTACTCTTTCACATGGAACAGGGGACAAGATAACAATATTAAGTATCTCAAGGCCAAGCTGGGGTACAGGGAGATAAAAACCCAGGTTCCCAGGCCCTGACAAACAATACCTAGAGCAGCATCACTGTCTGGTCACTCCTGTCTCCTCATTCAACCAGACACACAGAACCAACCACAGTAGCCTGTCGCGAGTCTGACTCAAAAGCAGTTGATCTATAGATTGACCATCCGGCTCATGCACCATGTCTTTCACGTTTGTTGTCATTACAATGCTTCTCGGCTCTTCAGTGGTTATCGCATTTGTCTTGCAGCCATCCAAAGAAGAACCTGCAGCCTCTGCAAATGCTCCTGTTTCCTACCACAGGTCAGTATCCTTTAATACAGTAACATTTAAAACAATTTTCCTCAAGATTTTCCAAAGAATTATGAAATGTCTTTTTAGGTCAGAGACGTGCCAAACAGATTACATATCAAGGGATATGTGCATGCTGAGGCCTTTTTACTTGGGTTCAGGGGAAATACTAAATTATGTGACTGATTCAGGGTCACTTTGACCGTTTTTCCAAGAATGTTGTGCAGACATGTAACACACTTTTCTGTTTAAGCTTCAACAGTGTAATCAATCACTTAGCCAATGTCTGTAAAGTGCTTCCATAGTTCATTGAGGGTACTGAGAGTGCGATTTATTTTAGTCCATGCAAACTAGTCGCTTTTCAGAAAAATTTGCCGTTTTGAATCAAAATAAGTAATATACTTGAATCGTTTACATCCCAAGATGATAACACAGTAAGTTTACTTATTTTTCAGAAGCATTTTTTCTATTACTACGTGTTTCTGTTTTAATAATTTGCACTATTTAAATAACATTAATGTGTTATGTGCTGTTCAGATGCCAGCATGAGTCATTGCAGTCCATCAGGAAGAGTCTCCTCGGGGCTCTCAACTTGCAGACTGAGCCACAGCTGCCTGCTGGTGGGCTGGAGGGGGTCAGAAAGCAATGGTGGAGCACCTTCAGCAGCAATGCCCACAGAGCCATGGACACTGCTGGTAAGTTCAACCCAAAATTCGAAGAAGCTACTGTGGATCCCACAGTTTTCCAGCCTAATCCTTCATGGATTTTCTTAAAGTCAAACCCAGCCAAAAGTCTACATTGCTCTACTTTTGCTGTCCCTTTCTTAATGTCCTTCCAGTTCCAGCAGTCTCTGGGTACTCTGTGTCACCTGATGATGGAAACAGTACGAGTGAACTGAAGTGCTGTTCCATGGCCCATGAGATCTTCATGAAAGGTATGCTACAGTGTGTTTGTGTGTGTGCATGTATGTGTGTTTGTGCATTTTGACATGCTCTTATACATAAAGAAATATAGTAATGCATGTAATATCCATTCTTATGTTCACCAGATCTGGGCTGGGACAACTGGGTGATCCATCCTGCCAGCCTTACCATCGTTCAGTGTGCCCTCTGCAACCCCAAAGCGAACACTATGCAATGTCCATCATCCCGCACCGATGTCCAGGATGCCAACTCACAGGTATAATTATCTTAAGACAATTAAATAGTTAAATAATGTCTGCAAACATCACTTACCTTGTTTTGCAATGATCTATGTTTACATACATACATAGATGTTTAGTACCTTTCTTTTAAAATGCAAAGAAATCCAGCTGAGGTCACCTGAAAAATTCCCATAGGTGTGTGTGAGAGTCATTGTTAGTGGTCTGATGGACTGAAAACTGCCTTCTGTCAGATGCAATGGAATTATATCATCAAAATATTCCATTAAAAGTCTTGCATTAAAAGTAAGTCATATTAATGTAATATCAGCAGAACTAAAGTATCAAAAGAAAAGTACTCATTATGCAGCAGAATTACCTCTTTTATTATTAGATTATAATTACTGGTGGCATTAATGGGTAACAAGCCTTTTAATGTTGTAAATACTATTAGTTAATCTATTTTTTCTTTCTAAAAACTCATCACATGTTATGTTTATAAAATCTTAATCTGCAAGGTAACTAGTAACTACAGCTGCCAGATAAATGTATTGTAGTAAAAATTACAATATTTCCCTCTAAAATGTAATGGAGTGAAAGTATAAAGTTGCATAAAATATAAATACTCAAGCATGTCTATTACTCTCCCACGACTTTAGATGCCGTGCTTGAGTCTATGTTACTTTCCTCCACTGTGCCGGCGCTTCAGCATCATGGAGCCATGAACCACATGTACTTTGTGTGCTCTGGAGGTGAAACAGCTGCCAATTTCCTCCTGCCAACATAAATGTACTTTTACCAAATACAAGCTAAGGCACGCCCCAAAGTTGATCAACCAGAGTTAAATGCAGTGTGGCAACAGTATTAAGAAAGCAAAAACAGCTTAAAAAAAAAAAGCTAGTTTGTTTGAAGTAAATTCGAAATGTACTCTCCTTACTACTTACTCAAACTAAATGCATGTTAATATGTTTAAGCAGTCTAATGCACACTTTTTACTGAACAATTCCAGCCTGCATCTTTTAAAACAAAGATATGATAACATTTGTAATTTTAGTTTTTACTTTTTGTTAATCTCATTGCCTTTGATTAAAATGTATTTTTATTTATCTTTGCTTTTTATTTATTATCTATGTTCACCCCCACTATGGCAAACAACAAATGTTTTTCATCAGTATGACTTTAAAAAAACCTGTCTAGAATAAACTGAACTTAATATAATACAATACTTGGTATTTCTTTTTTCTTCTTTTTTTTTTTAACTAATACAGGTCATTGTTTTGTTTAGTCTTGTTGGGCAGCATGAGTATCAAACTGTGTTACTGTGCCTTACTCCTCCTCTCTGTGTCCTTCTCCAGGGCCAGGTGCAATGTTGTCAGCCCATCGCCCAGGAAATGGTGCCTGTCGTCTACGTGAATGAATTCAGCACCCTCGTCATTTCCTCCGTGCAGCAGACCCGCAGCTGCGGCTGTGGACATAGCAACCTCCAGCAACCCACCCAAGAGTAAAGTTTTTTTCATAGTCCATAGCATGTGACATCTGCGAGCCACCTGGCGCACACACAAAAACACAAAATACAGAAAAGGTGTAAATACGGTACATGCTGGCCTTTCGTCTCTCTCAAACACTTGTGTAGACTATGTCTCTTTAGTTTTAGATGTTATCTTAGATCCTTACAGTGTGTATTCAACACTGAGCACGGGAACCAAAGCAAAGTCTTCCAATTTGTCTATTCGTACCAGAAAGAATGAAAGAATGCCAGCACAGATTTGTTGAGCCATAAACATAAAACTGATACATTTTAATAAAACTCATGAGATGATGATTCCAATTTACAATTGTTTGCTACTGTGTTTTATGTTAACAGTTAGTAACAATTAAGCTTAGGAAGATTTTGCAGGGCAATAACAACTGCAGTTCTGTGGGTAAATTAGTTAAGTATTTCTCTTGCACCAGGAACTGGACGTGAAGTGCAGCTGACACTCGTGTGCTAAATGCTGCCACTTTAATCTGATAAGTACAGAGTGCTATTTAAAGCTACTAACTGTTACTGAGTGTTCCCTCCAAAAATGTGAGACTTTCCAGAGCCAAATCCTGTCACAGGCCAGTTGCCTCTTATCTGTGAAATGACCATCTCATCTTATGAGTAAGAGGCCAGTTTAATCCCAATGAAAACAGATGGTTGTGCATTTAAAGTGGTGAAAATGTAATAATAAATTGTGTATGATTGTCATTTTGAGGGTTAAACGTGTTTTGCAGGGAGAGTAATAGGAGAAGATTGTGTTCACCAGCTAAACTCTCTGCACCTAAAACTTAGTATCAGTTTCTTCTGGATATGAACATCTGTTCTGTGCTTTTCCACGAACATCGATTGGCCATGCTCCAGCTTCACGTTTCAACTGTCCATTGGTTATATGAAAGACACACTTAGAATATTTGGTTGTTTTTTACTTTAACACATATTTTGTTTGTTATTTTGTTATATGCTCACTCACTTTACAAAGTTACCTCACCATTCACTTTTTCATGTATTTTCACAAGTGATCACCTCCACCTTAATCAATGCATTTTGATTAAATGCAAACAGTTTCATTGTGCTTATGACCCTGCTATGATATTGTAACCATTTGTACCAATTTACAGATTTCTTGCTCACAATTATTTGAATAAAGATGATTGAAATGAACACCCACAAGTTGATTTTCCTGCCAATGTCTATTATTGACAAAAGTTCACATGATTCTTGAAAATACTTTTTTATTTTTAAAGCCTCTCCTTATGCCAGCCTTTTAGAATTTCATGCCAGCCAGGCAGTTACATGTCAAGTCTAGTGGGAGGAAAATAGCAGAGGAAGAAATGTTGGGACTGTAGCCATAAAGCGAGGCACTGGTGAGGGGAAGAGCAATTTGTTGCGCACTTCTGAGGAGTCTTCAACATCTTAAGCTGCTGTGCATGCACATTCAGGGCATTTATAACTGGCCCTGGCTGCAGTGGAATCTTAATTTATGATTCTCATTTTGTGCAAGCAAGATATTGATCCTGGACTACATTAAAACAACAACTATAGAAGAGGAACAACGTTGCCTGTAGTTTTATGTGTTATTGATACTGGACAGAATGTCAGGGTATTTCACAGTGTGGGTCTCTTTTGGCATACTGTCCCCATTTCTACTGGCTGTAGGGGAAGCCAAATGTTCAGAGAAGGAAACGTTGCTGAAACCGATCCCTAACACGGTGACACAACTGACGGATTGTTTAATGGAGTGCACCGGGATGACGTACATCAAAAAATTGCAACTTCAGGACTATCATAATATACGGCTTAAAGATTCCACTGAAGGTAAGGAGCCACTCAGTAACATTTTCAACTCTAGGATGCTACAGAATCACACATCTTACTGGGAGTGTTGTAAAAATAATACCTGAACTAAATGTTGAGATTATCAGTGGTGAAAGGGTCACTTCATCACTGCCTGACTGACATAGACATTTTTATGTTGCATATAAAAATTATGTGAAGTCTTTATAAAACACTTTCTCTTCCAAGGAGACCTCGGGGAATACTGTTGGTCTACGGAGCTCAAGTGCACCATTGGAGAGAGCTTTCAGAATGCCTATGTTGTGTTGCCTGTGGATGTATCTGTAGTTGGACATGAGATGCTGGAAGTCAACGCCACTGCTCCCACTGCCACCACACTGGACCCACACAACAGCCCCACCACGATCGCAGAGAACTGTGGCCTTCGTTACGACGTCACACAGTACTTCAGCACAGAGGATCCGGGGACATCATTCTGTGTACAAGTTATCGCGCAGGAAGATGTCCTGGGGGACAAAGTTCTAAAATGTCCTCCTTTTCTGGTCACTTTCTGGCAGAGAAATCCAAATCAGTCCAATCAAAAGAGTAGTGGATAAAATCTCAGTGATGGAGGAAGTTCTCAGATTTTTTACCAAAGCAAAAGTACCTATACCACCCTATAAAGATACAGGTAGAAAGTAGAAACCCTGCATTGGAAATGTTACTTAAGTATGTAAGTATGATCAGTATTACAAGAAAAAGTACTCAAGGTAGATCATTATTATACAATTATTTATGTAAAAGCAGGATTTTACTGTTGTAGTTAGTTGAAGTGGAGCTCATTTTGAACTATTTTATATAAGGCTGCAACTATTGATTATTTGCATTATGGATTCATCTGCTGATTATTTTCTCAACTAATCGATTGATTAACTGATTGCTTGGTTTGTAAAACCAAGCAAAAAAGTGATGCTTGTTTTGTCCAACCAATACTCCAGAGCTCAACATTATAAAGATGACATGTTAATATGGCATTTAGACATGAAAAATTACCTAAATAATTATCAACATAGTTGGAGTGCTTAAATTGTACATATTTGGTGCAGGAGTGTGTGAAATATGCCGCCCGCACATTCTGTTGGTTCGCCTAAAGGGCAAACAGAAACCATTATTACGAAATCAAATAGTAAAATAGCCACAATGACTGAGAAAAGTTGTGACAAATGCAACATTAAACAGGAAAAGAACAGATGCAGACGATTTAAGAGATTAAAGTGATAAAAGAATTTGGACTTTGAGATAATTGCGGAATAGCAAACTTGATTTTTACAGGATCACCTTGAGATCAGAGGGGGTCATATGTACCTGACTACTGGGTGAAATGTTCAACCACCTGCAATATTTTGTGTTTCCAAGATTTAAAGTTTAAGTTGCACAGACACTTTTTAGTAGAGAAAAATTAGAAGAAAGTCTCACGGATCCAAATAAAATAGAGAACTTAGTCTCACTATGATCTGAACACCCCCAATGTCAGCTAGTCTGACTCGGTCTTGTAGGGGTTTGAACCCTGAAACTTCAGCTCTCTAGAGAAGGTGACTTACTGACTGAGCTACTCCTCATTAGTGAGGCCATTTTTACACATCTTCTCACAAGTTGAGGTAGTGACATCACATGTGCCATACCTGGATAGTTTTGTCAGTTTAAACTTCAAACGCTTACAACAGTCAAGATGTTGGTGATGTTTTCTGGGGAAAAAATCACACTTCATTCTGCTGGTTTTGGGTGTGTTGTCAATTAGTTTGGTAGCATTTGATCCAAAACTGAGCAAACAAGTTGTTCATACTGTACAAGTGACTGCAAGAGACTGAATATCACTGCAGACTCACGGTTTGACCGATCTAAAATCTCTTTGAGACACTTGACATTGGCCATCTAGAGAATGTCTGTTTTGGTAGCGATTGAAGAAAGATGTTATTGAATTAGCATATTCTGAAAAATATAGAGTGACTGACTTCTGAATTGACCATAGGTTGCAGTGAGACAAACATTTGTCATTTATCAGTGGATGTGCTGAAAAAAGTTCAGCTCTCTAGGACGTATGGGTGATTTTCTTAGATTTCTAGAAGTTTGAAATGAGAAATGTCTAGAAATTTACATTTCTTGTAATAAGCCACAAACTTTCAGCAATCATTACAAACTTTTATGCATCAACTGAGTAGTTACCCTGCATCGTACAAGTCGAAATTTGTACGAATCCATGCAGCAAATTACGAGGTATAAACTTTTTGCAAGTGTAGCGCCCCATAGTGGAAGAATATCCCAGGACTGCTCAGCGAAGCTCGGGCCGAGCAAGCAAGTTTGGTTTGGCTTAAGCCAATTTTGATTTATGTAAAATTGTATGTAAAAGCACAAAAGTAAAAATTTATGGGAAAAAAACAGAATCACTTATCAAAATTCTTTCCAGCGACGTCTGTAGATGATCCTGCCAAAGTTTCAGGTCAATTGGCAATGAATCTGGGACGAGTTCACAAAAATAGGTTTTAGAGAAAAGTGGTAGAAGTCACATGGTTTGACATTTTTAGAGCAGAAGACCATTGGTGCAAAGATGCAGATGAATCCAGACATCAAAATGATGAAAGAAGTTTGACTCTAAACAAAGCTGTTTTTGAGATAATTCCAAAAACATAAAGTTGATTGTTGTAACGCCACCATGAGGTCTATGAGTGCCATTTTTGCATGAGTAGTGGGAGGAATTTGCAACCCACATGCCAATTTTGGTGAGTTTTTGTGCAGCACTTTTTGCTGCCCAAACCCATTTAGCGGAGAAAACAAAGAATGAAAGAAAGAAAGAAGAAGAAGAAGAAGAAGAAGAAGAATGAGAACACAAACAAGGGCTCCATTAGCTTTGGTCTTTGGATCCCTAATGTGGAAATCCATTAGACTTACAGTATGAGGCTGGATGAAATCTTGGAATTTATTTGTGTAGAAGGGCATTGCAGTGACGGAGCGCAAAAGGCTTAAACTCAGAGGTATGGGAGCTGTGCTCCGGTTAGCTCTGGCGCAAATTAAGCACTGCATGGTTGCCAATTAGTTTTCTGTCAATCGACTAATAGTCTCAGCTGTACTTTTATAAACTGTTTTCATGCATCATATTTTATAAGGTATTCATATGTTGTGTATGCAAAAATGTATGTTTCAATAGCTTGTTTGGACTGTCTTCTAGAATTCCCTTTTTTAAAGTATTCTGTGTGATAGGTAACAATGGACAAATGCCCTTTTTATTTACTTAATTTACTTCGTACACTTGACATTTAGGCTATATATCCATGTTGATTTTAATTTTCTACACTACATTTACATTTATTCATTTAGCTGACGCTTTTATCCAAAGTGACTTACAATTGTTACATGTCAGAAGTTGTCTTGCTCAACATTATACTGCACATATCCTTTGGTTGTCAACATTGATTTTCTAATGATATGGTTTTCTGTTTTATAAGGACATCTTAGAAACAGAATAAATGCAAATCTTTAAACCTTTTGTTTCTTGTTTTAGTTGTGAAAGTATTTGATGGCACTGGAGAAGCAGTGTGGATCATTTTGCATGAATCCAGCTTTGTCAAGCACAATTACACAATTAATAGTTCTCTGCACTGGCGACCTGTACAGGGTGTACCCCACCCGCTGGGATTGGCTCCAGCCCCCGCGACCCAGTACGCAGGATAAGCGGCTGACGATGGGTGGATGGATGAATAGTTCCATGCTTTCTTCAAATGCAACCAGAGAGATGATATGGAGGGACAGAATGATGCGGCTGCCGCACAGCTGTTAGGGTTTTGGTGCCTTGCTGAAGGACACGTCGGCACCTCTCATTATTAAAACTTTTTATTTTCCTTTTTCAGTCATGTTTTTTGTGCTGTGTGTGTGTATGTGTTTGACTATTTAGAAACCTTAAAACATATTGTAACCTCATGTAGAACCCAATTCTATAGAATGGAGTTAAAAGGTATTTTTCAAACTGGACCTTATTTCCCCATGCTTATATGTGAAAAATTGAGCCTATTGCGCAGTTTAAATACCTCTACAGCTGCTTTTATCTGGATCAGTCATACTGTGCAAAAGCACATAGGCCTAACTTTATGTCCGTGGTTCTAGCAAAGGTATGTCTTTGTCAAACTTTAACGTTTCTTGTAACATAATAATGACAATTGTGTCTAAAGAAGTTTTTGCAGTTTTTAGCAATCATTCGGGCAGGTAAAATAATGCGAAAAGAGTCATAAGAAGAATTGCACAAGAGGTAGTTTCTTTATTTTAAATAGCAGGTCTATAGCTTATAAGGCAGCCATAAATCTTCTTAATTAGCCTATAGTTGGGCTACAGTCTGTTTTTCAGAAACAAGGATATTAGGCAGGCCTACCAAACACATATGTAATCGGCAACAAAATTGTTATTGCCTATAGGAATCACATAGGCCTAAATGTAGCGTATTAGCCACGTTATAAACTGCCAACACTTAGGCTATTTGGGGAATAATTGTGATTACTCCGTTACAAGAAACGAAAGTTTCACAAATATAGCCTACCTTTGCTTAGGCTATGAGTATTTGTCCTATATACAGTCTATGGTATTTGCACAGCATGACTGTTTGATCCAGATAAAAGCAGCTGTACACGTAGCCTAAACCAGTTGGTGAAGCTACGGGCAATTAGTTTTCTCTGAACGATCACTTTTGTAACACTTGACGGGTAAAAATTGTAATTTTCTTGGAGTTAAACGCACCCATGTGACAATAACACAAACGAACCGATCGAGTCAACGATAGTAGACCGGATAGGAAAATTAATATTTTTCTTACTCATAGAGAAAAGGTCTTTCTCTCCAGGGATCATTTCCACTATGTTGTCCGACGCTTACACAATCTGAGCCTGTCAGTGGCAAAAACAAACACAGACTAAATTGCCAGCAAGGGTTGCGTCTCAGCACCGTTTTTCTGCAACAAGCTGCAGTGCGCGCCTGTAACAGCCTGCTGGACCAATTCAAAAAATGTTGCCCCAATTAGTCACATAGACACAAAAACATGGGAAGTAGGGCCCAGTTTGAAAAACGTTCAAATTGACAGAATAATCTATTCGGTGAACTACCATAACTGTAAACACATTTGTTTGACTAACGTTTTTGGAGATATAGGCTACTGCTAGATTTGGAATACTTGGCAATATGCTACTATAGAGAGAGTAGGCCTACAGTACTCTGTGTGCAGAGTGTATCCTTTAAATGTAGCCTATGTCTGGTTACACACGTGTAATATGTCAGTATGTGCTGCTTTAGAGACCATAATGTGAGACCATTCAGTTCAGTTCAATTAGCGACAATTCAGAACAGAGGTAACGTCATTGCACCCATCATTTACCACAAAACAAATTTCGCATCACCTGCCATTGTTCGTGTGCTCACAATGATCTTGGCCTGTTCTGTTCTACTCACAAGAAATGATACAGTGCCACCTACTGGCAATCATTTCGAATAAAAGTATCAGACTGCAGCCGTTCACACCATTCAGCCTCTGGATGGCGCGCGTGTTACAGGGCAGTGTCTCAGCGTTGAAATTCCTCTGTAGTATAAAGTGGAAACAACTGAAACATCTACTAGGATATGAATGTTTTTTTTTTATATATCTGAGATACTTCACCCAACCTAAATGCTGTGTGTCACAGCCCTCAATCAGTACCTTAAACATATTCAATTTAAACCCCATGTTGGTGCAGTTTCTTTGAAAGTATGTTAAGTAAGTCTATGCAATTGAGACAACTTAATAAATACTGTGGGTTCAATAAAATTCCAGCCAATACACTCTGACCTTTTATAACAAATGTTTGTGACAGTTGTGTAGCTGTCAGCTTTTGTTTCAAATGGGCCCACATAGGTCCCATTTAAATCTGAATATCATGAACACATACATTTGAGTGAGTGCATGAGCCCAGCACTGAAATTGTCAAAACACATGTAAAAGAAGTTTTGAAAGTCACTTATGTGTTTTGAATTCTCTTCTAGTAATAAATCATTTCAATTGTATTATATACTGCAAATGAATAAAACCCCAACCAGTGCATTTACATCTTTATTTTGGAATATGTCTACAACCAAGTCTCATGGTCCATTCAGCTGTCCTGAGCCTCCAGTTAGGTCTAAACGGAGATAATGTTGATGTACTCTGCTGGCAGATGGCCAGTAAGAGCATAACATAACCACCCAGGGTGAGTGTCCAATAACAGACCTTTCTGCACAGCCTGTGCTAAGGCCTGCATTTAATCACACATGCGCCTGTGTCCATGCTCATCAGCATGTTTATCCTACATGTCGTTTAGAAATGTTTGAAATGATTTGTCTGTTTTCTGCTGCAGCCCAAGTTCCGAAACCTGCAGGAGACACCAGAACCACTGCCCGTTTAGGTTCTCTGTCATCCAATCTGAACTCACTCACTGAAACTGGACCAAGGTGGCATAGTGACTCAGAAGACTTTAAGATCTACTTCAGTATCTGTGGGCAGGAATGTCTGCCAGCTCCAGAGGTCCTACTTTTCAATTGTAAACAGGTAAATCACATAAGGGTGTGACATATCTTTCTTCATTTTTGAATTAAAACATGGATATGTTGTGTACCATATTTGGTCTTTTTGTTTAAGTAAAAGTTTAAAGTTTAAAGAAAAGTTTTGTTCACATTTGTTACATATCTCTCCACCATTCCTGTTTAATTAGATCCAGTTATTAAATGGCTTTACATTTAAAACAAAACAGATAATTCTATTAAGTTTAGCTTTATAGCTTTTTAATTAACTAAAAACAAAGAAACTCTATTAAAACTGTAATTTCTGCCACTGCCATTGTAATGTAGGAGACAAATGGTTAAAAAGTAGGCTACCCCTTACTACCACTTTTTTGCATTCTATCTGTAGTTTTATCCATCCCTCTATTGGAGATGCTTCATTTGTTTCTGCAGTCTATCAACTGTCAAATCAAATCAAGATCAAATTAAGATGATCTGCAAACATGCATTGGCTTTAAAATAGCTGAAACTTTTAATGAGGACTCCTAATACCACTCTGTGGTAACAAACATTTCTGAACACAGATGACTGTACCATGTCTGTCACGCAGGGGTAATAGTGTAAAGTTTGAGCAAACTGCAGTCATGAAGAAAAAACTGCAAATAATATTGCTCTTAATGGATTCACTCGTTTTATTTATTTTGTATTGACACTTACAATAGTAGCACAAGCGCTTTAGAGATATTTTCCGACAAGCTTTAGCTGCATTGAGTGTTTAAAACTGAGCTTGGTCCCCGGGCGGCTGAATAGAGTAGAACAATCCAGTAAGCAGAGAGGGAGACAGAGAGAGAGAGAGAGTGAGTGGACAACCCCAAACAACCGCACTGTTAGCGGACAACTATCAAACAACGGCGGCCTGACAGGCATTTAAATCAACAGATTATCTTCACCGGTAAACAATGTGACCAAGTGAGAAGGACACCGTGGTGAGGACTTGTCAGAAACACATGACAACCAACTTTGGTTGTTGTGAGAGGCGCACCATGGCATCTCAACCGAGGTAGGCAGACGCAGCGGCGGCTAGCTGCTAGCTGCTGGGCGCTAGCTCCTCACAGCCCGTCTGGGTTAATTAGCTAGGTGTTTAGCCAGCTCACTACTAGCAGCGCGCTTGACGCGTCTTTACGTAAAGTTTTAGTTTTAAACTCTGTGAAAGTATCAGAAGGAGGGTAGTGTGTGTTTCTGGTGTTATGTAGTTAATGTAAAACTGACAGACTTTTAGGTCGATAAACAGCTCGAGGAGGAGGTGGAATCAGCTGGAACGAGCAGGCTGGTGTGATTTTTTTTTTTTTTTTTTTTTTTTTTTTTTTAACCAGCTGGTCAAAAGGGGCTGCTCTGTTTATACAAGCTGTTTTTGAGTAAGTTAACAAAACCTCACCCGTCGTGTTGGATTAACTTTCAATATAGTTTTGTTGGTTAACGGCAGAACGGGTGTAAATAAATTTTCCATACCAAAAAAAGCACAAAGCGAAGGAAGTCTACCGCGCAGTAACATGTACATATAATTTGATATTCGTGCAGAAGAGATATATATTTCACTTAAAAGGCACGGTTATGCTTGACTTTATTTCTGTGGAGGCTACTAATTGTTGTGGCTTCAACTTTCTTGCATGCTGGGTTTAATGGCAGCTTCTGGTTTATTGAGACTGCTGGATAGGCAAGATAGAAGACCCTGGTCATCTCTTGCAGACTCCAATAATAAAATGAGTCTTAGAGTGTTAAAGATTTAAAGACAAAATAAAAGTTGCTCATGCATTTCACGCTACCTACTGGTAAGAGTGAAATACCGGTTCACGGGGCTTTTCTTTTACAGTCTCTGCTTGCAAACCAATACTGTCTTGTGGCCATGCATTGTCAACACATAGCCAATAGATGATAAGAAAGTTGAAAGTTAAACACCCACAGGGAAGTGTGCACTGGCTGCAGAAGCACACACAACTTTCTGTACAATTTAGCTTCCATGAAATTGCTGTCAGTTTTGGTAAGGAGAGCGTCAAAAACTTGTAGTCACAGCAGCGAGGAGCCTTTAAAATGTCTGCCGTTTCACCGCAGAATAAAAATCAGTGTGGACATTTCTGAAGACCGGAGAGAACCTAGTGAACATTGTCAGTGTTTATGATGCCAGCCCACATGATGTCAACAAAACTGATGACAAAAGTAAATATTCCACATTAGTTGTGTTTCATTATCGGTTAATTGTACTTTCTAAGATAATGTTAAAGATTTATTTTGCTTTTTGGCCAGCCAGCAGCCAAAAACTAAAGATAAACCATTTAAAATGTTATTAAACATAGAGGGGAATCAAATCCTCACATTTTACATTTGCTGTTTTACTACCAATCATTATCAAATTAACGATCAAATGATGGACTATTGAAGTAGTGCTGAAAGTAAAACCCCTGCTTTGTATCATTGTGGGCTTTTAGCTTATTGCTGCTGATGGGAAAGGCAACATACTCTCGCCTAAAAAACCCCACCTATAAGTAACAAATATGGCTATCAAGTCCAAGGTGACTTTATCAAATAGCTTATTTTGTTCAACCGAAGCTCTGAACCCCACTATCATTATTTACTGTCATATATGACCTATAAATTAAACAAATCTCCCAATTGAGAACCTGGAACTGGGGAATGTTTTGAAATTTATCAATTAATTGCTACAGTTCTAGTAACAATGCTGCTGGTCGCTGAATTTTCATATATGTTTATAAATTGGAAGAACCCAATGCAACTCCAAAATATGTCACTCGCTCCCAGGTTGACTTTCAGTCTCTAGTGGCCTTCAGGGATCACATTAAGAGGAGATGCCTAACCAGGAACTCTTATCTCCTCTGTGATGTGTGTGGGAGGCTTTGCATCTTAACACGGTGTGACCTTGTTTTTTTGATAAACTTTAAAAAGTAAATTGTTCTTTTTGAAGTTATTAGTTTGAGGTCCTTCTGGCTCTCACTTTTGTTACACTCTGGTGGATGCAAAGTTGCAAAAACAGTTTGTTGTGTACTCACATTCTCTACTCTTCAGTATGAAGAAGTACCATGACACAAATGTAGCTTTTTAAGTTATTTAGAAACCAAGTGGTGCTACTTTCTGCTACAGTGGCAGAATGATAAGGAACATAATTTTTGTCAATTGTATAGGTTGATTGATTGTTATTTTCATTAGTAGTAACTTTTAACATTTTTATTTTGTCATTGAATTATCAGGTTGTGGAAGTGTGTGACTTAAAAAAAGTTACTTTTACTAAATATGACCTTCAGAAACTTTAACGCGTCGTTGGTATCACGCCATTAAAGGTGGTACTGCATCAGCTGTAATGGCTTCTTTGAATTTGACATTGTGTTCCAAATAGGAAAGCTTGATTGACTGGAGTCATATTCTCAAGTGGGGTTACCGTCTGCCTCTTGTAAGGGTGTGCACGTTCTGATTTGAGTCCTCAGATTTTGTAGCTGCTGTCTCACTTTTGCTTTGAATTTCAGTGTGCAGCCAGTTGTGTTTCTCTGAATCGGAATATCGCGCTTTCCTGATTATGGGAACATATTTTTTCGCTGATGGAATTTTTGGTGTAATATATTATTCAAAAATACTGGAATACTTTGCCTCTCAAGGTTTGAAGTTTCTACTTCTCCCTCCTTACGATTCGGCTGTGTGAGCATCGGAACAGCTTTCTCTTATGGGTTATTCTGTGAAGTGGGCAGGCTGTCATTTTACCTCTCAGGTACACTTGCAGGTCACTCATTCACCTTGGTGGAAGATGCTATGGGATGGCATGAAGTACAGCAACTTATAATTTTTTTTTTAAAGACAGGGAAATTGTCTACCAAACTGCTAACAGGGGCAGACAGACTGCTCAAAATAGTGGACATTGGTCTAAAGGGATTAATGTTGACTTCACCAATTAAATGCAGTATTCATTGGGACATAATTATGAAATTATTAGAGGTTGACAAAAAGATTAATCATCCCTGGTATTTTTGTCAGGAGCTGTTTCTAATTATTTGTGTAAGGTTCTTGTGCAGCATCAACAAAATGTATGTTTTGGAAGAAGAGTGTGTATGTTGAATACAGGCACAGTGTGCTGCTTTACCCCTGGGTAGTATATTGATGTAGGACCTGTGACTGGGCAGTGCCAGATTGTGCTGTACTTGTACTTTGGCCAGACTCTCTGCTACATTAATGAGTAAGTGCTCATCTGTTTGGCATAGTCCCAAATCTGTGCTGCTCTACTTGTTGCCATGGAAGCATCCCACTGGGGTTCCTGTCAGTGAGGATAATCAACACCGTTGTATTTTGGGAAGAAAACTACTACATTTCAAAATGTAGACAAGTGTTCAGTTTGTTTCATTTAAAGTATTAAACAGGGCCTGATCCCATAGCGCCTACTGCTGTTCCACAATATAATGTACTATAGTAAACCAACTCTTTTTGCTATTGGCATCATATCTGGACTGGCAGTCATAAACATCCATTTGATGTCTGCATGGGCTGCATGTCATCTTCAGGGACTAGAGAGAACAGATGTGAATGTTGTGTTGAATCCTCATGGCGTCTGTGAGTCTAATTACACTTGTCTGTAGATATGATAGCCATTGTCTTGTCCCATTAGACACTGCTGATCTGCCCCTTGGGTAGTTCTGTGATAAGACACCATAAATTTGCTAGTCTCTAAATTCTCTAGCATTTAACTGGGTATTAATGTTATAGTTGAAATGATGCACTTGTTAATGCAGTGCGGATTTAAGATCTGTCTTTCTTTGTAATGCTCTACAGTGTATACAATGAAGATAGGAACCTTCTACGCCTCCGAGCATGGGAACAGAGGAACCAAGAAACAAGCCAAGCCAAAGAACTCAACTCAGAGAATGTGCCACTCTTTGGGCAACCATACAAGGTAAAGATCCACGCAGTGGGAGGGAAATGCTCTAATGATGACCCTGTCTATTAGTTAGCCTCTTGGCACAATGGTTCGGGCAGTATTTTGGACTTAAAAAATAAGTGGTAAAGGTTCAGTAACAGTGTTTTAAGTTCCATGTGTGAGAAATCTCAACAGATGTTCTTAAATTTTACTAGTAAATATAATTATATTTAAACAGACAAGAAAATCTGTTTGCACACATGTGTAGGTGTAGTTTCAGAGGGTAGAGAGATGTCCCTCGCCAAAAGCTTGGCTACTTTCTGCATGTACACACATCTAAAGTAACAAATTATGATGAAATTGGTTACTATGTTTTCCATAAATTGTTGCATTATTACAGTTTTTCTCCATTGCTTAAACACACTTGAAATTATGCCTCTTTGTCTTGAAACTCTAAACACAAATCCACAACTTCTCACCCAATTCCCCAAACATCATATTTTCAGGTCAAAATGAAGCTCTCCATTCAGTCTAGCTGAAAAACCAAACTTTGCCCTCAGACATGACACACAAGCCCTTAAAAACACACACACTACAACACAGTCCTAGACAATGGTAAGATAAATCTAAAACAATAGTACAAAAACTGGTTATTAGTTATGTTGCTTGTGATTCTCCCCCCTCAAAAACTTTTTCACATGATGAACACAACAAAAGAAACAACAAATGTAAACATTCGCACATTTTTCATTCCTAAGTGTGCTGCACAGTACAACACACCAAACAACAAATTATTCCGCCCCAGCGTCCTGTCTTTGGTCTGGGACAGGCCAGAGATTCTTGTTCTCCACCTCCTCCTCCTCCGCCGCCTCCTACTCCTCATCTTGCCTTCTATCTTATCTTCTCCTCCATCTCCTACTGTTCCTCTTCCTTCACCTCTTCGTCCTCCCCATACTGCTCTTCCTCTCTGGTGTCCTCTATGTCTTCCTTAAGATTTCTCTGGATCCATTGTTCCAAAACTGAATGAAATGACCCCGGCCCTTTTATCTATCTATTGAAGGTTCTGATTGGTGTGTTATCAATTTTGACTGTTTGTTTCCACCTGGGAAGCTGTGTGCTAATTGAGCTCAGCCTGTGCTGATTGAGTGAACAATACTGAATATTAGTGCTTTCTCAATGACCACATAGTGTAGGCAATGAGAAATGAAGGGATTTGTGTGGGTGTGTTTTTTGAAAAATGGAGTTACGGTTTTGAAATTTTATTTCAATAGCCTGGTTGTATACTGTACTGTATAGTGTTTAAGCAATTGAGACTGTAATGCATTAACCCTACTTAAAAATCATGTTAAGTTTCCTTGATAGAGAAAATGGTAATGTTATGTTTTTATCTTTACTACAAAGAGCACTGCCCTTCCTGCCTTATTTTTGATTGATGATCAATTCTTACTACTTATTAGTTTGAATATTAACTGTAAATAAAATATATAATAATCTTACTCTTGAAACATGCAAAGGAGATGGAAGGGCTGTTTTTAGCCTTGCATATAGTGTCTGCACTCTTCCTCTCAGGCTGCAAATGGTCCCAAAAGCCTCCATTAAAAATGATAGGGCAGCCTTTTTGTGGCCTGAGAGGCAAAACCCAGGACAAAAAAGATCAGCTTGCTGCTGCTTGTAAATCCTAATTACTGAGAGTGCAAGATGATGATAACTTAAGGCAACTCAGATGAGCACTAAGAGGACACTGTTTAGAGAGATTTTAATAAATAAATCAGACTGAAACTAAATGTCAACAGCACCAAAAAATGATTTTGAAAATGTGACCCCAACCCCCCCCCTTTGTCATCTCCACTTGAAATTAGGCCCTGGTTTGGAGACAACACCCAACTCTTTTCTTAAATATTTCTTCAAATATTTATCTCTGTATTAATATGCTTTGGACAATCTTTATGATAAGTGCTTATATATCACCTGTTCTTGTACTTGCTTAAAATGTACTGCTCATCAGCAGTGTGACGCTGTACATTAATTTGGGGACTCAACACAGTGAAGGGGCTAAAGACATTTGGTTTCGTTTCATTATGTTTAAAAGAAAGATTTGTAAACTGGTATGGTTGTCCTCTGTCAACATAACTAAGCGTTTACCCCTTCTTTTTATAGACAAACAAAGGGGATGAGCTTTCCAATCGAATCCAGAGGATGCTGGGCAGTTATGAAGATGTGAATAATCCCTATCCCTTTGCCATTGAGGCTTTACCCATTCCTACTTATCTAAGCTTCTCACAGTCAGATCAGGGTCTGCCAAACATGGATAAACCAACCAAACTTCCATTCCATAACCAAGTCCATTACATGAACACCCAAAGTCAGAAACCCCCCTCTAGTACAAGTTACTCTTCTCAGCCCATGATGTCCACTGCCTCTTCTCCTAACCGCCATGGACATTCATCCACGTTCTCAAATGCGTCCTTGAACCACAGTGAGGGCAGTAAGCTCAGCCACTCAGCACACCAACAAATAAAGAGTGAACCCCACTTAGATCTCAGGGAGTGTGCCAGCCTTTCCCAGGAAATGTCTTCTCAATCGCCTGATGTTAAGCCACTACCTTTCCTACGTTCCAGTGATCACGATAAAACTGACACGGACACTAAGGAAACCTTTGATGGACATCAGATTCAAGGGTGCACAGATCTCCCCTTGGAGTCTGTCAGCACCATGGATGTTTCCACATTTAACCAAAAACAGTCCCCCAAAGATGCATCCCTGCCTCAAGGCAACAAGGGCAACGCACTACCATCCCAGACCTTCCCTTCACTCCTGTCGTCTAAGCAGCCCAGCGTAGTCATGACCCAGAAGCCAACAGCGTATGTGCGGCCCATGGATGGTCAGGACCAGGTGGTCAGCGAGTCACCTGAGCTAAAGCCTTCACCAGAGCCATATGTACCTCTACCGGAGTTAATCAACAAATCTGACCTGGGCAAAACAAAGATACTGCCTCAATTTTTGGAGGTGAGTAGATCGTCGTATATCATCGTCATAACTGTACAATGATGTCATTATTTAAAATGTAACATGGCCGGTTAGCTTAGCATTAAGAAAAGGAGGAAACTGCAAGCCTGGCTAGAAATAATCCTTCTAAACCTCCCTTCAAACAGCAACATCTTGTTTTTATACTTTGTTTTATGTACTGACTAAACAAACAAGATATAACGTGTTAATTAGTGAGCTGGTGTGCTGGTAGGTGGATTTTGTTACCTCTGGAGAGGCTGGCTAGCTGTTTCCCCCTGTTTCCGGTGTTTATGCTAAACCAAGATAACCAGCTGCAGACTGTAGCTTTGTATTTAGCAGTCAGATTGGTTTTGCTCTTCTCGTCTAATTTCAAGGAAGCATATAAACGTGTTTCCCAAAATGTGCCTTTTAATTGCAGTAGTAGTTGTAACAGATCGTAAATCCTGAGACCATTTCAGGCCAGCAGCGGCCATCAATCGGCCTCAGTCTGTCAAGCCGATGACGTTACAATAGGGCTGGTCAATAAGGCCAAATATTTTATCGCGATTAAAAAAAAAAAAAAATCATATAATTCGATATAGGTAATTATCACGATAAATGTGAAATCATTACTTTAAGTTTAAAGGCTGATTTTTGTTCCTGAGTGAAAATTTAAGAAACCAGATGCAGTGATTCCCTTACCATTGTTTTTTGGAGGTGGCGGCCCGCCTCTCAAAATGACCCCCCGCCCCCCTGGAAGAATGACAAAAAAAAAAGATATAATTAGGCCAACTCTCAAAAGTGCAACCACATCGGCAGATGCAAGACACGAGCATGTTGTAGATTTTGTGGCTGTGTGGGCAGAGTCAGATACTCCGTTTGGAAAAATAACAAACATATGTCCAGTCGAGCTTTGTAAACCAGGAGGAGTGTTACCCACGTGAGAGTAGCCTCTGTCAGACCCACTTAAACCTTGTGTTCAGCAGCATATGGAGGCTGTCGAGTAATAAATAATAATAATAAGTGATAGGGGACAACATGCAGTGCAACAATGCATTTATTGTCAATTGTCCCTATTAAATAGTATTTCAATACTCTACTGTTGCAATACATTTATTGTGAATTGTCACAATAAATAATTACACATACATTTGAATGTATGCATATTTGCTTGATACATCAAATTAATTGACTTTGATTTAATTTGTAATATTTTCTTATTGAATTGCTGAATTTTTATTCCTCAAGCAAATGATTACAGGCTTTTCTGATGACAAAATGTTTTTAAATTGGAGGTCATAACTTAGCATTAAAAATGTTAAAGAGGAACGGAGAATGTGACAAACCTAAACAGGCAAAGATTTGCGTGCCATGTGTTTGACGACACCACGTGTCTGTAACACCCCGCTCCACAACACTAGTAGAGTCATGGGGGTCTACCACCCCTGCTGAAAAAAGTCCTGGTGGATGATTGCTCAAAGCGCTTTTACACTACATCTGCATTCACCAGTCATACACATTCATACACTGAGCCTAAGTGCTCAAACGGAAACTAACATTCACACTCATTCATACACGGAACAGCCGCAAGGGGCAAATCTGGGTTCAGTATCTTGCCCAAGGACACTTCGACACGCAACCAGGGGGAGCCAGGGATTGAACCGCCGACCTTCTGATTAACGGCCAACCCGCTCTACCTCCTGAGCCACAGCCGCCCATACTTACAGTAGTTTGGAGCTAACTTAACCCTCTCCGTAACGTTATTCCACCGCGATGGCGCAGCCTCTCGCTCTGCTGTGTGTGTGTGTGTGTGTGTGTGAGCCGACAGAGAGCAGGCAGAGACTGCAACCAGATGATTTTCTTATCCATTGCGTTTCAAATTAAATCAGATTTGACGCTGGAGACATAACGTTGCGTCATAGGACCAGCTTGTCTCAATAGCAGTATCGATAAGCTTGAACCTTATTGATTTTCGGGTTTTGAGAAATTTTGGAACCGGGTCTCGATCCCCATCCCTAGCTATATGTAAGTTTTTGATTTTCCATCCATCCATTGTTAACCGCTTATCCTGTGTACAGGGTTGTGGGGAAGTTTTCATTGTGTTATTGTCTATGGGCTCAAAATTCACTCAGAAATGAAGCACATTCCTGTTTTTTGAGCATTAGTAAAGCTGGAGAAACACAGAAAGTCACATTAGCTCGCCGGCAATCGCAGAGCAGTTGCTAATGTTATCCAGTGCAAAGTTGTATCGCTTTCCATATTACTTCACCAACCAACACGACCCATGTTACTTTCCTGTGGACCACTGATATTATGTCCAAGTGTTGATTTAGCCTGCAAGAAAGGATGTAACGGTAAAAAGCAAATGTGGAGTGATTTGTTTACTAACGTTAGCCTATAGTAATGCAGCCACGAGCAGCCAGCTAATGCTACATTAGCTCCGACTTGCCACTGTTTGCTTCATAACGTTCAATTTAGATTTATTTTCGTTTTACCAATACTCAGGTAACCTTCTCCACCTCTCAGTCGCTGTAACTAACGTGACCCACATAATATACAACACTGCAACAAAACGGTCACAACAACACATCCACTAACGCTACAGTAAAGTTACTTACTGCGGTCTACCTGTTATAAAGTGTGACAATCTCGTTATAATATTCAGTCCAGCTCACTACCCGTTTCGTTATCATCCAATACATTTAGCTGTGCTGACATTGCTGAGCCTCTGTTGAAAGATACAGAGATAACAAAGATAGTTAGTGAAAGCAGCATGCGAGCTAACGATGTAGCACGTTGGCTAAATGTAGTCATTGTATCATTATCATGTAACGAGCATGGATTAGTTCAAACTCGAGCTGATAAAAATATTACTATAATGTTGTAGTGGGATTTACCTGAGTTTCCACCATGTTGTGTGAAGCTGTCTTCCTACTTGTCTATAACCGCTCTCACTCTGCCCTTTTTCGGGAGTACTGAGCCACTATGCCTCGCTGAGCTGAATGAAGGGTCTGGCGCTGGTGTTGAGCTGCCTCTGAGCCTGGAACACTGAAGTAACAGAGCCTGAACATGTCTGGAGAAAAGCCACAGCCTGCATGCAGGTGTTTCTCCGTTTATTGCAGGATTTCTCTATGAAAGCGGTTGTGTTTTGGATTATGCTCGCTCAAGAGTTCAAGCGAGCACGTGTACGAGCACACGCCTGGTTACAATCTTAAAACCGCACCGCTGGTGGCCGCTGAAAACTCCATAATGCCCCTTTTAAGGAAAATCTTTTTTCAGTCCCTTATCCTCAAAAAAATTAATATGTACTAAATCATTTGTGATTCAAATGAATTAAATGAAACATTTATTGAACATTTGTTATATTGTGATTGATATTATTACATTTAACCCACAACGGTCATGGGCTTGTGGGAAATGGTGTTTCCTGAAAGCTGCTATTAGAGAATTTGTATGATTTCACAAACAAATATTCTCTCTAGGCGAACAAGGGAATGTTGCAAGGCTGAATTTTTTGTAATCATTACTGTTGAATGAATGCTTTTAATTTACTCTGGCGCTCTCTCTAATCAAATGCAATGAACTTGTTTAACATGAGTACCCTGTTAAATGTAAAGGCGGGATCTAATATGTAGTACAGTATGGTGAAGATACTATGGTATGTGATTGATTCCTGCTTTTTGAAATGTCTTGCAATGTCAGATACCACTGTTGTGTGGTGCTTCCAGGGGTGATAGGGTGATAGGGTGATAACACAAGGGAAATCCTACTTTTCCTATTATTTCTCAGCACTGTTGTCTGGCCTTTTAATATAGTGTTTAATTGGCTAAGAGGATTGTGTGTCTGCTGATCTCAGGATGTTCTCTGAAACCTCTCCAAAGTTTTGATGTACGTGATTTACTGGTCAGGAAATTTGTCTGAACTCGAGTTCAACTCTATTCATCTGTTCTCTGTCACACATAAACGCACACTCAACCCTTGCACCTGCAGCACTCCACACTCCCCCTTACCCTCCTGCAGCAGCACAGCAGTGCTGAATGTGCTGCTGTTTTGACTGCTGGGACTAATCTAGTGCGGGAAAGCTAGGCAGTTACTCATTCCCCTATTACTCACCAGCTCCACACATCTGAGTTAAGTTCCACATCTGCAATAACCCATATGCAAGATGTTTTTGGATGTGCATTGCCCTTTAGCCACCAAACTACTGAGAGGATAATTGCGCAAAACACACAATTTCAGAAACTTCATTTCAGGTGATGAAGGTTTTCTTAGTTTTTGGAAAATGTTTTGCACTTTAGAAACACTGTACTGCACTTCCACTGTTAGTAGCGAAACATCAATATTTTATTGATCTAACACTGCTTGCCACAGTGCAGTATGATATTTTTTAGGCATGTAGCGTAATGTCTTACTTGGGTACGTGGCACGGTGTATGTGGCAAGCAGCCTGTGGTTTGTGTTTTTGTGTGTGTGTGTATATGTGTGTGTGTATATGTGACCTCAGCTGCCTCGGATAACTTCACCCCTGGGCTCAGCAGAACAATAAATGAGCTTTGTCACCAACTTACATAACTGCTCTGTGGGCCCGTTCACTCTGACCTTATCTCAAACACTGTCCATTCAAAAGGAAAAACTGAAAAACTGAAAACAAACTGAAATGCAGCCTGTTGACTCATTCACACACTATTTATCTGATGTTGTGGTTGGCCCATGCTGCTGCCTGATACAGGGTATTGCGTCACTCACCTAGTGTAGTACAGGATTTTTAAAGTTGGTCTGTTCTTTTTCTCCCCTCTGGATGGAGAATTTTTCAGTGCTCATTGGATACAATGCAAAGATCAATCAAAGTGTGTGTTTTCAATATTTGCCATAAGAAATATTTGTCTCAAGATTTAAAATGTCTAAATTAAAAGTAAAATACAATACACATTGTTACCAGCCACGGCAGCTCACACCTTGTATGTCATGGCAAAATATGGTCTTGGAGACCCCTACTGTGGCAGGGACTACCACAGAAACAGTTTTGAGTACTTTGCAAAGTGTTAATATATCGTCTGTATGTGGACAGATTTTCTCAATGCAATAGCATCACAATTGTGCAAAATGCATTTGTGAAACTTTACAGCTGTGTAATTGAGATCAAAATGAAGGAGTTTGAAGATGGGTATGGTCCCCCTCACGCTGTTTGTTTTGCCGGGATGGCAAAATCCAGGCAGACAAAAAACAACATGGCCTTAGGACACAATGGTCCATCATAACAAACTACCAACAGCAACAAACACGATACAGCTTATATTGTCTACACATACTAACATAGCATTTTGTGCAAACATCTGTGAAGAATGACCATTAGATCTTTAATAAAACTATTCACCACTAACCATGTACATTTCTTGTATCAAACCAGGGAATATTTCAGCCTAACACATAAAATTAACATAGCTTAAGAGTTGACCCTGCGAGGATGGTTAGGCGCATATACTCACTGGCCACTTTATTATTAGGTATAATTTGCTAATACCTGGTTGAACCCTTTTGCCTTCAGAACTGCCTTAATTCTTTGTGGCATACTTTCAACAAAGTGTTGGAAACATTCCTCAGAGACTTTGGTCCATATTGATGTGATAGCATCAAGCAGTTGCTGACGATTTGTCGGCTGTACATCCAAGATGCGAATCTCCCATTCCACATCATCCCAAAGGTGCTCTATTGGATTGAGATCTGGTGACTGTGGAGGCCATTGGAGTACATTCAGCAACAATACTCAGGTAGGCTGTCGCATTTAAACAATGCTCAGTAGATACGAAGGGGCACAAAGTGTGCCAAGAAAATATCCCCCACACCATTACACCACCGCCACCACCAGCAGCCTTGAACCGCTGATACAAAGCAGGATGGATCCATGCTTTCATGTTGTTAACGCCAAATTCTGACTCTACCATCTGAATGTCGCAGCTGAAATCGAGTCTCAACATTTTTCCTATCTTCTATTGTCCAATTTTGGTGAGCCTGTGTCAATTGCAGTCTCAGTTTCCTTTTCTTAGCTCACAGGAGTGGCACCCGGTGTGTGATGTGAACATCTGCTTCAAGGTTTGGCGTCTTGTGCGTTCAACGGTTCAGCCCCAAGCTGTGATTGGACAGTTCCCCTGCATCTCTTTATGAAAACATGAAAGTGCTTTGAATTTAGTTTTGCCATGTCTATGCTGCGCTCTGCTGGACAACACTTAATTGCAATACACCTCTTCACTTTGTTTCAGTGCTGCGTTTGATTTTAATGTTGCGTGGAAAATTCATGTGACTTTGAAACAAAGATTCATTCAGTTATTAAAGACAAAAGCTAAATACGTGTACTGTTAAACATTTTTTATGAATGAGACACTAAGTGCATAAATTGAAAAGGAGATGCATATAACAATGTGTACTGTATGCCACATATTTTCTTTGTTTGATTTTGTTTTTATTTTGGCATATTAAGTCTTCCATCCAGTATTCTGCTATACTCTGCGTTTTCAATTCCTCATGCTGTACTTTACGATGATATGCCCCATTGCAGGTTTTAAGATAAATGACAACTGTTGTTTTACAGCTGGCAATGTCCCTGAAAGGGATAGATAGGGTCTATGCGGTTGAGGTTTAGTTCCACTGACCGCATGCATCACATCAACTAGGAGTGAGCAATCTGAGGTGCAGTTGGTGGAAAGATAAAGGGAGATGTCATGTTGTTGTTTTTTTTTAATAACATAAATGGTTTGCCATGTAAAACATTAGCCCCTAAACAAAATTTCATGTAATAATTGCACACAGGTTTTTCAGTGTCTTTTGTCTTTTTGGAAACACCTAATTAATCCTTTCCTTTCTACAGACAAGGACAAATGAAGTCCAGTGTGTAGAGGACATCTTAAGGGTAAGTCCAGCTGTTTCAATTCTATTATGAATCTGACTCTAAATTACCTTTTTAAAATGTTATAAATGTCACAACAGAACAAGAAATCAGTTGAATAACAATACAAAATTACATAAATTGGGATAAATGTTAAGGTAAGTAAAGTGATAAAAGCTGATACTTTGGATCTATACAAATTAAACAAATTTTGTTTCTTTTGATGGGTTCTGAATTAATCTTCATTGGAATTAAAAAGTATTAAATTAAGTAATTTAAATGAAGGGCAATCCCCACGTACTAAATGTCAATATGCACTGTATGTATAACACTGCTGTGTGAACCACTGAACCTTTTATGCAGGCATGGGTGCAAGTGATTTTCCAAACATGTTGATATGACATATTGGAGTTTTGTCAAAAGTGACTGCACCTCTTAATCTAAACAATTCACTGTATTTGCTGTTTCTTTTCCCGTTCCTCTGTTAAAATATATACATCTTGCTGTTCCTTCTAGATGAAAAAAAAATGTACATATTGTGATGTTCATATCAAAGAGTTTGTTACTTAGTACTGTTGTCTTGCTCGATAAGGCTGCATTCTGGTAGTTGCTTCATAATAAAAGAAACCCAGTGGAAGGTTGCTGACTTGAAGCAACAGCAGGAAGTGTACAGTTTGCATGAATAGCCGCTTAACAGCAGAAAACTGCATTACAGCTATGAAAACAAATGAGTGAAAGTCATATTGTCTGATTTTTGATGGTGATTGGTTACTGGATGCGAATCATTTTGAGATCCTGTGGCTGTAACAATATTTTAATTAATTCATATAATGATAGAAATTTGTTTTAGGTTAGGGGCTCACATACCACATAAAAGCATACATCTATTAAAAGACTCAAATAAAATTACATTAAAACACAAACAATTCCATAAATAAATAAGACTGAAGCAGCTGGCCTGATGGGAGTAGTTGAAAGTAGTGGGGAAGGGGGTGTGAAGGGATCTTGGTGATGGAGTCTGACTTTCTTTTGACTGCGTGACTGACTGTTGGATTTGAGTGGTGCCAGTGATAATGGTCAGTTTTTTCTTGCCTTTCTCTTTGAGGAATTTGTACCAGGATGCAATCTTGAATGTGAGAACTGATTCTGTACTGTTGTTAAATTGTCCTGTCTGACATGAAAACCTTTCAGGCTTCTCAGGAGGAACATGGGCTGTTGGGCATGCTGCATTTTAAGTCATAGAAGTGCAAACATACATGTTTGTTGTTGCTCAACAACCCTACAAACTTGGGCAACAGAAGTCTTACAACAGTCTTCTTCCACGGAGTTTGCAAAGCTCAGCATGTGGGCACTGATCTGTGCTGAGGAAAGAAGGAATGCCATTTAAAAACAATTTTTATTCCTCAATTATTTCCTGAATCATAATTATCTAGCACCATATAGCATCTTTGCAGGAGCCTTAATGTATTTGTATCATTTGCACAGAGTTTACTTTAGTTTATTTTACAAATCAGCCTTTCTGTTATCCTGGTGCCTGCGTAAAGGACACCCCATGTAAAAGTTACATAAATGTTTGTACATTCCTTGAATGACTTTGTTGAGCTATGGTGATATTAAAGCTGGGGTGAAATGAAAAGGTGTTTTGGGGGATGGGCTTTGGAGGGACACTGGAAGGGAGGGGGTGGGATTTTTTTGGTAGGAAAAATGTAAAATGTAGCAGTCCCCCCGGTTGCCTTTTTTTCTCCAACGTTAACAGTTGTTAATGTAAATGTGAGGTTTTCATTTGGCTGCTACTGGGTCTTCAAGTTATGCCCATCACTGTATCCTAAATATACAGGGTGGCAGTTTGAATATTATCTTCTCAGATACTGGACAGGGATCACTCAGTTTTTTAGTTGGGCTATAGTAAATCGAAAGGATCCTAACACATCCCTCTCTTTTTACTCCACAGGAAATGACCCACTCATGGCCCCCTCTCCTGACAGCTATACACACACCTAGCACAGGTGAACCCTCCAAGTCTCCGTTCCCAGCCAAGGTAATTTATTAAGTTTATGCTCACTGGCACTGCCCATGTGTACATAAGAGGAGGGGTTGGCATCCTCTCTTGCGTTACCTTCTCAGATGAAGTCTACTGTAAGAAAGGATAAAATCCCAATTCTTGAGAAAAGTATTCCAGTGTTTAACCAAATCCAGTGTTTGCCAAATCAAGCGGGTATTTTACAAAGTTATAGCCCCTTTTGCGCAAAACTCCCTCACTGATTTGGCCAAATTAAGAATCATTTCTGGTGGTGGAGAGATACTTACTGCCGTGGATTTGCTTTGATGCCAGAACCAGTATGCTAGAAATGCTGCAGCTGTACAGTGGCCTTCCCCATTACTGGATAATTTACAAAGCATGTTCATGTTCCCAGAGGAAGACCTCTTTCCAGACCCTAGTCTTGTCAATTAAAGATTGATGTGCATATTGAGTGCCAGTTATTACACAAATGTAGCTGTACAAATCTAAATCGAAACATGTATGACCCAGATTAAAGCTTGCTTGTTTTTGTTTTTGTGTCCTCTGTCTTCACAGGAAGCAGAGCATGTTTCTTCATGTCCAGGACAAAGTGAGTAATGAGGGAATGAAGCAGAGTACGGTATAAGTTACTGTATCATGGAAAATCAACACTGAAAGCAGGCGGTCATCATGAAACAGCTGCTATCCACAGAGTTAAAGCAGCACCTCTCTCTCTCTATCTATCTATCTATCTATCTATCTATCTATCTCTCTCTATCTCTCTATATTTTTTTTTTCCTCAAAGCAATGTTTCTGTGTCAACTTGTAGAACCATTGTGTGCCCTGTTATATGAACTGGCCACAAAATAACAGCCGAGGAAAACAACCCTATAATTTCATCTCAAATTAACCTCCGAAGAGAGAAAGATATAGAAGAGAGGAGGAGTGATGTCTCACCATTCTCCAGCAGTCTCTTCTTACTGATTATGATGACGTTGTTGTGATGTCTTTTACTCTCTATTGTTTCCCGTCTCTCTTTTTTTTTTTTCAGTTGTAGTAAAGCAAGTGCTTCTATGGTGAATAATCTATTAGGAAGCAAACAGCCCTTGTCTTAAAGGGATACTATGCTATTCTGCAGACAGTTTGTTGATAAACAAACTCATGAATGCGCATTGCCATGGTAACCAGTCCTACTCTGCTGAAATATAGCAGAATCCACAGCGCACAGTCTGCTGTCCGAGAGCAAGTTAGCCTCAATAAGAGGGCATGTTTTAGCAGCACTGTAGAAGGTGTGACAACAAGCCTGACAATATTTAAATATGTATTGAAGCAAAATACTTTTCTAAGCCTAAATCTAACATACGGAGTCTAGTTTATTTATCGGTAGGAAAATCAAGAGGAACTTCAATAGTAGTTACAATTAGTGAACAAACATCAAACGAACAATATGTGTAAGCACACAAACGCTGCATCCAAAACACAACAGAGTAAAAAAGTAGAGAGTTACTTGAAATAGTTTGTACAAAAATACAGTGATGAGTTGGGAAGCACAGGAGCAACTGTTTATCTCCACGGCCGAAGTCAGTGCTAACTTTGGGGATAACCTGCTTCACTTTAATTAACAGTTTGCAGCAACACACAGGAGCTCCTCTTTAGTCCTGAGAAGCTGTGGTCTTTATTCACCAGTCACTGTAACTTCTACTGTACATTTACTGCTGAACAAGGTGCTGACCCGTTTCTCTCTATTCACCGGGGCTCTGTTAACACACGCACTCCATCTATTTCTCCTCTACCGCACACACACTGACCTAAGCTAACAAAGCTAACCAGCTGGGATCATCACAAACGTGACAACAGACAGACAAGACAGTAACGCTGAACCTGTCGTTTATGTGGAACAGCAAAGCTAACGCCTACTCACCTGTCCAGCAGAAAAAGAGCAACCTCCGCATCGGTTTTCATTCCTTTCAAATCTCGTAGATTTATCCTGCAATGAAACACAGGTATTCCCCTCGCCTGGTCTTATAACTTGTCTCACAGTTCCTGAGACCTTTCCCTCTGTGGCTGTTTCTGTCATCTTCACAGCTAAAGTCGCGTATTGAGTTCAACATGTTCGAAAATACTGCTGTTTATTTACATTCTCTCTCCCACTGCTTTGAGCGTGCCACTGCCACCTGCTGCTCGCTCCAAGCAGCTTTGTTTGTACTACAGACCCAGGGCCCGGATTTTTTTTCAGAGCACACGAAAATCGGAGAGCTACCTTCCCATGAGGAAATTTGCCGAATTTAACAAAAAGTGTATTGGATTAAAATTGCAAAGTACCCCTTTAAGGTGTCTAAAGGCATCACTTTTACCTGCAGATTAGTTTTTAAAAGTTTGATCTTTCTAGTGTTGAATAAATTATACTCTGTGAAGTTATCTTTAGTCAGTGCTGCAGTGCATTGGAGCTAAATCCACATTAGGGACCAATGTTTGTTTTCTGTCTTTTCTTTCCAGAGAAGTGTGAATCATCTCCTGCAGATCCATCCCAGCTCATCCAACAGGGCTCCTCATCGTAAGTGACTTTTCATAAGGCCAGTTTTGTACTATAATTTCAAAAAATTATATTTGATAGAGAATCATTGATTTCACATAGTGTTAACCAGTCTTACCTGTCTTAACCAGGCAAGTTGGCTTCATCAGGGTTTCTGCAGGCTGTTTTCCACCAGCCAGTCAGAATCAGCTGGTTTCACCCACCATGAGTTCAAATCAAAGGAGCATTGTATAAATTCTACAATCAGAAGACATTTCAGAAAAAATAGTATTACAAATATTTTCATTAGGGCTGCAACTGTTGATTATTCTCTCAATCAGTTGATCTGCAGATTATTTTCTCAGTGCATTGTTTTTTTGTGTAGAAAGAAATGAGATAAGATGATGTATTCAGCTTGTTTTATTTTACCAACAGACTAAAACATAAATATATTTATACTAATGTTATAAATGACAAAGGAAAATACCCACATTTGAAAATCTGGAAACGGTTTGGCATTTTTGCTTGAAAAATGACTAAATTGATTAATAATTGCTGATAAATTTTCTGTCAAACATCTAATCTATCAATCGACTATTCTTCATAGCTCTAATTTTCAGGAAAAAACTGTAGAATTAACAAATTGCATTTCTACCATCAAACCCTTCCAAATGAACGGTTTACCATCACTTTACTTAATTATAACTTTAACACCACTATGTCATGTTCCTTTGGTGTGTGTGTGCTGTAGTTCATTTCAAGCGGCACATTCCAGAGGGGTTGAGTCTGCCAGCTCCAGCGACTCAGAGAGTAGCTCAAGATCAGAGTCGGACAGTGAAAGCACCACAGAGGAGCCACCCAAACCCCCAGTGAGCATCTCAGTTAAAACAGAGGTAATTTGCTGCTTGTCCTTTATGTGTTCTATATAAACATGCATTACCTGAGCTGTTTTCTGAACCGTTTGCTCTTCCTTATTTGTTAAAATCACCTTGTTTGTGTCTTTTTATAGCCTGAGGCTCCGGCGGTGAACCATGGTGACTGGCAGTTGGGGAACTGGATCAGGCCCAGTCAGCAGAGCTCCAGCAGTGAAGGTCAAAGTGGTCAACAGGCCTCTGAGAGCCTCGCTCACAAACCACCACCGACCACTCAAAGTCCCAAGCACTCCAGTGTAGAGGTGGTCGACCCCGCCAGGGAGTCTAAACCACAGCTTTCTTCTCACCCGAAAGAGTTCACTGAAAAACCCCAGCAGCATTGTGAAAGCCCTCAGGACAGCTATAACCAGCAAAGTAGCCAACCCCCCCCCTCTGCTGATTTAAACAGCTGTAGCAGTTCCAGGAAACTTTCATGCAATACACACTCCTCAAAACCAACCAAGACAGGTTGCCCAGATCACACTGAAGCAGCAATCGGCGTGAAGTGTGAGGAAGTTGTAGCCACGCAAGACAAAGACCCCCGTTTCAAAGATAGACCCAAGGTAAAGACGAAAACGGGACATGGCAAGAAAAGCAAGGACAGCAGAGACACTAAAAGACTCAGTAAGAGGACTAAACACACATCACTTGACAAGCGGAAGGCTGGATCTGAGCCTCAACCTCAAGTCAAGCTGACACTGAATGGTGCTTGTCCATCATGTAGTGTGCGATATCCTAACCCCTGCTCCTGCCCCACCCAAAGTCCTGTTCAGCCTGACCAGCTGTCTCCTGTCCCACCAGTTAGACTCAGTTGTAGCAAACCCAAGTCAGGGACCACCTGTCAGAAGGACGCCAAGATTCCTCACAAAACAACCCACAAGCTCTCAGAGAAGACTGGGCATAAAACCAAGAGTTCTCGGGACCCCCATAGGCCTCCTAGATCCCTGCTGGTGAAGATTGATCTAAGTCTACTTTTAAGAGTTCCCCAGACCTCCGGCAACCACCAGGAGATACCCAGAAATGCAAAAAGATCAGCACTGGTCATAGAGCAAGATGACGGGGGCAGTGATGCTTGTACAACACACAAACTCAGCAAAACCAGCAAAAAGAGTATACCTCAAAATGTGAGACACATGAGGGTCCAGGGCTGCTCTAGTTGGCATACATGTACATGATGAAAGTCTGTTTTTACTTTAACTTGTGCTTTGTTGTCTTATAGGTTGAGGTAGACAATAAAACTATTCCCAGGAAGAAACCGAGGCTGGAAAACAAGAATACCTCTTCAACTCATGCTTCTCTCAAACTGGAGTAGGTCCCTTTTTAAATCAGTAGCATCCCATACCATGTTTTTACCAGAGATAACATTAACATGTGTTAAGGCAAGACACTACAGGCAGAAACAAAGCGTTTTCATGCACTGGTAAATTTTGAGATTTTGCTTCCATAACAAGGAAAGAAAACAGCCAATGTGCCCATTTGGGTGTTTATTTTACTATGCTTTGTAGTTTTGCACCTGTAGATTTCTCCTAAATTCGAAAAAAAGTTGGCATTAGATATGCTATAAATATATTTAAACATAACATTTCAGAAAACCTGCAATACAATTATTTTGTTTTGTTTTAATGTATGCATCACTTGGAAAGTGATGGTGGTGTCTCGCAAAATGTATGAAATTTTACAATACAAGTCTTTTATTTTTATTTTTTTTGTCACACGCTGGACCTAAAATCTCTACTTCAGTAGCACATACATACACCAGATCTTCTATTTCTATCGCTATCCTGAGGGTTTTTACAGAGGGATTTGTTGAGATCATTTATAGCCAAATTTATACAAACCATTTCTTTTGTAAAAGCAATTGCTGTTGACAGTATTTTCTGATTTATGGAGTGACGATAAAAAAGAGAGATCCAATATTCCATCTGTAAAAGCATTTCACTCTAATATGTCAACAAAATTAATTTTAACCTGACTTTATCCAATGTTCAGATTTCAGTTTCATGGTGATATTTTTAAGTTAAAACTTTGGCCCAGTTGACCTGCAGGCCTTCATAGAGAGGTTTTTTTCATTGTGGATGTGTGCGAGTCCGTTCAGTCACATCACACAAACTCTCTCATCTTGTCACTGACAGAAGTTCCAGCAATTCAAAAGAGGACCGGGATCGAAAGAAGGCCAAGAAAAATCCTGTTCCTTTGCAGCAGCCTCTGACACCCAAAGACACTGCAAAAGACTCAAAGTCACACACACGCAGTTCTGGGGAGACACAGGAGTCCAGTAAGGACGCTGTAAAGAGCAAAGACTCCTGCAAGCACAAGAAGAGCAGTGGAAAGCACACAGAGCACCCACACTTTGAAAAGGTGACTGTCAGGATATAAGTACCTAGCTTCTAGACAAGCTTCTGCAAGTTCTCATAGTTTAAATGATTTTAGTGCTTGTTCATTAATTATTACAAGAAAAGAGAAGCCATTCAAATTTTAACTGAATGTCTCTCGTGCAATACTAGCAGAAGCCCCCAAAGAGTAGCCTCGCCGTCACATCATCTTCACAGCCTGCTAGGGAAGCTTTGACCAACAGACCTTTGCTCAGACTTGAGGACAGGTAAAAATCTTTTCTGGAACCTTGTTCAGTTGTTGTAAAATATAGTTTTTAATTTATGTCCTATAAAAGCCAGCCTGTGCCTGGACCTAGCTGCATTTTCTCGGCCAAGATGTGACATTTCCTCTATTTCCAGACTTAAGTCTGTCAGTTTTTCCACAGCGGAAAGAAAATTCACAGAACAGAGACTGTTCTGAGATCTTACCCGCAGACAGTGTTGGTTTTAGCAATGTACCAAAACTTCCATGATGGGAAGTCACAACATTTTAGGGTAGCTCGCCTGCTATCCTGTAAAAGCTACAGTAAGAGTTAAAATTTACTTTCAAGTATGACCAAATGTGAGTCACACTAATCATTTTAGACCAGCTTTCCATGCTGAGATGCTTGAGAAGGTATCTCATTCGCCTGTGTAGCCTTTTAATCTCTCCCTGTAGCTTCTGAGTTTTAATTGTAATTTTGGCTGATCTTTGATGAAGCTCCTCATGTTCTTACAGCCAAATAAAGCCCAAGTGATACATTGATATGTAATATAATTATTATTAAGGACATTAAAGCTCAGAGTGCAAGTCAGTAACTTTGTGAGAAGCAGTCCAAAGAAACCAGAGCATCATTTGTGGATTGTTACTCAAGACTTATTTTGTGTCAGTGATGAAAACATTTATTGTGTTCTGAGTTGTATATTGTGACTCGTCTAATAAAGCTTTCACCTGTAGGCAGTATCCAGTGAAGCATTACATAAAGGAGGCAAAAAAACTGAAGCACAAAGCGGATGCAGAAGTAGGTTTCTCTTTTTGTTTGTTTTTTGAATTCATTTACTAAAATTACTGTCATCTACCCAGCAACTTATAACCAAACTCTCTGTCTGTCTCTGTGTGTAGTCAGATAAGCTCAGTAAAGCTTTCAACTACCTGGATGCGGCCATGTACTTTGTTGAGAGTGGCATTGCCATGGAAAAAGATCCTCAGATTTCGATGTCTTCCTACACTATGTTTGCAGAGACTGTGGAACTGCTCAAGTACGAACCCACTTTTATCATGGATTATCTGCACTATTAGTAGCTTTTTGTAATAATTAGTTTGCATGTTTGCAAATCTATAGAGTGCAGGGTATGTCTGTAAAGACATTGATATGTTATCAAAGTTAAATTCAGATTAAAATAAAATTTAATTCAGCTATAACGTGAAAGTTTTTGGTTCTATAACTAAATTTGATTAATGCATTAGTTTTACTGCCACATTCTCCACTCTCACAGGTTTGTACTGAAACTTAAAAACTCAGTGGACCCCTCTGCTCCACCCTCAGAAAAGGACTTTTTAGCTTTATGGTAAGGTGTAGATGATACTTTATGTGCTGTTTCTCCATACACCAGAATGTCTCTTGAGATATCCCTAACATTACTGGTTATGGTTGATCTCCTGATTGAGCTTCATTTAGGTTTTTAAGCTTTCCACCAATCTGTGTTTTGGTTCTTGGCAGCATTGAGTGACTTTCTTCCAATTCAAATTCTCATTTGTGTTCATGTCAAAGAGATGTGTACTTAACTTCAATGGCATTCTGAAGGTAGTAGTATGTGGTGCTGTATAATTATTATAATTATGTCAAATATATTTATATTGAAAAGTTGATAACGTTACAGCAACTCCTTGTAAGTGCAAGATAACTGCACTTAATAGATGTGTGGCACTTTGTTAGATGGGCAGTATAAGTAATTAATTTTACTGTCCGTTACTAATTCTGCCAGTCAAACTGATTCATCATCAACAAACATTTGGCCTATGTTGCTTAAAATATCACAAAGGGTAGCACATAGAGGAAACCCTTAAATTTTACATAAGAACTAAAAAAATACATTTGTCCAAGTTGCCAAATCATTGGTTAAGAATTTAAAACGTGATATAGAAGAAGAGATTGTATACTACGAGTTTCCACAACATAGTCAGTGAAAAACTAACATTTACTTGTGTCTTGTAGTTTGAAGTGCCAGTCTCTCCTGCAGATGGCCATGTTTCGCCACAAACACAAAACTGCACTCAAGTACTCAAAGACGCTCACTGATCACTTCAATGTAAGCATTTAGGCATTACTATAACTCCTAGTTTGCCACTGTAAATGTTTTGTAATTATTTAGGTAATAGTAGTTGTACTAAGTGGCAGTAGCAGCTTGTTTTTTATAATTAAATGTGGACCTCTTGCAGAGCTCTGCTCAGACAACACACGATCCCTCCGTCTTAACATCAAAGTAAGTAGTTTCCGTGTTACATTCACTGTTTGGATATATTGAGCTAAGCTGTCAGAGGTGTGTAGCACATGAAAAGTCTACATCTTTTTTTTCCTTTTCCTGTTTCCTTTTAGAGTCACACACACCCCGTCCCCCAGCATACCGTCTCCAGCCAACACATCCACCAGCTCAGGCCCCAGCTCCAACCACAGTGGCAGCGGGTTGGTTGTGGACCCTGTCAGCAGCACCGTGGCGGTTCCCCAGGCCATTGAACAAGTGGCATTCGCCTATGTCAACATCACTACACTATTCTTGAGTGCGCATGACGTCTGGGAGCAGGCGGAGGAGCTGGCACAAAAAGGCAGCGGTGAGAATGGATGGAAAAGAGAGGGTGCTACCAAAATCAAAATAGGTTATGTGAATCTGAAAGGCTGCTTGATATTTGTAGTGACAGAACTTTAACTTCAAGTAGATTCAGTTAGGATAAGTTATTTTTTTCACTGATCCACAAAAAGCTGCTATGTTTCATCAAAAATAATAATGAAAAACAAAAATTCCAAAGTGCAGCGTACAGCAATGCTAGGAATAAGAAAGTGATGGAATTTGTGGCAATTGTTGGTTTTCATTTGGCTAAGAGAAAGCCATAAGGTAAAAACCACCATTGGTGACAAGACGAGATTGTGGAGCTATTAGTAGGATCGATCTCATGCAGCGATCAAGCTCACGGGGTGTTAGCACTTCTAAAACTCCTAGGTAACCAGTGAAGGACAGCAGGGACTGGTATTATGTGGTTGCTTTTCTTAGAATATGCTAAAAACTGATGTTTTGCCTGCCGAGATTAGAATAAAGTGTGCTAAAAAACATTGACCTTCTGTTCCGGTCTCAGTTGAACAAAACAGATCTGCACCACTAGTCCCATGGGCTTTTTTTTGCTAAACAAAATTAGATTAGGCACCCAGACCAGAGGTGGAAAGAGTACAAAAATATTATACTTAAGTAAAAGCTCATATTTTACTTAAGTATAAATAAAGTTACTGGTGTAAAAATCTACTCAAGTAGCTCATTTAAAATTTACTGAGAGTAAATGTTACTTAGTTACTTTTTCTAAGTAACGTTTGAAGCTGAAGGAGGCAGTTCACTGAGGAGTAATGGTTAAAATCTGTAATTGTAATGTAACTCTGATTGGCATGATATATTAATCACCCGGTTTCGATGCTGTTTTGCAGCTGCGCCGTTATTGTGCTCAAGACACCGGTAGTTACTGGTGGTAAAAGCAGATGACTTGTAATGCCAAAGGCCACAGACGTCTGGAGCAGCTAAACAAACTATTGTCGGGCAGTTATTGGTATTTTCCGTAATTATATGAGCGGTCATGATCTGACACACCATGAGTCTGCAAACAGCGAAAGTGAAAGGAGTTGGTTACCTGGCTGAAGGTGTGCAGCCTGTCGCCTGCAGCTCTTTAACAGCTCATTGTGTCTGCTGCTTCTGATTCTTGCATTACTCACTGCCATATTTCAAACTGCTCCGCTGTCTAAGAAACTGTTGAAAATGACGGTTGTCTTGTGTAGAGGCATTTTTGACGAATGAGAGCGACCATTGCTAATCTCAATTTACAAGCAGATAGCATTTCCTGTGACTACTTCAAAATAAAAGTCATTTTCACAGCTTACACTGATTCATGATAAAGCAGTTGTTCTCTTGCACTTGAAGCCAAAGTGTTTTTTCCTAGCACTTTTTTTTTACTCAGTAACGGATGTGATTTGAAAATGTAGGGAAGTACAATACTTTAAACAAAACATACTTATGTAAAATTACAGATTTAAAAAACTACTTCAAAAAGTACAAGAACACAAAAAAGCTACTCAATTACAGTAATGTGAGTAATTGAGATTTGTTACTTTACACCTCTGACCCAGACTAGATGAGATGCTAGGTACAGATTTCAGTAACGCATAATACAGGACACATTACACACATCAGTGGCACTGGCCTATAAGATCAGCTTGCAGTCACCCTGCAAGTGCATTCAAAAAGCCATTCCTTTTATAGATAGATAAAATGTCATCAGTGCTTCAGTGCTGTTAATGACTTTAGTGATGTTTAATGTTTTAAATATTTCTGCTTGTTTCAGCTATGCTGACAGAGCTGGACACAGTAATGGGCCCACTGAGCCTGTCGTCAAGTATGAGCTCTATGGTCCATTATACGAGACAGGGTGTCCACTGGCTGAGGCTGGACAGCCAAAAGGTAAAGTGACCAGCAACCAGCTGTCGTTCCTGAACTCTGATACTGACCTGAACTGTCCCTCAGGCTTGTGCCAGTTGTCTATATTTTTTTTTTTTTGCTTCACATGGACATGAACTCATCTCATCAGAAAGTGTAGACACAAGATACCACGCTGATCATTGCACTTGTTATTCATTGTTTTCTCTTGTGTCCACTTTGGTGTCTCTCTTTCTCTCTGGCACTTTTATGAACTTGGGTTACATCTGCTGTAATCCACATATTTCTTGTCTTGCACCTGCTTTGTACCTTCCTGTTCCTCAGCTGGTGTCATGGAATCATTTGCGAATCAGGCCTTTATTAATTATTATATTATATAATTATAATTTTCCGCAGCCTTATCATTTGGTTGTGGTGCAAGTACTGACACAAATCTTATTTAATATCATGACTTTTGTTAATAATGTTACTATTATTGATGACCTGATCTGCAAAAGGACAATTAAGTCACGACTGGTCACCACACAGTTTTTCATAATTGATGGTTTCATTTCTCTCAAAGAAATTCAGTTTCCCTGTTTCAGACTGAAATATTGGTTTAGTTTGGATTCAGGGATTTTGTATTTTTTAAACTCCGTATTGTGTTTTCCCCACAAATCAAGTCAGGATCACCTGAATTCAGGTGTGCAGTGTCACACATGGCTGAAGTAATTTATGATAACATCTGTACTGACGACACAGTCTAATTTAGACTATGTTGGAAGCAAAGATAAGTCAAATATGGGGAAAATGTATTAAATCAGCATTCAGTAAAATCATTTTAGCTAATCCGCCATTGGCCTTTTGTATATTCTGTTTTTCAAATGAGTGTTCCCAGCTCTGGTTAACAAACGTTTTCTGTTTCTGCTTCAATAAAAAGTGTGTTTAAAGATACATAAATAAGATAGGAAAAAAAAACGTGCCATACATGTTGAATGTAGAAAGGTGTTGTCCGTAAAAAAGATGCAAAGTAGGAAAGGTTTTATTGATTCAGGGGAGACGTACCTGCATTCTTTGCTGAATGAAGTCGTCATCGTGTATCGGGTGTAACCGTAGCGTCGGTGGAACTCATGCTCATGCCAGACGCAGGTTTGCATCTTTACTCTTGTCTGCGTCGTACTGAATGATGATTGGAAGTTTTTGATGTCGTGGTTTTGGTATGATGGTTGGTGGCTGCAGCTCGTGGTCGTGGCAGAAGTGATGTTGACAAGTAGTGGCTAGTTTGTCAGACCAAAGCAGGGTAGATATTATTCTTGTCATATTGCACTCGTACCCTCCTACTGGAAATTATACAAGAATCAAAGTAAAGTAAAAATCCTAATTATAGATAGTTTCTTGGTTAACTACTTGCAAGAACAAAAAAAAAGGGGGGTGGGGGGGCGGATAATTTTACATCCCTGACTTTCCTTTGGTATTGTGTTGGATGTGGTGGTTCAAATTGGGCATTAGTTTGAGTTACCTTTCAAGTATAGTGACTACCACAGTCATTCAACACACATGAAATTACAGTAGTGCTCCCTTATGTTTTTGCCCCAGTAAGCTGCTTTCCTCTCTGTTTCCCACACTTTTGTTGAGTAGCAAAATGTTGAGTTGCAAAATGTTTACTAAATCTGTGGGAGTAGAATAAATGGCCAAACTATAGCTTACTGAAAAATGCACTTTTTTGAGTATTTGTAGTTAATTTCAGTGCGTCATTGGACAAAAGAGCAGCATGTTCTCAAGACCAGCTGGACTATGCTGGTCTTTACTCTTGTTTATTGTAACTTTGATTCAAAGCAATAAAGCATGAGCTTTGTTGGCTCAATTTCTTTCTAGTGAGGTGTCACCCGTTCTTCTAGTGATGCAGGAAAAGAAACACTGCTTTGGATTAGCACAGTCAAATGCGTACAATTGGGCTTTGAAATGTTTCGCTTGTTAATTCAGTTGGAGTGTGGATGCAATTAAATGATAAAAGGGCTAAATGAGGATCACTAAGTGTTCCTGACTTTATTTTCTCACAAATGATAGTAATATTTTTTTAAGTAAGGAGCGAGTACACTGGTGCCACGGCATTTGAGATTTTTTTTTTATGTACGGATCATCAGCAGGCTGCTCTGAAATGGTCCTTGGAGTTTCTTACCACAGATGTCTACACTGCACACAAGATCATTTTGGCATTCAACATACATAAAGTGCAACTGCAACAGTATTTTTCTTTTTCTTTTTTTTTTGGTGTTCTTGTCTTTTCCAACATGTGGCTTTATTTCCATCTTCCTTGATTGTTGGTGCTTTGTTTATGAATTACTCTGCAACAAGTTTACACTTCCTGTCCAAATAATTATTTACTGGAAAAATACTGAATGGAATTTGAAGGATGCTTTTTTTCATTTTGTGAAATATGTAAAGAATTTGTGTTGCAGTGTACAAAGATGAATAAACACTGGACATTTATGTTTTGTTATTTACTCTTATTTTTCTCACAGAAAAACAAGAATTGCACAATTTGAGATTTGGAGGTAAAAGGTAAATAACATGTGAACAGTAAATTTACATACACAACATTTCTGAATTACTCTGGACATGTATCAAACTGTTGCATTTCAAAAACGTAAGTGCAATACATCTCATTTTTATGAGTGTATTAGAATATATACAATATGTGAATCCTATAGAGACTAAATTAGTCTGATTCTCCTGTGAAGTTGGGGTTGCTGAAAGCAGGCTGCAACAGAACAATGACACAACTTAGTATTTACACTGAGAAAAACGTAACCATGTGTTCACACCTATGGTTCACACTCAACCATAACAGGCTAAATAGCTTACCACATCAATGTGACTGGCTGTTCTTGTTGGCAGGCTCAAGCCGCTCAGCTTATACCCCCGGACACTGAAGACATAGCACAGCAATCCAGCTTTCAAGGCTAAAATCCCAACGGGTGCAATGATGGTGCCAGCTATCACCCCTCCATCTGTACAAACACAGATGTGTTGTGTTAAAATGTACTTTTCATTTAAACTGATGTGCAACAGTTGGTGAAGTGTCCCAACATGTCATAAGTTAGAGTTATGGTAAGATTTGAGTCTTTAGCCATGCTAGCAGCTCTGTTAGGCTGTAGTTAGGCACAGTAAATCAATAAAATTGATCTGACAGTGCTGCTTTGAGCTAAATGCTGCAAAAACTGATAGGAATGCTGTTTTCCACATTCTCCTATACAGGTGAAACTCGAAAAATTAGCATATCGTGCAAAAGTTCATTTATTTCAGTAATTCAACTTAAAAGGTGAAACTAATATATTATATAGACTCATTACATGCAAAGTGAGAGATTTCAAGCCTTTATTTGATATAATTTCGATGATTTTGTGTACAGCTTATGAAAATCCCAAATTCAAAGTCTTAGAAAATTACAATATTACATGAAATCAATAAAAAAAAGAAAAAGATTTTAAATACAGAAATGTCAGCCCTCTGAAAAGTATAATCATGCATATGTACTCAGTACTTGGTTTGGGCCCCTCTTGCATGAATTACTGCCTCAATGCGGCGTGGCATGGATGCTATCAGCCTGTGGCACTGCTGAGGTGTTATGGAAGACCAGGATGCTTCAATAGCGGCCTTCAGCTCTTCTGCATTGTTCGGTCTCATGTCTTTCATCTTTCTGTTAGTAATGCCTTACTATGGGTCTAAAAGGGGCGGGGGCGGGGGGGCGGGGGGGGGAGGGGGGGGGGAAGTCCATCCATTCGTTCACATGTAGGAGCCCTCCTCCTGCGTTAAAAGAAAATATAAGCTTGGGTTCAGTGGTTCAAGGGCCAGATTACCCCAAATTACAGAAGATAAAAATAAATTTGTGGCACTCGCAGCACTACAAAAATTCCTTGGTAGAAAGTAGTTCCCTATCCACAAATACAGTGAAGCAAGTTTAATAAAACCTTTTAATGTTACGCTTTTTGTAAAATTGTAATTCATAAAATGTGTCAGTGATTTCATTATACATTTATGCAGTTGCGAAATATTTTGCTTCCAGGTTGAATGCTTTAAAGTCCCTGAAAACTTACTTTGTCTGATGGGCTTCTATATGAGCAAACTATTTAGGACAAGTTTAGTAATTTCACTCAAGTACCGTGAGGTTCTCATTCTTTGTATTTCCATTTTATGCTTCTTTATACTTCTACTCAACTATATTTATATTTAGGACCAGTGTGTAATATTTAGGAGGATCTAATGACAGAAATGCAATATAATATACATAACTGTTTTCAGTGGTGTATAAAGATCTTGCATAATGAACTGTTATGTTTTATTACCTTAGACACCGCGGGTCCTCTTAGATGGAAGTCGCTATGTTTATACAGTAGGCCCTACCCCTAACAGACAAACTGCTTTACAGAGCGTGTTTCATCTCTACGTTGAATACGTACGAAAAAGTAGTGGTCGTAGTAGTTGTCTGGTTTATTAGAAGTAAGAAGAGAAGTGAAATTCGGACAAATGGAGGACCACACGCATTATTTAGCACAAAAGCCGACAAAGTATGTTGTCCTCCGTAGCTTCTCCTAAAGGGAGGGGTGAGCAGTGAGAGAGCTGGACTTATACTTCTAATAGAGTACATTAAAGTATTGACACTATAAATGACAGTTGGTGGCTTGTTGGGTTTTGAGTGTTAAACAGTTTATAATTATAATTTGATTTTAAACCAAGTTTTCAGTGGCTTTAATGTCTTTTTAATTTGTAGGTAGTTTAGGTTAACTACCGGGTGTTCTCTCTGTGACAGCACCTTGCGCCTGAGTCTGATCCAGGCTTCATATTTGCCCTGAAGGACCACTCCAGCGACGAAGGCCTGGTCGTAGCTCACATCGACACTCGCCAGGAGGCCTCCTTGCTGCTCGTAGGCTGTCTGGACTGCGTCCAAGGTGTAACAACAAAATCTGTGACCTATCAGATTCTGTGACTACACCCAAACGACAATGTTTTCCTAACCATAACCAAATACTTCTGGTGCCTAAACCCAACCAAACTCCACTTGCTTCACATCGTCAACAAAGCCTCTGGCGCTTAACTTGCCATTTGGGTCACAGAATCACACATTTTGGACTCACACCGGCTCGTCCACCAGCTTGTAGCAGTTCAGGTACCAGGAGATGTAGCCAGCTGGGCAGGGACTCTTGGTTGGGAGTGGAGGGTTGATGCTGCTGGCTGATGTGGAAGCAGATTGAGAAAAATATTTTTAAGTAAGGCCTGAACAGGGACTTAGCTACTACATGTTTTCTGGACATTTCTTCCTGTAGCAGATGAAGCTAAGATGGTTAAGACAGGCGTCATCGTTCCCCTTGCCGCTCACCAGGTGGTTGCGAGCCATCGCCACACAGTGTTCCTGTTGAGATCTTTTTATATACAGTCTATCGTTGAGATCCACACGGAAGCTTCAAGCTATCGAACTATAAACTCAAATCCCTCAAATTTCCCTTTCCTCAAAGTATCATAAATAACCCTGACCTCACCGCTCCTCCTGCATTGTTGGGCTCCTTGTCAGTCCTGTTGGTGTACAGCACAGGGCTGACCCAGTCGCTCCAGGCGTACTGATTCTGATTCTCTAAGAGGTCTGACAGGCCGATCCATGTAGGAAGCTCCAGGTCCCTCAAGATCAAAATATAGAGAGCAGTCTCTTTTCAGTCCTGGAGCCACTGGGCTGATTTAATTCCATTGGATTTAGCTTACCATTCTCATTGTTGTCATCAATTACTGCCAGCTCTCCTCCTTAGTCTTTGCACCAACTCCCATCATACGACCAGTTGGCTTTAATGTCATTTTTCTTCCCTTTGAACATGACGCACTCGTCTTTGAAACGCATCCAACCTGGAAAGAAGCATGGTCAAGAGGCTACATTATACATGGATGGTTACTGGTTGTGTAATCAGTTACAGCTCATTGCTGTATACATGTATGTGTGTAAAATACATTACTTTTGTTTTTAATAGCTTTCGGACAACAATGAAAATAGGGCTCAGAGGGAATGAGCTGGTTCTGGCTTCGGCCGCACAGACCATATTTGTTAGCACGATCAATTCATTGTCGGTTTGGTCTTTTCATGGCATTTGTTGACAATTAGAAAAAGAATTTATGACCAAATGTGTCTTCTAACATATGTTATACACATCTATCAATTTAACCTGCATGTTTTAATAAATAGGGCTGTGTGGGTGGAGGAGGCGTGTGGACACCTCAGGGCAACTTCTTACAAACGTAACCTGCTCCAGCCCGACCACAGTTGGCATCGTTCCATCAACCTTAACAAGCCAGAGTTTGTTTTTTAAAATATCACCACCAGGCGTGTCCGTTCAGAAAACACACACAATAAATAACCAGATCTATATGGCCATAACGGTCCGATGAATGGAATTTCAATACTGTTGTGCAGGTAAACCAGAGAAACCATGGCATCGACCTTGTATGTGCACATAAAGAGAAAGTCCTCCAACATCTACAGAGACTTACTTTCTTTTTCAATGCTTGAATTGATGATGCCATTACATGATAACGTTTTGGAGTTTTTCTACTGGTACTGAATTAGAGATTCTTATCAAATCCAAAAAGTTTTTATTAAATGTACATTCTGTGTATTACATTTAGCATATCACTGCACAAACTGCCATATTGTACATATCATTCAATACCTTTTTATATTTTCTGTTTATTATGCACTAAAACACCAAAGTAAGTTCCTTATATGCGTAAACCTACTTAGCAATAAAGCTGATTCTGATTTGAATCAGAAAAATGTTTTTATATTGTACTAATTTCCATATGAGTGCTGTTTGTCTAAATACTAACGACATCCTTACCCCAATTTGTTAGTCTGCAACTCAGATTAAGCAATGACAGCAAAACAAAACAGCAAAACAAATTTACAGAAAATCTGAGTGTACTGAGCTGTACACTACTATAAAAGTATTGTGAAACCTAATTTTTGGGGAGATTCTCCCTTTCAATTCATCCAATCACTAAAAAAAAATAAATAAACATACATGTACTGTCCCCTTGCCAAACATCCTCATTCCAATACATGCTGCAGAAACGTGGCCAGTCCCCACCTGGAAGAGCAGTACAACATGACACAAACTTATTTCACTATAATGTATTACATATTAATAAACATTTTACTGTAAAGAAGTAATTTTAAAAAAAAGCGGTACCAAGCTGTTAATGTATGCCTGTTCGTCAGAAACATGGACATTACTGCATGGGCATGCTTGTTATTTTACTTTGCAATACACAAAAAGGCAAATCTACATGATATTATCTTTGAAGTGTTGTAAGGAATCTTGGGTAAATCCCAAGATCATTCACTACTCACTATATAACAGACTCGGTTATTTACTTTATAGGTTAGTGTACAGGAAATTGAGATTTCATACACAATACAATTTTGCATCATGTAATGCTGCTCAACTGTAACCTTCGCATATATAAAATGCCAAGCATTGCATTGTAGGATTGCTAGCAGAAAGTAGTGCTATGGACACTAGTTAGTGTTTACAATACACTAAAAGACACTACAGGGTACTACATAGTACAACAAAAAGCAAAAGATGGAAGCAGTCAAGAAGAGGAACAACACAAAGTACAGTAAAGTTTACAAAAGACGCATTATCTGGCTCATGCTGACAAAGTTGGCAACAATATTGATAAGATAATGTTGAGAATATTCACTAGTAATACCGGCAGGACACAAATAATGTGCAATAATATGTATTATTTCTAGTATAAACCATATGACATTTTTGTTTTAACTCTTTCAGGCTATTCTGAAAAACAGTTGTTCAAAATCATGAAATTGTTGGCAGAAATAGGTATGACTGGTCTGCTCATCATGAGCTTCTTGCACTTTTAATATTTTAAAAAATACAGTACAAAGTCCTTAACAGCTGCCTCACTTCAAAACACATAATAGATCATATCATAAAATTCATAAAAGCTCATATCACATGGCTCTTCTAGTTGATAAATTTGTGTCTTTATTTTTGAGGATTAAAACCTGGGTTGGTGCTCCCAGGTTTATGCTTTGACCTCCCCATGGTCATAATCATACATTCACTGTCAGGGATCAGAAGTGTCACATACCAAATATTTTATCAAAAAGTGACTTACTGCAAGCAAGAAGAGCAGCAAAGCTGAGCAGCTGCAGAATTCTTTGTCTTTTCTTTTTTCACCTCTTAACGTGTGTTTGTCCACATCCTAATATCTTTACGTTCAGCCTGGCAGTGTGTGCGGGTGATGTGCTTGAGCTATTCAGCTTCTCTTTAATTCATCTCTTTTCAGCATCGGGGTCCAGGGTCCAAAGACTAAAAGCAGTAAAACGCAGATGACCTCCTGACATAACCTATGGTAGTTTGTTACAGAATAAAACTTAAATGATCAAAAACAATAAGAGGGGAAAAAACATTAGAATTTAACCAAAAATAACAATTACTAATGATAAACACACATTTGACAATATACAATTTGGCGAAGGTAAAAAAAATAAACCATACAGTTACATGTGTCAGACAGGTAAGTAAATAAACCATGAAACTCCTGCAAACTCTTTAGAGCAGTCTGATGTGAAGGTTTTTGCAGTATTATAGAAACAAATTAAACATCCCACCAATTCATATTACACATAACTTTATTGTACCAATTTATACAAATACCATGTAAACAACAAAAAGCAAAAGATGGAAGCAGTCAAGAAGAGGAACAACACAAAGTACAGTAAAGTTTACAAAAGACTCAGTATCTGGCTCATTTGCTGACAAAGTGGGCAACAATATTGATAATATATTGTTGATAATATACACTAGTATTAATACCGGCAGGACACAAATAATGTGCAATAATATGCATTATTTCTAGTATAAACCATATATGACATTTCTGTTTTAACTCTGTCAGGCTATTCTGAAAAACAGTTGTCCAAAATCATTAAATTGTTCTTTCACATGGCAGAAATAGGTATGACTGTTAACTTATAACAGGAATAACATGAAATTCTCCATTTAGGACAAAAATATACTTCACATCTATTCTAGGAAAGTAGTGCACAGCAATGGGTTAGATAGAATAATACCAAAGATACACCTGTCTTATTATACAAAATATCCTTATTAAAATATAACGTGACCATCTGCAGAGACCAAACCGCAGCTGCATCTCATACACATCCGAAAGAGCTCCGATTAGGATTTCTGACAGACCAGCTATCGTCAAACACAAATCTCCAATTTAAAAATCTGTCCCTGTCAGGTTGAACAGATCTCTATACAATAATGCAAAACTGAAGGAGGACTGGAGAGGTGCCCTGTATTGCTCTGATCAGTCCTTGACTCTTAAATTCTGAGGTCGAGGTAAAGGTGGCGACTCAGGATTCAGCAGGCAGTTGAACCAGATTTGCATCTACACCTTCCTAAAACGGCTGGTGCACTTTTTATTTTTATTTTTGGCACTTGCAGTTAAATTCTTCAGATCCATCACCTCCTCACCAATGGCTGATTTGTCCCAATCGGCCATAAATGATTGTTCAAACACAATTACAGGCAAATTCCTAAAAGCTGGCATACGATCCAGCTCACTGCAGCTGGAACTGCTGATTGAATGATGTTGAAAAGCACCTTTGAAAAGTCTAACTGCTCTAACAGATACTTCTACTTAACCTGGCATAAGATCGAAGGAATCTTGGAAATGTATTTGACATCTTAACATCGTATTTCAGATTAATTGATTATAATGTTTTTGGACACACTGCACCGCAAACAAGGTGTTGAATGCAGTGTGATCACATCTCTGTGGATAATGAAAACAACTGCAGAGACAACGAGTAAACCATCTTTAAGAAGAGCCCGTTGAAAAGCTTTCCATACAGGCCCCACTATACAGTCCCCGTTCATAATGTGCACAGCTAACCTAGTAGTTATGAACCCAAACACACTTTTCATTCTCAAGATGTTAGTATTAAATACAAGGCGTGGCTAATATTTTCCCTTAAAAAACAAAACAAAAGTCAAACTATGTCAAGGCAGTCAAACAGAAGAAAATACAGTACAAAATACTACATCACTGATTGCAAATAACACCAGCAGGAGTCAAGGAGAACGTGTCACTTAGTCAGAGAAGACCTCATTTGTCAGATATGCACGTCAAGTCAGTAAAATCTCCCTACTATTCCTCAGTCACTGTGTGCAAACTGAACAGCTTCAAGCCGACGTTCATACAGTGGCGACAGCAGCTGACGGCTGCCGAAATAACTCACTCATAACTCAGTCATTGTCTGTGTGCTTGTGCAGTGATCAGGTCTGACGGCAAGACCTGGCAGTCAGTCACCTGGGAATAAGCGGGGTTGGGCGGGCGGTCACATGCAGTTGGCCACGTTGCTGGAGCCCTGGCCGACGTCCCTGATCTGGCTGACGTGTGACGAACAGACAGCCACTCCGGCTCCGGCGCGGCAGTGAGACACCGAACCCACCAGCTCCCATCTGAGCAGCAAACACATACAAGTCAAAACATAGGAAGAGAAGGAGGACGCGGTAGAAGTACTAAACAATACAATTTGAGCAAGTAACTGCATAATAAAAATGATTTCAATTAGAGCAATTACTCAAGTATGTAACAGGTTGAGCCTTGTTTCAGCAGGTAAGTCACACAAGCTTCAAATGTAGACTTCTGCCATTACATTTCATCCAGATTTGAGAATCTTTATTGAGCGTTGTGTTGCCAATACGGCTTAATGATACTGAAAAAAATTCGCCATTATTTTGACTGACACTGCAATTTTTGCAGGGATCTGTACCAAACAAGTCTGTAGAGTATGACGTGTAGGCTACGACATCTCTGCAGCACGACAATATTTAATTTAAAATAGTTTATAGTATTTTTTACACACCTAACAAATATTGAACCTCCTGCGATTTGAAAACTGCAGTAGGCCATTCGCAATTTCAAAAAGATTTTGATTATTGTTCAGCCCTAGTTGCCAACGGGGGAATGTTTATTCAATTTGCTTGTGTTTTCATATAAATCATCTAACAAGAATTGAAGGCACGGTGTTGTTAATCTCAGCTCTTAAATTATTGCCAAAACACAGAGATCCCTTGTCCCTTATTAACTCATCCCAAATCCCACCTCAATACCTTAGAAACACATCACATCACGCAGCCCTCATTCATCTCCTGCTCACCTGTTCATTCGTGGCTCAAAAGCTTCCACAGTGTTCAAGTAGATATTCCCATTGTGACCCCCGACCGCGAACACTCTTCCCATTACAGTGGCTACCCCGACTCCCCCACGTGGGGTGGTCAGCTCAGACACGTACTCCCAGCGGTGCATTCTTGGGTCAAAGCGCTCTACAGAGCTCAGGGGTGAGTTGTCATCAAAACCGCCTTTAGGAAAGACGAGAGAGACACTTATTCAAAAAACGAAAGTACCTCCTACGATTCTTAGGTGCCTTTGTGAAAAAAGCTCAAGGGACAAACATGAAACTGGCATGTAACCTGGCAGACAACACGCTTAGGTGTAATGATTGCAAACGCTCATTTGCTTTATGTAGGATTATGCTGTTACTAATGTAACAGACAACATTAATGATTTCATGCATCCATACTAAGCACTTACACAGCTATTGACAAGGCAAAATGCCACAAGACATTTTAATGAACCCTGAGTGACTGACTTGTGTATAAAATTGTAGGAGGCACGTGACCTGGGTGTATCAAAAAAATGCAAATGCAGACAAAATTCTGTACTCAAATCAACAATATTCAAGTGATCAGATCTGAAGTGTTCTTTGTTCAGTTATTCCTCTCACCCACTACATAGAGGCAGCCATTGAGTTTGCTGACTCCATTTCCAGCTCGTCGCTGGCCCATCTCGCTGACCTCTATCCACTTGTTGAGGTGTGGGTTAAACCGCTCCACACTAGACAGCGACGCCACCCCATCGTTCCCTCCCACTGCGTATACAAAACTCTGGCAAGGAGAGGGTATAGAGCAGTGAAGTCCACAGTAGAGATCACATATCAGTCACAATCAACTGGCTTTCCTCCACAGTGTTACCCCCAATGCCACGGATCCCACTCCTCCTCTGGGCGTGTTCATCGGCGCCACAGCGCTCCAGCAGTCACTTTCGATGTCGTAACGCTCCACATCGTTGAAGCAGGAGTTGTCATCCAGACCTCCAATAGCATAGATAGGACCACCAAGCGCTGCCAAGGCTATACCCCTCCTGAGAAACACATACATCCTTGTTCAAAGCAGTATTTTTGCTGTTTACCCAATACTTTAAGCATAGCAAAAGCATACAGCAGATAGTAAAAGGTACACCAGACGAAATGCATGTTAAGGTATCAATCAGGCCTGCTCCTGAGCATGTAAGGGCTGAAAAGAGGACCAATTTTTAAGTCAATACTAAAACTTAGAAACAAAAAAAAAATTTCTAAGGCAATACGGAAATCAAAATTTAGCATCAACAGAAACACAAATCAATCAAATAACTGTGTGTCTGTGTACCTCTTGGTGTTCATGGAGGCTTTCATCATCCACTTGTTGGTGAGGGGGTCAAACATCTCCATGTTGCCCAAGTGCTCGTTACCATCATGGCCCCCAACAGCATAAACCTTGCCTAAGGAAAGCAACGTCAAACAGATATGACGTTGACTGCAGTACTTTTTTACAAAGATACACGTTTTCATTTGCTATGTTGCAATACTCTATTATACTGTACTCACTTTAAGTGAATCTGTGATCCAAATATTTCATTTTCTAAATTATATTCAAAATTCAAATATTAGAAAAAAGCTGTATAATGCAAAACAGATTAACACCACAACCCACATAATCTACATGGGTCAGTTGAACCAATTCGTCTCTAAAACAGTTTCAAATAATCTGAACATTATAACCTTCATGAGAGCAAAATTTATTACAGAACTGTTGTATTAGACTGCATTCGTTTTAGCTAGGCCTACCTAATAAACTGACTACTGACTGTATAATATATAAAGTTTCCCTGAGCTCTTCTAAACACAAATGCTCATCTTTCCACACCCCATCTTTTACTGTCTATAGTGTTATTATATATGTAACCCTTCTTACCTCCTACAGATATTACACCCACGTGACGCCGTCTGCTGTTCATTTCAGGACCAAAGAACCAGCTGTTCTTAGTGATGGAGTAGCACTCAATACTGCGAAATGGGTCACCAGAACCCCCACGGCCACCCACACAGAACAAAACCCCTGAAGAAGTGTCAGGAAAGAACCAAACGTTAGCACAGTGAGAGAACACATGTCACACTTAAGCCTACAGATGAAACACGAAACTATATATCTACATGACAAAGCAGTTATTACAATTTTTATAACTTTGCTTATGTTATGAAGACGAGACTAAGCATATAACAAACATGAAAACCTAGAAAGTCATTTGGTTTTCATGAATGTAGCTGTGTATTTTTTAGGATGATGAGGAAACATGCTGAATGTTAGTAAAAAATGCCCTAAAATCACTAGTAAGTACTACCTGCAGTGTGTTTCCTGGGTATTGTACGGACTGAGTACTCAAAGTCCAGCACCACCTTGTTGCTGAGGTGCAGGTGGTAGTTCCTGGCTTCGTCCATCAGGTCGCGACAACTCAGGTTACCTTTGATCATCTCATCCTTAGCTACTGTTCCAGTCAGGAACTCTACAGGCAGCAGGGGGAGGCGCACCTGTAGGAGAGACCATACACGTTGTGTTGTGGTTGTGTAAGTGATTACATAAAGCTGTGAACATATGTGTAACACTGACACTAATTTCACTCACAGTTATGTAGTTTAACCTTCAGGTAATCAGCGTAATAGGTCATAAAAGTCTTAACTTCACTAGAACACATACTGAAGCTACTTCCAGTCATGAAACTTCAGGAGATATAAAATTCAGGAAGATAGACCCTTCTCATTGAAGCTATGCACTCTCTAACCTGAGACATGATCTGGTCCAGCCAGGCCTCGTGGTGCTGTGGGTTTGCTTTCAGCCATTTCACTGCTGCATTGTACACCTGTGTCTCTGAGTGGATATTGAGCTCACTGGAGGACAATAATGTGCGTAAGTGCTGGGGAGACACGCATGTAAAGTCCTCACACTCCACTACCTCGGTGAAGTGCTCGCAGGCATAGCGGTCGGCCATATCCATCAGGTCCACACGATTGTGGCTCTCGGCAAAGGTACGAACTGCCAGGCAGTTGGTGGGTGGAAGTGGGCCTTCATGTACTCACAGCAGGCTCTTGCCACCAACTCCACCTAACAGATTGAGGCAGTAATAAGGCAATGTTGCAGATTATCTCAATGCATTACATAATTACATTTTGTTCTGTGTAAAAATTGTCATGATATTTTAAATTGATAAATAAGAGTTTGAGCATCACTACACTTAAAATGTAACTGAAAATTCAGAACCCACTTAGTTCATGTAAACTAAGGAGAACAAAGCGCCTGCACAACTTGTTGACTGATTGTACTTGTGTGTCTTTACCTGAAGGATGCAGGCAGCATAAAGCAGTGGCTGGACATTGTCCACAGTTAATGTGAGTTTGGAGGAGTAGGCAAAATGCACCAGGTCCTGGATGGCATCACCATCAAAGTCCTTGATCTCTATCAGTTCCTGCTTAGCCTCGGACATCTCTGACAGGAACATGGCCCTGAGGGAAGAAAGAGCAACTTACACAAGAACAAGATGTAACACCTTCCACAAAGCTTTGTGTTCTGCAAACATAAAATAAATTTTGTCTTTGAGTCCTTAAGGGACTACGCCACTGGTTTCTGTTCATTAAGTATGGAGGCCCAGAGAGTACACTTCCACCCCAACTGACAACTGATTAGGGCAGTCAATCACTATATTTTAGTTATTTTGTGCTAGTACTGTCTTCTCTCTTTTAACAAAAATAACATGTGCTATCATGCCCAACTATCGTGCAGGCCTATCGTATGTAATGTATCTATCTAAGCATCTTCATACAAATGATCTAAACAGAAATGACAAAATTCTGTGTTTGATTTTTTCATGACATTGGAACCTTGTGTTCAGGCTCAAGACAGGCTTCATTTCTGTATGTTTAGTCAGAGCAAAAGGTGTATCTGGGATATTATATTTGGCTTTTAGAAAACAAGCTAGAGACTAGTGTGATTGATTAAATCATTAAGAGATTAAGAAAAAAACCCTCTTATCTGTTGGTGCTGTACTGAAAAATTGCTATATAGGTCTTCCTCAAAAAATAAAACAACAAATGTACCTGAAGTAAGGGATCACACAAGCCAGCACTAGCTTGTGGCATGGTATCAACCTACTGCCAACCTACAAAAAGAGACAAACACAAAATACATGTTTGAAAAAACAGGCAACAAAGCACACCTACATACAGTATCAATAAGCTCACTGCTTATTAATTTATTTATGAACCGGACATGACTGAAAACATCAACAAAAGATCAGTGGAGGCAATCAAATCTAGTCAAATCTCGTTACTTGAGTCTGGACAGGGTGACCTACCTTCAGCGTGACGTCACAGAGCTCTCCTACTTCGTAGAAATGCCTGAGGGAGTTATGAAAGTCCTTCCAAGCCTCATGAGCCTCGAAGACAAAGGACCCATCAGGCTCGCAGTCTGCTTTTGAAGCCTTGTTTCCAGGCCGCTTCTCCTTGGACTTCAGCTGCTTGGCATGGTCTGGCACCACATCCCCTGGTGCCATAGCTGCCTACAGGAAACAACACCTAAAAGACAGATTAGAGGAATTTTACATTGAAGCACGAAGAATTGCTTACAGAATACATCTGGAACCATATAAAGACAGCGGCAGATATGGGTAGGTATTATGGAACAAAATAATATTACAATAAATATCACAGCATGATCTCCATATTGAAAATTTGGTGCCATATTAATTTACTGCCATATCATACGGTAGAAAGTTACACACATGTTCATCCTATTAAGTCAAATGTTCAAAAGAACACATGCACTCAAGTATTTAGGATCTCAGTCACCAACAGACTTTGTTCATATTAAACTACTGGTAACTTACTTTTTATTTCTTAATATTTTACACTGTGCTGTAAGATTTACTGCCCTGTTTTTGGGGTAAGATGTTTCTAGAATCAAATATTACTTGCTTCTGAAACTCAGTTGGTTTCTCCTCTCTCCTTCATATGTACTGAGACCAAGTCTTCACACGGCCGAGCAGAATCTCTAGTATAGTTCTCTGCTGTCTGGGTCGAAGTGTGTCCGGGCAGAGCCAAGTGGGCTGAACGTTTTTTCTCGACTGTTTTGACTGCCTTCAGGTGGCTGAGTAGAATTAAGCTCTCTCCGCTGTTTTGACTGTTTTTACCAAGATTGTAGCGCAAAGAATCTGGATTCACGTTGACGATGCTGAATTAGAGGAAATAAATATCTTACAAGGTTTGACCAAAGATGGGAAATCCAAAAAGCAACAACGGAAGTTAAAAAGCCTGATTATGTAATGTAATGTAACCCATTAGAATTATGGGTGAACAAACAGGTTTACCGGGTAAATGAACCTGTTTATATTTTCTATTTGACTCTTGTAATTGTATTTAGATGTCTTTTTATATTTCCCTATTTTACTTTTATGTTTTATGTAAAGCACTTTGAATAGCCTTGTTGCTGAAATGCGCAATACAAAAACTTGCCTTGTATATTTAACTAAAATTCTTGCAACTAGTGGTGGAACAATTATTTTAGATTGTTGACTCACCATTTCAGTCTTTTTGTTTTAGAAGCCAAAATTCATTCAATCATTCCCTGGTTCCGAACATCTCATATGTGAAGACACGTCTCCTTTCTCGGTTGTTAATTGGATATTGTTCGGTTTCACGACGTCTTCAATTTTGTGAACTTGTGATTGGCAGTTCTCAATATTCTCTGACATTTCATCATCTAAAAAGAAATAACTGAGGATTTGGGAAAAAATAGACAGATAGAAAAGATGTACTGACAATAAAAAAATTGTTGCAGCCCTGTTTAACCCAGTACCATTATGAGGAGAGGCTGCAAATAGTAAATATTAGAATAAACTGAATGAGCCGATCATTAGCTATAATAAAGTCAAATTATCACTGCCATTGACTGTAGCATGTAAGAAAAACTTGACTTGAATGGAGGAAACAAAAGGGAAATTGGTGTTGGAGGACATCGCCTGCCAGCTGAGCAACTTTGATCACTATTCCTCTCCTTTTCAGCGTCACTTACCCTTTAGCCTACTCGTTCAGCAGAGATTGGAGCCAAATGTGGAAGAAAAAAGGAAAAACAGGACAAGCAGATACCTCCAAGCTAAAATGGCACACCACGAAGAAAAACCAGTGCAATCAAACCCATAAAAATTCCTACCTATTGGTGAATCTGATGAAAAATCTTCACAGCTGATGTCAGAGAGAAAGCAGACAGCCAGAGGATAAAGCTCCACCCACACCTTACAGATGATGCAGAGTCTCTTTTAAGCTATGTCTCTGTCACTGAATAGACTCAGTGTATCGCCCCCTCATCGCTAGTCCTCTCAGCTATAAGAGCAGAAACATCAAGTCCCATCACATGCACTAATGATCAAAGGCTCTCTCGACTTCTGTTCTACTTTTTATTGGCTCGTGGATAGGCTTCCTCTTTGGAAATGGTCTGATTACTCAACACATGCAGGGACTTTGTAATATCCACTTAATTCAAAGACAGATTCAGGATCCGCTGGAACGCTTTCATGGCCTAAAGATTATAGCATCACCATGTTGTATTATTTATGACGAGTGCGTTAGTCAATAATTTAACGACAGAGATGTATTGCACAACTACTCCACTCCACCCAGTACAAACTGAAAAACAATTTGTGCAGACAGCAACCTCTTGCTAAATTCATACATATTTTTTCTATGCATCTATGTCCACCATACAAAAGGAGTCTCACAAAAGCAACCAGCATACCACTATACCATCAGGTACAAAAGAAACACAGAAGAAGAGTGTGCACTCATGAAACCTACTGTTGTCATGTCAAATTACTTCACCCACTCATCTAAGAACACACCACAGCTACACTAGTAGGTAGATGCTTTGTCGCCATGGTCTCTCTAAGATCAGAGTATTATGACAGTAGAGTTATGAACATACTAATGAGCATCCTGTACATTTAATTACTATATTTCCCTCACCACCTTTTAAGAGATTAAGTATGTGGCAGAATGCAATAAAAGAGTGGTACATTTCAAGGAGACTATTTGTTTTATCGTCAGCTGGAAGCATTTCACATTTATTTCACCTTTAGACCAATCATGTAATGTATTTCTTCTGTGCGCTTTTAAAAATATTTCATCTATCCTAAGCTATCAAATCACACAGGCATCTTAAAGAATGGTTTTGTACCCATCTATATATACACATATGTACTGACAGACACTGCTTGCTGTCTAAAAAGTAACATTAGTGTATTGCACAAGTCTAATCTTTGGTCCTCCTTTACCAAACTAGCCCTTGTAGCTCTATTGTGTACCAAATATAAATTGAATTAAAGTACTTTTTTGGAGGCTTTAACAGGTAACTCCTAGACAACATAACACAAAGAGGGGATATGAGGGATGCAAATATTTGAGATAAGACACCAGCTCTACTGCTACTAAGCTGTTTGATGTAAACGACAGTTGGCACCTGCAGATGTTACCTGAACTTATATTTTATGTGTCTCTAATATTTGGGTACGACACCAAAACATACTCTTATTTATCACAGCTACGTTAGCACATAATATCGGGCATGACAGATAAGAAAAGCTGAAATACAATCGTCAACATCAAACACACGTCAAGAGTTTATGAACATGAGCTCGGGTTATCATGGGGATAACGTTAACGCAACGTTATGGAAACTTTAGTTAATGTTGCCGCATTCCATTTTAACATCGTATTTCTAACGTTACACCACGTTAAACCAGCTAAACAAAACGACACTGCTCTAAAGAAGATGATGAAGCTATCTAGCGTAATTTACTTGCTTAATTGTTAGCTTGGTTGCTAGTAACAGTAACTACCAGGCAGACTAGCATCCGTGCGAGAGCTAATGTTAGCTGACAGGGAACGGAACGGATTTAACCAGGAATTTAGAGAAAATACTAAACGCAGAATGGCATACATCCCTGTAAAACATTAGGTAATTGTTGTGTTATGTCAACAATATTAAATTTAGTTACCTCATGTCGCAACAGGAATTAAGATGCCGGCTTCATTGAGAGGAATGTTTGGTATTAGCACGTTTGTTGTGATTCCAGGCGCTTCATGGGTATTGTAGTTTTTACGCATTACCTGAACTACAGCCAAACGTCACTAGTTAAAAGCGGACAGTTTCTTTCCAGTCACTTTTTTAGTTTCTGAAGCTGATCAGTGCGACAGCTTCACTTGTCTTATTTTGTCTTCTGCCTCACTGAACAGAAGTTCTAGCAAATAACACGGACATGTTCAAAATAAAGCACTAGGGTATGTAATGTGCAAAGTAAGGAAATGTTAAACTGTAAAATTACAGTTTACAATTGTTATACTTTTCTGAAATTAACATTAACAACACCTTCATATTCCAGTTCAATTCCATTTACTTTACAACAGTGCAGCATCTGCATATTTCTGCTGTGCCTTCTGGACACTAAGCAGAAATATTAAAAACAGTTTATTGTTGACAGATGTTATACTCATACTTGTAGATTACATTCTAAATCTATAATATATATGAAAACCCAATAAGACTACAATATACTATTGGTGAGGTATAGATCCATAGACACATCTGAGATGCCTGAAATATTACAATTTGCTAGAAGCTAGAGTTTGACAGCAAATTTTCTGTTTAACGTTTTGTTAACTACCAAAGCTATGTCCTGTGTTGAGTGTGTTCTCAGATAAATAGTAAACTGTAAAGGGAAAGGGAAACTGGAGCTGTCCAAAATAACTTACCCATCATTATACTTCAAATTACAGAGATACATCATTTTCTGGTGATTTAAACTGTGACCAATGAGAGGCCATTTATCAGCCTATGTGGCTGTAGCATAAATAGACCAAAACATAATTATGAAACCATTACCCATCCAGAAACCTTCACACAATTATCAAAGTTTGTTTATTTCAGAACAATGTAAATGTATGCAGTTCGTGTGCTGAAAATAACACAATAATAAGTACAAGTTTTACAGGCTTCCTGGAGGATGTAGAATATTATTAGACCTTGTAATAGAGCAGGTTTGTGATGGCGATCGGATGGCCAGCACGAGGCAAATGTAACATTATGTCCATGTGTCCTATTTGTGCTGCTTCTTCTTCTTCAAGAGGGCATCACGTAAAGCAAGCTGGATAAGAAAAACAAAATCTCTTCAGTTAAAGTGCCAAGACTGTTGCGTCTTTAGATCCAATAAAACCAATTTCTCCACAGACGAATACAGAAGTTTATTCCCACATGTATTTATCTGACAAGTGTGACTTACCTGCTTCTCTCTGAAGGAGCGTTTGCCTTTGGTTCGGACATTCTGACTGTGCCTCATCATCATGAAGTTCTTCGTCTTCCTCTTCTCCTTGTTGCTGGTGCTGGCGTGTGGGTTCAGCTTGGTCCGCTTCCTGACAAAGTCCTTCCGGTCGGTCCGTCCCGCCTAGACAAATCAAGCACGTCATTCGAGCTGAAATGAATCAACAAATATTAACAATGATCTTGTTCCAGCTTCTCAAATGTGAATATTTGCTGGTTTGTTTCAATGAAATTTCAAATAATTCTGACATTTTATAAACCAAATGAGGAAATTCAAAGTAATATTTAGATAGAATAGATAACGGCAATATATACAAACTTCCCATGAATGACTTTCTAGAGTCAACAGTATTTCAGTCGGGTTACTCTTAATAGTTCAAATCACCCTACAGTTACTTGAAGCTTTAGTTTTACCAGTGCTGTTGCCAGGCGTGTTTCCTTGTCTGCTTTTGGTTTCTTATGCAGTTTCTCAATATTCCTCAAGGTAAGCAGCTCTCCTCTGAAAGATTTGAGGGGGGAAAAAAAACACAAATAAATCTAAGTATGATCATCTATCATTATTAACAAAATAAACAAACTCAGCCCGTATGCTCTTATTAAAAAGAAAGTGTGTCACAAATAATATGGTAAATGATATAATGCTTTAAGTTCAAATTGCTTTCTAACCTTCTGTCACCCTCGTCATCACTGTCCACAGCTTTCCTCTTCTGGCCCTTGCCTGGTGCTGCGTTGACTTCCTTGGTCATCTGGACCAGACGGATCTTCTTGAACTCATCTTGAGTGAGGAGCCTGCTGCCGCTGACCGCCGCTGCTTTGGCTTTTCTTTCCTCGACTGGCATACTCTGAAGTTTCTCCGCCTTACACGAACACAGACGACTCTCACATTTAACAACCACACTTAATTAATCAGCAGCAGTTTGAGCTATGCGATTTCACGCTCACCACTTCTCCTGTGTCTTCATCAGACGAGTGTTGGACATCCACCCACTCCCCGTCTTCATCGTCATCACTAATACTGGCGCTCTCCCAGCCATCTGTTGGTCAATATGAAAAATACACACTTTAGCTTAATATTGATCATCTGTCATCTCTATCAGAGTGCTGTATGAAACTGGATTCTGTTTTACAGATCAATTCAATTTATGGATTCAATAACACAATAAAAAACTGGTGGCTGTGGCTCAGGATGAAGAGCGGATCATCGACTAATCAGAAGGTCGGTGGTTTGATCCCCTGCTCCTCCAGTCCTTGGGCAAGATAATGAACCCCAAATTGTGTGAGTGTATTTGTTTCTGCTCCAGCCACCTTGCATGGTAGCCACTGCCATCAATGTATGAATGTGTGTGTGAATGGTCAGGAGACTAGAAAGGAGCTATACAAGTGCAGTCCATTCAATAGCTGCTTACCTCCGTCCTCCTCTCCCTCTTTGTTCTCCTCCTCCACCTCCAGGACTTCAGCTCCAGGGATATAGTCTTTAGCCTCAAGCTCTCCATAGTCTTTGATCTTTGCCTCTACTGATGCCTCTGTGGGTCTCCCCTAGACATTTACAATTATTTAAATTTAAATATCCATAGTAATGTTGTGCTTTGTCAGCATTATACTTCTGGATCTTTTGGCACTACTCTCCTCTGTGTGCTTCTGTAACTACAACATAATTTATCAGGACCCCTCTCTGGATCAAAATTTCAACAATACAAATAAACTGCACATTCAGGGAGTATAAGTGTTTTTAATTGTAACTCTTTTTAAAAGAGTTTGTTCATCATACATTAAGTAATTGTTTTCTTTTCATACAGTTTACTATACAAACTATGCCAAAACTTGTTTAATGTTAAGACATGATACTCAGTGTTGTTTTCAGTAAGATTCACACAGTTAGCTCACCCTGTCCCTCTTGTGCAGCATCTGTGGATTAAGACTCCTGAACAGCTGGATCAGTCCTCTGGCAGACATCATCACGTCTGAGGGCAAATACAGACAAAAATGTGTTCTTTTGTGAGTGAACATATGTGTACACCTCCTTTAATTGGGACAAAGGTACACTGGTAGTCACTCACTCTTGTCTTTGTGGGTCTTGTACTGGGTCAGGTCCTGCAGCAAGTCTTCAGTGATGGCAAGAGGACAGCGGGCCGCCACTTCCTTGATGGCATTGATACTTGAAAACAAAAAGGTGTAGAATTTACTCTAACACGGTTAATTAACACTTGGTATTGTAGTCACAAAATAACTGTATGGATTTGTATTGTTCATTTGAATCTTCACATTTGCATCCATACCAACTTTGGATCACTAGACAGGTCTGCTACTTACCCCACGGTCATAACCTCCCCCGAGTTTCTGTCTGTTACAAAATTGTTGGCGATGGTCATGATTACAGGCTCGATGATCTGCACAAGTGGGAATGTACGAAAAGTGTTAGAGTGGAACCCCCTGCAGTATGTTAAGTCCACACGTGTGAACAAACAAAATAAATCTGAACGTTTTAGATCTGTACCTCTGGTGGGACGAGTGGGTGGGAAGCCTGGGCAGCACACAGGAGAATCTTTGTCACCTCTAGAAAGATAACAGTTTGTTTCACATGTCTCGTCCACAGAGGTCAAAAGGCTTTCATTTACTACAATCGAATCTAATTCAGTGGGTCTTTATTGGCGTGGGAAAAAGAAGTTTACATTGTGAAGAAGTGTGAAAGAAAAAAGATAGATATTACACACACACACACACACACACACACAGTCAGTGTGAGTTAGTTTTACCTCGTTGATGGGGCTGTAGAAACCTCTGGACAAAGGGATAAAAATTGAAGAGGAAAAGCTGGAAAAGAACACAGCATTATACTCACTGTAAAATTATTATTCATACCTTATTTATACTTATATCCAGTCAGTGTCCAAAGCATGATTCCCATTACAGAGGCACTGTAAGAACTGTTACAGCCACTAGCTGTGCCTATCTGACATTTAGTGCTGAGCAGGTAGTGGGTTTTTAGAGCTTTCCAACTGAAAGGACTCGGAGCGGTGAGAGTGAACTAAAACAGTAATGGTGTGGGCCAGAAAACCAAAACAATGAGCTTGATATTGCTTTAAAACTCTATAGAGTTGAGGGGAACTGTAGTGTCGAGCGATAATTCTCTGTGGGTTCTTCACTACAAGCAACTCCTTTGACATTCAAGTTGTTAAATGAGCCATTGTCAATATGAAAATATTGATTGTAGCCACTTTAAATAATTTCTAAATATAACCCATTACACAAGATCAGTGATTATTTTAAAGTTGCGCTGCATAAAAGCAACAATTTATCTTATTAGGAATAACCTACTGCACTGGTCTCTGAATCTGTTAACCTATTCTGGATAAAATGCTTTATAGAGCCACCAATATTTATGAGGGCCAGTTCTAAGTCAACTTCCTAAAAGTTGTGTACAAACTAGCTGATGACAGCCACGTCACCTACCTCATGGATTCCAACCAGTCTGGATATGAGCTCCATCAACATGATCTTCACCTCGAAGCGCTCTTTGGAGTCTTCCAACTGTTTCAAGAGTTTTTCAGCAAAATCTTAACAAAAAGAAATATCCAATGGATTAGAGTTTTGTAAACTGAAGTACAAATGCCAAATTCTT